GATTATCTCTCTGTACTCTCACGATATTTCCTCTTCCTTTCTGGCGTCACCGATCGACGCAGGATTGTATTCGTATACAGATTCAAATGGCATGTTGCTAGAAAAAGAGTAATACAAACAAGACGTGCCTATACACTGCACGGAATCATTGATGATACGAACAATGATCACTGCAAGTCAACAAGATGAGGAAAAAGTGATTGGCATCAGTGAGACATATGCTGTTAGCTAGTGCATCGGGGAAAAAAAGATGGATATCATATTAGGTGATGTAAGACAGGAAACGTCGGATTCCTTTTCTTCTTGCTCTCAATTCACAACAAGAGTAGATCAGCGAAAAGTGAGAATACAATTATATTTATTAGAGTTTAATTAGTAAGGAACAGAGGAAATGCGATAATTTCCGCGTCGACGAATAGTTTATCAATGAACAATTCTGACGACAAACAAACAAATAGAACCAATGCCAAGATGTCAAATTGTAAACTTCGAATACATACAGTAAGTTTAATCGATTGACCTTTACGATTGCCGTGACAACTTCGCTATTTCAGTCGATATGGTTCAGAAGCTCGACTAGATTTTCGAACGATATGTAGTAAAGTGTTCTCCTTGTGTAAATGATGATCACATCAGTTGATATTAATTAACGAGAACATGTAATGAGAATGCATATTTTTCTCTTTCTTTCTCATGTTCTGTCTTCATACAATTTAATCCATGAAAGTAATCGAAAATTTTCTCTTTCGATTGACAAACAGAGTTCATTTAGTTCTGAATTTGAACAGATCATTGTTGCTCTCACTGATCGCCTTTATATACAATGCATACAAAGGCATATCGAATGTTGATAAATCCAAACAAAACAATGAGAAAAATGAGGTACGCTTTGTTGCCAATATTTAACAACACACGATCGACGAAGGTGCATTCTTTCTCATGCCACTTCTCACGCGAAAAAGACAGCGAAGGAAAAGAAGAGCGAGGAAAAAAAAACTTTTGCATTTTGCAAACCTCTCCCGTTTATTTGAAGTAGATCAAATTTCGTAACATTGATGATTAGAAGAGAACAAGAGAGAAACAAAGATGTGTGTGTGTGTATGTCTCTCTCCCTCTCTTACTGTCTAATTGAGGATGCTCTCCTTCACCTCTTTTAACTCAACAGCACCTGTTCAGTTTTGAATATATTTGACGATTTAAAATGCAAAAGAAGAACAACGTACTCTTCTGATAAGAACAAATCGAAGAAGGGGCGAGAAAGAAGAGATCACACAATTAATTTGACCGACGAACTCTCACACAAAGATCATAATTGATTTTCAAATGATGCGTACATGTTCTCTCGTTTTATCTTTTGTATTCATGCACCTGCTGAGTATGTTTGTGCCATTCACTAGTTGCCGCTCTATGATTAGACACGGTAATCGGTCCGTTTTTCTTCTTCCTCCTTTTTATTCCAATTCTAAGCGTGAATACCCACATGAGTGGGTGATGTTTTAATTATGATACATACGCGTCATCATCATCGTCTTCGTCTTAGTTGATGGCTCTATACTAGTCATAACGAAAGAACAGGCTGGATCGAATGTCGTTCTCCCGCTTCATCTCTCTGCTTTTTTTTTCTTGTGCTAGCGCTTGCCTACATGTTTGAAATTTGATCTACTACGTTGTCGTCATCTTAGCATTCGTATGAGAAAAGTGGGACGGCATCGAAGAAAAAGCCGAGAAAAGGAACTTAATGCGTATGTAATAGACAAAAAAAACTTGTGTACTAAATAATATCTCATCATCAGTAGTAGAAAAGCAAGAAAAAAAAAGACTAACTGACCAATTAGAATGCATAACGATAAAATTACCAACCAATCAGACTAGAAAGGATGCGCTTATATTTCTTTCTCTTTTCTCTTCTTTTCTTTTTTTTTCTTCCACAGCATACTACTGAAGAACCTCTTACTTATCGTTTTTCTCGTTGTTGGTATTGACACATCGAAAAACGCATCAGAAAGGAAAAGATAGGTATGTAAAAGAGAAATAAAAGATGATATCGATGGATCAAACTGAGTGGATCGAATTCGATATGTATATACTAATTGTGAGAGAAGGTGAAAGGTAATAGAGCAGTTGTAACGTCAAAATGTTATTTTGATTTCTAGTCGTCAAAATACATTTGATCAGTCGAACTTCGCTAAGAATATCTCGAAAAGACAAAAGTCGTTTGTTCTTTATTTTTGTTTTCGTCTATTTATTCATCTGTACGACGTAAAAACATATGATTGACAGTTTAGTTGTTTTTTTAATGCCGCTATGATGCATACACATATTAAATAGACGTGTCCGTTTCTATTTGAACATCAAAAAAAAGCAAACGCTCTTCAGTTGTGTCAACAATCGAGTCAGTCAAATTTATTGTCTATGTTGATGATGCCAACATATACAGACATACACACGTATCGACAAACAAACAAACAAACAAATTAGATACTGTCGTTCTGTCCTTTGATTCTTTCGCTTTACACGACTATTGAATTAGGCAGACATTCTTCCGATCCTGTACCCGAAAGAGTCCATTATATAGTACATATACCTGTATATATTAGTAAAATGGCAATACGCCGTAACCTTAGATTCCGAATCGAATCAAGGACACAGTAACGATGTTGAGCCGGAGGTGCTTTATACGCGTGAGCATAAACGAAAAAGTGTGATAGATACATATATGTGTATGTGTGCATATAGGAAAGAGTCGAGTAAGTGTGTATATGTGTACAAATGCATAATTGAGCGGAAATAATGTTTTCACACCAGCAGGGGCGGAGAAGATGGATTTTCCTTAATGCTTACTCAAACACACATGGTAACTAAATAGAAGTGAAAAAGGGATTACATGTCGATCTTCTACTTTGCACTAGTACGGTCGATTGCTTTGTCTAGACAAGAGGTGAAAAGGAAATGTTCGCTTAGGGGATAAATAGAAAGAGTCGATTTATCAATAACTCATTTGCATACTTTGTATCCATAGAAATGCGTCAGAAATCAGATAATTTTAATCATGCTGAGATTCGACTTCTATCGTAGTCCTAATTATCAAAGAAAATAATTGTGACTATATAACATCAGGAGCCACAGGATGTCGATTTGCTTCGTCTTTTCTCAACTTTGATCGTTCGTTCAATGTAATATGTGTCTGTTGTATTGTTTTTTTAGCCTACAATTAAATTCATTGACAACAATTGCGTCACATCGGAGTAAGTCGTATGATTTCATGCGATCGTTTCTAACCGTACTTGTTTTTCGTCTTCTATTATTTAGATCTCTTCCCATTGATCTGGTTGTGTCCAAACGTAAACGATCATCAAACGGTAGGAAGAAGACGAGAGGGGAGGGGAAAAGTTAATCAGTAATCTGAAACTTGTCGAACATGTGTCTTATTTGAAATTGTTCAACTGACAGATTCGCCTGAATAACAAACTTGATGATAAATCAGAATAGACAGACAAGTGGTCAATAATCATTTTCAATCATGGTGAATTTATTTGAGAATGTTCTTCATATGTTGCTTTTCTAGAGAATGAGCAAGACTTTTTAAACGAATCGACGACAAATCCGAGTTACTACTATCATCCACACAGTTCTACAATCTTCGACGGGTGAGTTTGGTTTTGACAAAAAAGATAAATATGACCTTCACGTTGTTTTTTCTATCCTCCATTTTGATTCGCTCTCGCTTTTTTCTTGTGTTAGAAGAGGGGGAGAAAAAGAAAAGCATCATTCTCTTCCGAACGTTTGCTTTGTAGTTTTTCTTCCTTCAAAAAGAATAAAGGTAAGATTTCACTAGTTGAACCGTAACAGGATAGGGTTTTTCGTCTTCAAGTAGAATACATTAGCAGGTATCAGATTAAGATCCTTTGATTCTTTTTCGTGTCTATGAATAAAGAAAATCGCGCATGCACCTGTGACTTACATTTGAGTGGACAACTGAATAGCGGCACGAGGGCAGTTTTAATACAAAAAGAAGTGAAGAAAGTTTCATTCGTTACCTATTCGATGACTTCTTTCTGTTCTAGCCAACCGTCGATGGCAAGCTATTCATTCTCCTCGCCGGGATACGTTAACATACCTCCATACTACAATACTACACCAAATGGATACTCGGGATTGAATTTTCAATATCCTTTACCTGAAGGTAACGTTAGCAATTCATGAAACATTCTGATCTAACCTTTTTTTTCAATCATTTTATCAAGCGTATTCAACTCCTGGTGCTGCATCGGCAACGAGTCTAACAAGTCCATCGCCGTATGGTACTCAATCCGTAAGTTGAAAGCCATTGTATTTCAAGTGAAGCAATCATCGAATTTTCTCTTCCGCAGACTCTAGATACAAGTTATTATCATCAATTTCAACCATCCCTTGGCTATCCATGTTACTCAGCAGCTACCTATCCATCACCGTACAATCTCAATTCGTCAACAACATCTCCAAATCAATTAACATCTTCGTTAAAAAACTCTCAAGGATATCCAATTGAATCCCTTCCACCGACAATTCTCGATCATCCGAATCAGTATTCGAATCCAAGTGTACTTTCATCTCCCAACTCTCCATCACCTTCGATTAAAACGGAAACAAGTGCACGATGTATGTACATTGAACGAAAAAAAAAGAGATTCTCCTTCGCTAATTTTGCCTTCGTCTTTCAATTTAGCATCGAAATCGAAAAATAATCGTGGAAGAAATAAAACTCAACAACAGCAATCATCGCCTGATCCAGATAATCATATTGAAAGAATATTTGTTTGGGATTTAGATGAAACAATTATTATCCTACATTCATTGTTAACAGGCACATATGCTCAACGTTATCAAAAAGTAAATTCTCATGTCTTGCGCACGATCGATTGACATAGTTTTCTTTCCTTCTCTGAATTGCAACAGGATGCTCAAGCAGCCATGGCACTTGGTTTACGTATTGAAGATATCATTTTTAACTTAGCTGATGCACATTTATTTTTCAACGATTTGGAAGAATGCGATCAAGTTCATATCGATGATGTTTCATCCGACGATAATGGACAAGATCTCAGGTAAGCATCAGCTTGATCAATACCGTGTAAAACTTTTCTGTCGATTTGGTATTTAGTAATTACAATTTCTCTGCGGATGGTTTTCATTCATCAAGCAATGTTAATAATCCATGTATCAGTAGTACAGTTCGCGGTGGAGTTGATTGGATGCGTAAATTAGCTTTTCGCTATCGACGTATAAAGGAAATCTACAATACATATCGAATAAATCCTCAAAGTAAGTTGTCCTGTGTTCCTCTCTCCCTCTCAATTAATTCGCCATCTTGGTTGGTAATTAGATTTACTTGGTCAACAAAAACACGAAGATCTACTTCAATTGCGTGCTGATATTGAGAGTTTAACCGGCTCATGGCTTTCATTAGCAATAAAAGCATTGAATATTATTAAACAACGGTAATAGAAACGAAACATTTCGATCATCTGAGTTGTTGGTCTCATGTTTCTAGAAAAAATTGTATCAATATTCTTGTTACAACATGTCAATTAGTACCAGCGTTGTCGAAAGTTATTCTATACGGACTCGGTGGTGTGTTTGATATCGAAAATATTTATAGCGCGACTAAAATTGGCAAAGAAAGTTGTTTCGAACGTATACACACAAGATTTGGACGAAAGCCGACCTATGTGGTCGTTGGCGATGGTCGAGATGAAGAATTAGCTGCTAAACAGGTAAGTTTCGAGAGAAGTCACTGGAAAAAAAACACTCTTCTCATTGTTCTATTTAGCTTTCCTGGCCATTTTGGCGTGTTAGTGAACATCAGAATCTGACCGCACTTATTCATGCACTCGAATGGCAATTTTTATAAACGAGAAATCATCGACGCGAACTGGAGTTTCTTTCTAAATCAACGTGTGCGTGTGTACTATTGTCTTGTCTTGTCATTCCTTGCCTCATTATGTGTTCTTCTCTTCATCTTTTTGAAACTACCTTTACACACAGTGATTATATGGAATCATATGCGGCTACAATCTTATGCGCATATTTAATTATATACATATTCTTTGCCTTCTTTTGTGTGTTTCTTATTTATAATAATATGACTATGGAAAAGACTTCAACGAATATTATCTTGTGTAAATAACAAATCTGTCTGTGTTTTACCTTCGAAATCGCGTATAGGAAAGTCACATATTTCGAATGAAACTTTACGTAATAGATCGTCATCCGCAATCTGATTTATCTTGAAAATGTATAGAAATGTTGATCAAGAAATTGATCTTATTATGAAACATTCTAATGAAAGTAATCAGATATATTCAAAAATGTCGATATGATGTAATCAATGATAAAAAGCTGGTTGTCCGTAAAGCGAAATCCGACATTCGTTCATTGGATTTTCGATGTGACCCGTTTGATATCTTGTTCAATTCGGATGACATCGGGATGATTTGACGGTAAAATACAACGACGCATTGTTGCTGCCTTTTCATACTGAGTTTTCGCTTGAAGAAAATCACCTTTCATTTCATAGACTAACCCAATATTTTTCAAAGACAAAGCGATGTCCGGATGGTTCGTTGATAAAGCTTTATACTTGATATTCAGCGATTTAGTAAAATGTTCCAATGCAGAATCTAACTGACCGATACAACCATAGACTGTTGCAAGATTGTTATGTGTCGCACTTAGATTGATATGATCATCGGGTAGATGTTGACTTTTGATTGTCAATGCTTTTTGATGACATTCCAGTGCTTGGGAATATTTCTTTTCATTTTCGTAAACACAACCCATGTTATTCAAACACATGGCAACATCAGGATGATTCTCACCATAGGCTTTTTTCCAGACTGATAATGCTTTGTTATAAAATTCCAATGCGTGTCTGTAATCACCTTTCTTTTGATAAGTATTGGCTATACTGTTGTAACTACACGCCAAGTTTGGGTCATTGGTTTTTAAAGTTTGCTGACGAATTGCGATTGCTTGTTGGTGCCATTCTAAACTGGATTCATAATCGCCTTTTTCATCGTTAACAAGGCCGAGACCATAGTGACAATCAGCGAGATTGATATGATTCGATGGCAATTCTTTTAATAAACGTCGATAGAATTTCTCGGCATCGTCGAATTTATTCATTTTTCGTAGAACTTTACCGAACGTCAGCAGATCCATCTGTTCCGTACTATATAGTAATTTCAATGGTTCGAGATGAAATTTCAGAAGTTTATGTTTATTCGTCGATAATTTCATTCGAATGATCCATATTCGCTGATTTTCATCTTCTTGTTGATGAACACTAATCAAATGAAAGATGGATCCTAAGGTGAAAAGTATTTGATCTTCGCCCATAAAGAAACTAAATGGTGTAATGTTACAAAACGGTTTCTGTGGATCAGTATTCGGATCGGCGCTGATTTCGAACAGAACTTTCTCTAATTCGCTGGTCATATCCGCATGAGACAGATAATCAAGTGTTTGTTGTCGATTGATGTTCGTCGTGAAGTAACTATTGATGGAAAGAAACTCGCCAGTCGAACTTTTAAATAATTCAATTTCATCCGAGGACATGAGATAACTTCGGTAAACACGAAGTGAACTTGTACATTTATTCTGTTCGATCAATCGTTGAACGTCACGGATAAAGAAACGAAACATGAGTAGAAGATCGAGATTTTGTATCCGAAAAGCTTTGTTCAACAAACGATAAACAAACGTATCGCGTGTAAACCACCATAGCGCACGGTCGGATGAATAATCAATTTCGAATTCTCGTAGAATATTCAATTCACTATCGTTCCCTTTGTATTCATTTTTACACAGAGTGATCAACTCCTTTTCATCACTTGCTATTGGTTTAATATGTAAAAGATATTCGATTAATAGTTGAGAGTACAGAAAATTTTCATTGACTTCTTTGCTGTTGTCACAATTTGTTAAGAAAAATGTGACTGGTAATGGTTCGTTGATATTGATGTGACAACGTTGCTCGTGATTTGTGCGTATTTGCGACTCTAATTCACCTAATTTATTGATCACATCTTTGATTTTTGCGTAACTTTTCGCCCACCGTTCATTTCGTTCTTTATCTAAGCAGTATACATAAATAGAATACACTTGTCGTAAATTATGTATTCGCGGGACGATGTCACGTCCTAAACGACCACTTATAATCAAAACGAATCGATCTTTCGGCTGCGACTGAATGTATTGTATACATTCATCACCGTCTTGAAATGTTTTCAAATGATTGATACACTTCCGGAGACGTTGTTGAGCTTCAACGTTTTCAATTGAGTCGTTAACAGCCGCATCTAACCAAACTAATGAAAATGTTTCTAAATTTTTGCTTTGCTCACGATGACTTGTCATCAATAGTGAAAAAGCGTCAGTTATATTTTATGAATATGTATCTTCTTCTTGCTCGTCGTGTTTCTCACATTACAAAGAAAAAATAACACGCTTCGCTTGACTAACCCCAACTGACTTCATTCACGATAGACGGGCTTATTGTATTGTCTTCATACGAAAAAGAAACTAGGTGAATATCGTCGAGATCGATGAGGAAATAAACTGTTTTGTATTCATAATGAATTCTCCTGATATTTAGATGTTTGTTTTCTTTACGAGACCTATGATGACAATAGCGCTGGTTCCGACATATCGAGGCGCGAGATTGGAAGAAAAGAACAGAAAAGAATTGATTAGACTTTCAGATTTTGATCTTTGATCAATGAACGACGTCATCGGGCGGATTACAAGTACATGAATGTTCTAAAACAAATCTTTCTATTATTTATCATTTACTTCTTGATGATCCTTCTGTCCTTCAAAATTTGCCAATAACCTTTTCGAATCATTAATCCATCAAAGCTTATTGACATCTGATGAAAAGTTTATTATTTCATTCGTTAGTTCAAGAGGTATAATTAAAAGTTCGCTGACTTTCTATCTGATCATAGAACGATTCGGTCGTAGATATGTCGAGCAAGGTCAAAGACTTTTGCGTATATTCATCGATTATGCTGTCGGAATGTGTGTTTTTTCAGTTATTTATATTTATTCTGTGTAATTACCATAAAAATTCTTTTGCACGTTTGTTTTTTCCTTTTTTTTTGTAAGTCGTAATTCGAGAACAAACTGACTGAGTCACTGATAATAATCTTCGATGCTCTTTTAACGACATTTTATTATACCGACGCAGAATCGCTTTTTCGGTTATCTGACACGTGCTGAACGAATGCCACGGACTTTGGACATGAGGGAATCATGTATTTTGTTTTTCTCACGATTTTATTTGTTGTTAATATTTTGAAATGGATATATAGCGAAGACATCGTGGAATAGAACACTGACATACGCTTTGACTTTCACTGATATACGAACCAACAAACATGAAATGATCATATAAGCAAATGAGAAAACTGTTCAATCAGATGACAAACTAATGGCTTTGCCGAACAACAACTAATCAAGAAAACATCGAGATAGAAATGTAGAGGAAATGAACTTTTAATTAGTCTTACGATGGAAATGACGAATGCAATAGTTTGAAAGAAGTACAATAGAGACAAGATGAATGATGTTGATTCATCGGGTGAAAGATAAAGAACGAAATCGAAGCAAATCATGTTTATGGGAACAACAAAAGACAAATGACACAACACGCAGAAAGAGAATATGAATATGATAAATATGAACGAAAATAAGACGCAGAGAGCAGCTAGCGTTCGATGTTATTGATCGCCAAGAAAAAAAGAGAGATTTCTAGAGGTTGAGGGATTGCTAAGCATTGCTGTTGCTAATCAATAACAATACATTTATATGATGATGATGATGTTTCTGTTGAATTAACACTCATTATCAACAATGTAAACCATATGTAATTGTTCACCTTGTTGATCATTCGGTTCAATCAATGTATTGTCCGGTGATAGAACATGGAAACCAAGAAACATGAATGTTTTCACCAACGATGCACGATCGGAACGCGTCTTGTCAAAACAAACGATGACATGTTTGCAATGTAAAGTATCATCAGCGAATTCAAGTAGACTGATGAATCTAATTTTTCAAAAAAAAAATAAATGAAAATAAGTTGTTATTGAAGGCTTTCCTAGATCTTACTTTTCTTTTGATTCTTCATTCAATTGCTGTGGAAGTTCTACATAAAGAGAATGACCACGTAGTTTAATTAGCCATAAGAGATCATGCTCAACGGTAAATTCATCCAGTTCAACATTTCTTTGTTTGTAATTTTCACCATCATTAAATTTATTGTTATCATTAGCAAACTTCTACAAGAATCAGATGAGAATAGATCGTTAGAAAAGAAAATTTTGCTTTTAAATATAGGTAAATACTTGTGGAATTCCTAAGGATTTGATGGATGTTTCATTGTGGCGCGAGGCTAATACTCGTCGTCCAACGCTGCCGCCCTCTGCGCTTACTTTCGATGTTAAGACTGCAGCAGCTAAACAATGGAAATTTTATTAGTAAGAAAAATTGCATCATTTTCTTATCTCACCGTTGGCAACATCAGGAATACCACGTTGCTTCTGCCGCGTTCCGATGACAGAAGCGACTCATACTATAAACGGAGGAAAAAAGCAGACGCTTATGTCTTTGTTTTTCTCGAATCCAGTTTGTACTTACACTTCACTACTTGACTGAATTTCAACACACGGCATGATTAATCTTTGAATTTAGAAATAATAATCGACGAAACGATGAATCTTGTATGGATAATGGTTAAGTAAGTTTTAACATATACACCGCTACGACAATAACAACACAACACCGTAGAAAGCGACTGATTGCGCACTGGGGTTAATGTCGATGTAGCTCCTTTATATATTCTATAAAGAACGAAAGAAAAGAGAAAAATGAGTGAGAAAATATTCGACAGAATGAAAGAAAAAAAGATCCCAGAATATAATATGATAGGATAGAAAAGGTCGCCTTCGTCGTTTTTTTTCATGTGCGTCATAATATGTTCTATATTTCTCTCGTTTTTGCCATTAGGGTTCGAACCCTTTTCTTCTCTTTCTTTCTTTCTTTCTTCGTCAGTGTCTATCAGCCTTCATCCAGCTGTGCTGAGCACAATCATGTGATGATGCTCTCTGCCTTCCTGGTCCAGAAATCCGTTGATTTATAAAACAAAAACGAGGCCGTTGTTTCCACTAGACGATACTCTCGTTCACAGCCTTTCTGTTTCTCACAGAACCGATCGACGAATCAGATAAATAAGAAAAGCTAAATTTCTTTTTCATTTTTTTTTCTATAACACGTAAATAGATAGATTACACGTACACACTCAATTACACATACATATGAGGAATGCGAGCAACAGGCAATTGTATATACACTGAAAAAAAAGGGAAAGATGAGTCAACATTTAAACGATGTTGGATTATTTTTATCTCTGAGTTGTAAGATATTGAGAAAAAAAGAACGAAATATCGAAGTTTAAAGAAGTAAGAATCATAGCTCTGAATTCATGTATGCCGAGAGCAATTTCTGTTCGCACTGGACGGCATCAGTAGTTAAAAAGAAAAAGAAACGAAAAGACAAGTTTATCACACCGGATTGAAAAAAGCTCGTTAAAGAAATAAGAGAAAATTTAATCTCCATTGGAGATGCGATTTGAGTTTGGATTCGAAGACGATGAAGATGATAGACAAACGCCTGTTTCTACACTTAAGGCAAGAGCTTCGAGCCATGGATGAGACACACAAAATGCCGGCCTGGAATAGAAAAGCAATGATTTAATCAAAAGGAAAATCAATGTTTCCGTTCACAAACCTGGAATCAGGATTTATGTCACAACACGCTATTGCTATAGCGATGAACTGCTTCGGACAGTCTTTACTACAATATTTTTGATTGAATAAATGCACATTTAAACCAAAATCTTGTGTACGTGGTAAATAATCAGGATCAGCTTGTACACGGCCGATAATCTAGTCGAAAAAAGAAAGGAAAAATAAACTTGTTACGTTCGCTTTCGATTGTTTACTTCACAAAGCATAATGCCGAATGAGAAAATATCTACACGTTCGTCATAGCATTGACCTTTCAGCATTTCCGGTGCCATCTAGAATGAAAAGAGGTCAACATCTCTAAAATCATTGAATAATTTTTTGCTTTACCCAATATGGTGAACCGACAACCGTATATCTGAATGAAAGTCAATCTGACATGTCGTATATGAAGTAATTGAAAATTTTTCACTTACCGTTGTCGATCTCTTAACAATTGTCGCCGAGTTTTCGGTCGAACAACGACGACGCTTCCGTTGGAGGTAATGGTGGTACTTGTACTACGTTGATCTCGTCGAAAATTGCCTGATGAGCCATCATTCATGGACATTGCTGTTTCGTCATCATCCTCAAGATTGATTCTTGAGAGACCGAAATCAGCAACAACGACATGGCCATCGGATTTCACTAAACAGTTGGAGCTGTTCAGATCGCGATGGATAATATTACACAAATGTAAATATTCCTAGGTGAAGAAGGAGAAAGGCGTAAGAAGAATGATATCGAGTAGTTTCGTTTTCATCTACCATTCCAGCAGCTATGTCTTTTGCATAGCGCAGGCGTTGTAGCCATGTCAATGTTGTCGATAAGTCATGAATAATGTTCTTAAGTGTACCACCGGCAATGTAATCTTTGCAATGAGATAGTAGTGAAATAGGGGGAAAAGTGAATCAACAGTACATACCAACAAGAAAACACATTTGGTTGTCTTTATCGAGAAGTAAACCCATGAAGTTCAGTACATTCGGATGTTTGAGTCGCTTTAGAACTTGAACCTGAGAAAAGAAAAAAAAAAGAAACAATTCTAGAAATTCTCATTATGCCAAACGAAAGAAAGATAAAGAGTAAGTATTCTAATTCCAGAAAAGTAATGTATCTCATTGAAGATCTGAAGGAACATCTTATGAGTTTTTAGTAACAATTCGACGTAATCGTGTATGCTATACAAATATATCGAAGCATTGAACTTGTAATTATCGCCAGAGGCGGCATTTTTCGTTTCTAGGTAGGAAATGTCTAATCTCAACAATCTTACCCTTGGCGCCAATATCACGCGAATGACTCGTGGGAATTTCTACTAGTATAATTTTATGAACTAATCGGATCTTCGAACATCCGATTACGTCGATTCATCCATCTTGCTTGCAATGAGACTTACTTCTTTTACAAAGATTTTTTGTGCTTCTTTATCGAGAGTTTTGGTTTCTTTCATCACCATTATCTGACCAGTTCTGCGTAGTGTAACCTAGAAGAGAACATTGACAGTTTTCCTCAACCGAGAAACTACAGGAATCACTTACTGTTCGCGCAATACCATAAAATCCCTGACCGATGATAGGACCAAAATCCAATTCATTCGCACGGAATACTTCATGTCGATTAAGATCATGCACTGATGATGAACGTACAATTGGCTGTGATTGACGCTTGATTGACAACATCTGATGATTGGAACTAGCAAGACAAACATACACATCGTCGTAGTTTTTTCTATTGAGCAAAACAAAGCCACTTACTTTGAAACGACATGACTTGGGACCGATTGTGAACGTGTTCGAACACATGTACCATTTTCATAATCAGACATATGATTATGATCACAAGCACTAGTTCTTCGCTTTGTGCTATTCGATGATTCTTCATAAGCGGTATCACATTTGATGGCTGTTGATATACGCGCTTGAATATGACGTAAAAATCGTGTTGCATCAGTTGCACTGCGACTGCGCGTTAATGTTCGTTTTGGATCGACAATAAACCGTTGAATAAAGTGAACTAGCCACCACCGAGTAGCCTTCAAAAACAAAGAAACCACTACAAGCTAGATAACAAAAGACAAGGCCATTTCACTTACGTCGACGCGCATGTTCGCACGAATATGATGTGAATTTGAACGGGATTTGCGATTCTCAACACTTCGGTTTGTTCTGGAAAACCCAAACACATTTCTCTCATTGTATGATTATGACAAAATACATACGTAGATATTTGTGTATTTTGTTCACTTCCACCTCCACCGTAATCATCATCCGTTCGATTTTCATTCATACTTGAGTGCCCATTCTGTTTTATAGTAGATTTATTCATTGCCATATGAAATTGTTTTGTTTTTAATGATTCACAAGATTCTACAATCATTATCTTCACGCACGAAATTATCAATCATCTAAATGAAGACGAAAGAATGTCGATGTTTCGTTTTCGTACGTGCAATACAATAAAAGTCTCAGATAGTTTGGCCAAAAGTTATCCCACGAAGAACAGAATAGTCGTTCGAAGGCAATCCGTTTTCATCTCATTCATAAGCTAACCGAACTCGACGCGAACGAACGTCTCGCCGACTATTTATTCTCCGTGTACATCCAACATTCTCGGATGTTTTCAAGACCCCTGCTTTATCATCATTGACTTTTATTTTATAACCCTACTTACTTGATAACAATACAAATAACTATATTGTCTCGATGTTCATAAAAAAAGCGAACTTTTCATTCCTTTACACATAATCTAGAAGAGACTAGAACAGAGCGAAGGATGTGTAATTATGGCACATTGTATAATATGAACGAAGAAGGGAAAGAAAGAAAAAAAAGAAAGAGAAAAGTATCTTTAAGCTCTAAATAAACAGTATTGTTCAACGCGAGATATATATATAGATCTATGGGCGGAGACACGCCGGTAAACGAACGAAGTAAGACGCAACACGAATTTAATTTTGTCAATAGTCGATGTCAAACGATGATTCAATTGGAAAACGTTTTTCATACATGTTTTATCGTTCGATATTTTGAATCAGAAATCGAAATGAGCATAGCAGTGAAATAAAAGAAATGTTCTCAGTTGAAAACTAAAAGAATAGACGACGTAGGTCGATTTTGAATTCAATTAGGTTTTCGATAAGGTTTCAACTAGTTGAAAGAATAGAAAATATGTGATTACAAAATGAATCGGTAATGATCTTTTTCTGTTTCTATAAATAACGATGTAGATCGAATCGAATCAGACGTATAGAATTTCGTATGAAAACATGAAAAAGCCTACTCGAGGATAGAAAGACCTTCAAAAATACCTCAAATTCTTTCTATTTTACTTGAATAGATGTACAAAGAAAAAATTCATTGTTAAGTACGAACCATTTCGAGATTTTCAAGGAACCAACATTGACTCACATTCATCCGAGAAATAACAAAGGGCATTTGACATTAACCAATCACTACGAACAACTAGTCATTCATTGAATTGAATCTATTCATCGTCACCGCTCAGCTAAATTCGATTGGACAGAATGCAGAATACATATACTTCCCTTTACACCTTCAAAATTCTTAAATTTGGATGGCGCTAGTTATCGAGTGAAGAAACTTTCTTTACAGAAATCATTCTCTCGATTGGTGTTCTTTGTACAGACGAAAATCATATAGAAATCAAAAAATAATTCGTCTAACTATTATCTTATCTTACAATTGAATTGAAAATGGATGAAAATAATTCGATTCCTCTGACTTCGCAAATGGATTTTACTGAAGAGGAGGATGATGACGATATCATGACGTCTCAGGAACTGTTTCAACGTTTACAGCAAGCATGGTTAAATGAAAAATATTCTCCGGTGTTGCTTAAACATGAAAATCTTCTAGTTCTTGCTACGTTCGAACTACTTGACGATATCGAGAAGCGTTTGAAAGCAAGTGAACATAAGACAACATCCTTTCGTTGGTTAATGCATCGAACGGAATACAATCGTCTATATTTTATCTTGTGTTCATACATTCGAACACGTTGTTTCAAGATCGAAGAATATCCAGCAGCAGCTTTGAATTCAGAAGAACTTCTATCGCCAGAAGAATGTGTTTATGCACATACATATTTGAACAATATGAAACAACATTTAAAGAAGAGTGTCTTGACAGAATTGAAATCTGAACAGCAACAACAGAATGATGATAATGGATTAGCGCAACTTTTACCTAAACCCAATCTGAACGAATTCGCGTTTTTTCGAGTCGATCAATCAGTTAATGGTGTTATTCTATCGAATGAACAGAATCACAATGGCACACCAAATGATATCATCGATTTTAGAACAGATGATCAATATATCATGCAATTTCGACATATCCATAAACTATTATGTGAAAAACAAATTCATCTTGTCTAATTCTATACTTCGAAAATAAATAGATTCTTTTTCTCTATGCGTTTATTTTATGATTTTGTTCACTTTGAATTCATAGAAATCAAGTCAAAGGTTAGAATTGATAATGCGAAGTACTATTTCTTATCGTACTATTCCGATGACATTCATGTTCATGAATTAATGTGCTGAAGCGAGCAAAGGTCATCTTTTAGTCTTAATACATCGTAATTGTGTCTTTTAGATCATGCAATGACGTCATCATTGGATAACCTCACCACAAAAGACGTGAAAAACTTGCTTCATGATAAATATATTCTAATTCTTGGCGATTCAGGTAAACAGTTGAGTATTCACTATGATGAACAGGATTTCTGGCTTTCTAGTGGTTCGAGGTCTATATAAAGATTTGATTAAATTCTTTAATTCAAACGATTTAATCAGTGAAGAAGAACTTCGAATAAAAGTATAGAAAATTAATTTTTGATGTGAACAACTAAAGACGTAATTCTCTAATTTAAGGGTGAAAATCGATTTTCAGGTGATCGATTAATTAGTGGCGGTATTCAAAAGGGTCTTACGAATGGGATCGATTACGAAGAAGTAATCATTAATAAAATGCTTGAAAACATCCACAATAAAGATTTTTTTCAGGTTCGAGAATACAGTGCAGGTGGTCGGCTTCGTCTTCGGTTCTATTTCCTAACGAAATGTTACTCATCATATGTGAAAGATGTTATATTCAGCGATATTAAAAATCAAGCAGTGAAACCAGATATAATCATTATGAATAGTTGTGTATGGGACATGTCACGGTAAGACGCAGAAAGCATTTTGAATTGGTGGAAAGACTTATTCACTTTTCTTTTAGATATGGAACATGTGCGATGAGATCCTATCAACGAAATCTTGAGTATATTATGAGCTCTGCTCGGCAAATGCTACCCGACGCACTTTTCCTATGGCTGTCAGCATTGCCTGTATCTAATTCATCAAGAGGTTGATCATTTCATATGAAATTCGAATTTCTACATTTCGATTAAAGGAGGTGTCATGGTACCAAGTGCTGAATACATCCGGCCAATTCTACCCGGTAAGATCGCTTGACACGTTGTCTACATCTATTATTTATCATTCTCAGGTCTGATCCGTGACGGAAATTATCGTTCCTTGCAAGTAGTTATCACTCTTATGTTTTTAACTACGAATATCTATGGATTCTTCATAGACGTGTCATCTTCACAGTGTCCTGTATATCGATCTTCATTCAGTTTTCTCCACTATGTTGCATCTCCGTCGACCCGATGGTATTCATTGGTAACGAAATTCTTCCATCGTTGGCTATGCATCGATCCACAACGATAAAATTTTTAGGTTACCGATTGGTATTCGTCTAATGAACGAAATCTTGTTGAATCATGTCACAGCTTACTATCATGGTGTACAAAACTTCAAATGTCCTTCACTACGTCGAGATCTAGGTAATAAAATCAATGCATTTAAACAACGTTTAAGAGAATACAGTCAATGTACAAACGCGGCGCAGCTCGATCAAGAAATTCCTCACGTTAATTATCACATTTCCGGTAACAGCGATCCGTCAAAATCTAGACGCAAACGAATGCGTGATAATGACGAAGAAAAAGAAAACCTTCAATCGCATCTGAAAGTAATTGTCAACAGAGATATCGATGAAAATCGATCACAAACAGTGATTATCAAAGAGCCAGCAATTAAACAACAAAAATTAGATGTGAATGAATCGGTTCAATTCGATCATAACTATTGCGATATCATGTATGATAATGAATTCGAAGGTCTCAATCTCCTGCATTATTCACCATGTGACATCGAAGAATCAGAAAATTTACCTTTCATAAGCAACATTCAAGAAATGATTCATCCAAAGGCTGTTGTTAATAGTAAACCCAATACCAGTACTATCTCTTCACGTGAGTTAAGCATCGAAAGCTAATTGTCGATTGGTGATCTCTATTTAGAATCACTATTGATACCGTGTGAACAAGAAAAGTTCTGCGAACCAGGTAAACTTTGCCGTTTGCTCTTTTTCCAGAATATTATTTTATATCTGTCTATAGATTATATCATTCTTTCGTCAGATGATGAAGATGAACCGGAAAAAAATTGGAATCCTGCTTCATGTTTCATGACTATTTTACCTATTTATTTATTGAATCGTCTGTATTAATCTTTGAGATACTTAATTGCTTTTTCTTCTCATTTTCCTGTTGTCAATTCTTCTCTATATACATCCTTGTGTTAACCTTAGCTTTATTCTGTAAATATCCAACTTTTTGTTCTTCTTTTGTTTTCTAAATGGTTTATACGTTATGAAAAACAAATAACAACAAGAAACACAACTAAGTAGTAGCAAAATTATCCAGATGTTTTGCGAATTTGTGGTGGATTATTGTCTTTGACTTTCGTCGGATCGTATTTGTACGTTGGAACAGCAGAGCTGATGCCAGCACGACGAAAGATATCATCTGAACAGAAATCAAACATTCTCAGTGCATATGTAAACACTTTTGTGAAATCATTCCACAAACCTCCTAATTGTTTTCGTTTTTCAACCTCAGCTAACAGTTTACTATTACGGAAATCTAAACGAAATACATATGTTCAAAGATACTTGGAATTCTGTTAATATAAATTATTCATACTTTCTCGAAATCCAGTAAGACCTTTCTTCTTTTGTACTTTCGTATCAGCTCGTTTTGTTGGTGGGGCTGGTAATCTTAATGCACGGCGAACAGGTGGTTGACGTAAAATCACCGACTGAGCTAACGATATCACATTTGATGTTGCCCAATACAATGTCAAAGCCTATGAAAACATGGAAGATCAATGGGAAACCAGGATTGAAATCGTAGTTTTACCGATGAGAAGTTTATTGTAAATATTAACGAGAGAAACGGGATAACGCGTAAAGCATTCCGACCGATAAGTCCTAGATTAGCCGTACGCATACCGGTTTCGATACCAAGCTGAAAAATTTGGATAATAGTTGAACACTTAGGTTGGACTTCTGATGAAAGAACATACTTCCATTGTAACAAACATCGACACAGCAGTGAAAACTGGCAGAATGTAATAAGGATCAGCAACGGTCAAATCAGGAAACCATAAAACTCCTCCGTACATCATACTCTCAAGAGGATAGTTAGCTAAACCACGAATACCGAGAAAGAATGAAATGAAAAATGGCATCTAAATCAAAACGATTGAAATTTAGTTCCAATGGAAAATATCGATCTACCTGCATGAACGGCCCGATCATAGCTTTCCACGGTTTAACATCTGAATATTTCATGAATTCCATTAGTTCATTGCCTGCTCTCATGACTAGAAACAAACGAAGAATACTTCGAATGTTCATTTCAAACTACAAGTCTTGTCTGTTAACATACTTGCCAGTTGATCGTTTCGAATGCGTGCTTCTTGAAGTTTTCCTTGTAATTCTTGCAACTTGGGCATATGTGTTTGCATTTGGCCAGCGCTTCGTTGATTATAGATAGCGATTGGTACTGTTGCTGTACGAAGAATCAGTGTACCTAAGTGAAAACCAGCAGATTGCATCCAACTGATCTGTCCGTGGTGCGTTGACTTACCGAGTATAATTGTTCCCCACCATGGCAGACCGAGATTAGCATGAATGAAGTCAAGACTCTGTTGTACCCAACCAGTTGGTAAATACCATTTACCAAGGCCTAAAGTTGATAACGCTGGTTCACCAGCAGCATTCAAATAGAACTCAACAGGCATGTCTGATGGAATTGTTGGCGGTTCGGGTATGTAACCGAACTCATCAGCTTCAACTTTTGATACATCAGTGATGGTTGCAACGGGAGCTGTCGGTAGCTCCATAGAGGTTGGCTCAGAGATAGAATGTGTAATATTAGCAGGCCATGGGTCAACAGTTGATGTTGGCGGAGTTGATGTTTTCCAGAACTGCCATGATAATGAACGTTTCAAAACAAGTTGTGTGGAACTGATAGGAAACAATCGTGACGAAGAAGAGAAATTTCGAACAGAAGAGTAGACTCTTGGCTACAGAAACGAAAGAAATGATCTTCATGTGTGCAAAGATGGTATCTACCTGTCTAGATAGACGAACAAGCGAAATCGCAAGACGACCACAATGTCGTAATTCCATCTATAATACAAATGAAGCCTATACGATAACCCGTGAGATCCTTCAAGTGAATGTGCCAATCATAAATCAGTGCAGAGTAAAACATGATGTTCCGACGATGTCCTAATTTTACTTGTTATATAGCAAAAAAAAACAAATAGGAAATAACAGAAAAGGATCATTTTTTCGATGAAGGGGATGTTTTACAACACGGAGCAAGTTCAGGCATTCGTTTTGGATATAAGAGACGCATATTTTTGCGCTGTTTACCACGAAGAACACGTAGTCGAACGACTTCTTCTTGAAAATCTCGATGTTCATTTCTAAAAGCATTGATTCAAAACGAACATACTGACAAAGGTTGTGCTTACCTAAAAAGACCGTATTCACGTAAACCTTCCATCAGTCGATATATTTCACCATAACGAGGATAGTAGTTCATCGAGACAAGTGTACCAGATGTGTGTGGACGATCGTCGAGAAAGCGAAGGAATTTCTCGTGTTGTTCTCGATGTTCTTTTCTCGCAAAGGCGATTTTCGGATATTCTGTAAAGATTCGTTGACTTAAACGAATCATACGCTGTGCATAGCCACTCATCGGCGCTGCCATTTGTTTCTCTGAAAAGTTCAATAGTTGAAAATTGATGTATTTCTGATAAAAAAGCAATACAAGATCTTGAAAGTCATTTCGGTTGTGTTATTAGAACTATTTGTAAACAAGAAATCCTATTGGTCACTTCCGTTCTTCCAATTACAGCTATCAAAAATCGTCGTCGCGTCAGCGAGCCAGGTAGAAATGAAAATGAATTTGATTGACACTGTAAATCGTAATATTCCATACCCGTTTCGAAGCAAATTTCCAAGGAATTCATAGTAGAGAACAATAAATTAACAGAATGATGTTTTTTCGATTTCATAAACTCATTCAAAATCTTTTTTTACTTAGCGTAATGATGAACTAAGTGTTTTCGCATTATCTCTTCATAATCCTATAATGTTCTAATCATCAGCACTCTTTTCTATCATCGGCTTTGGAATTTCCGACTATTCTCCTCGTCAGTTCAGGTTTGATAATGATCGCTGGTAATGAAGAATATTGACCTAATCACTAGAAGAGGAGGTGCCGCGTGCTTATACTTTCACTTTGCGCCGCTATAATGTGGAAGATGATACTTGAGATGTAGTGCTTCGTTCGAGGCTTCGTTATTACATGTATAACCTAGCGTAGTGTATCTGAAGCATGCCGCCGACCGTATATATACCGAGATTGCGCCAGTAGTTAGCGACAATCGATCAATGGGTGATCAATAACCAATCAGAAGTTGCGCTACTTATACCTGTTGTGAAACGGAATAGTATGGAACACTAAACAGTGTATTTCTTACGGTAAACAAGTCTGTTAGAATCATTCAATTATATGTAAATAATAGAATTTTACCTTTTTAGATCCGAACATAAGAAAACCGACCAAATCATCGCCATGAAATCCGTCAAAGATCTTGTTAAAGTACTATTACGCATTTTCCTCGCCGTCTCAACAGTTATTCTTTCGTTTAGGCACATGGTTCGATCATACTTCTTCGTCGTTCATTATCTCTTACACCTAGAGCTCTTGCCGAAAAAACCGTATGTTTTGTCAGTCGTTCTTTCCAGTGAGTGACATTCTCATCTTTAGATTACTATTCGTGAGGCTATAACCCAAGCCATGGATGAAGAAATCACTCGCGATGATCGAGTTTTCTTGATGGGTGAAGAAGTCGCTCAATATGATGGAGCGTACAAAATGTCCAAAGGTCTTTGGAAAAAGCATGGTGACAAACGTATTGTTGATACACCAATTACCGAAATGGGTTTCGCTGGAATAGCAACCGGTGCTGCTATGGTAATGAATGATAGCTAAACATTCTTCAGTCTTAGGGTTGTCTCTATTTTGAAATTTGATTTTTAAGGCTGGCCTTCGACCAATTTGTGAGTTTATGACATTTAATTTTTCTATGCAAGCAATTGATCATGTTATCAATTCGGCTGCTAAAACATATTATATGTCTTCGGGAAAAGTAGTGTGAAAACATTCCTAAGGTACTTTCTGAACTCTCTTCTCATTTAGGTTAAAGTACCGATTGTTTTTCGTGGACCAAATGGAGCAGCTGCTGGTAGGTAAACTTTATTTCGTGTTTAAAATATCTTCACCGTAAGTTTAGGTGTGGCTGCTCAACATTCGCAAGATTATTCGACATGGTACAGTCAATGTCCCGGTTTAAAAGTCATTGCACCTTATTCAGCTGAGGATTGTCGTGGTTTACTCAAAGCTGCTGTTCGTGATGATGATCCGGGTGAGTTAACGCTTGTCTTGCCCTGACTAGTCATTGTAATTATTTGATATACTAGTTGTCTTTTTGGAAAATGAATTAATCTATGGTCAACAATTTCCAATATCAGACGAGGCTTTGTCCGCAGATTTCGTTTTACCTATTGGTAAAGGTAAAATCGAACGCGAAGGCAAACATGTTACACTTGCTTCATATTCAATTGGCATCAAAATCTGCTTGGAAGCAGCCAAAGAATTAGAACAAAATGGAATTGATTGCGAAGTTCGTTGAACAAAGAATCTTCAGCTTCTAACGTACCTGTCACACTTCGTTTAGGTAATCAATCTACGAACATTGAGACCTTTGGATGAAGATATCATCAAAACATCCGTTAAGAAAACCCATCATCTCGTCACAGTAGAGTTCGGTTGGCCACAATGCAGTATCGGCGCAGAAATTATCGCAAGAATATGTGAAAGTACGTTCAAATCAGACTTCGAATGCACATCTACATCAAATTCTTCATTTCAGGTGACGCTTTCGACTATCTTGATGCTCCACCAATCCGTGTGACAGGCGCTGATGTTCCATTAGCCTATGCCAAAACCTTAGAACAAAATTCAATGCCACAAGTGCCCAATGTCCTTAAATCAGTCAAAAAAGTTTTAAACAAATAGAACATTCAACTCCTATAAATTCATGTGTAGTATCGAACACTATCTTTCTCCACTTTGTGTGTGTGTGCGTGTTTTATTTTCATTAGACTATCTCCGAACAGTAACAAAAAAGAAAAAGCAGTATTAAAGCAAGCATTAAAAAAGAGAAAAATCAATTCGTACTTATACAGCTTATTCTTGTCATGTACCGTTGTATACCTTGCAGTCAAGTATCTACATACACTTATTTATTTGATATAAAGTAGGAAATAAAAAGGAAAAAGAAATATGTAAATTTTTTGCTTCATTTGCGATCTGAAGATGCATGAGTATTTTAATAACGAGATGAAAATTTTTTTTGTATGGATTTTCATCTGTTGAAAAGGAAAGCAAACGAAGAGCGAATCATTCGTTAAACATCTAAACTATCAAATGAAATTTAATATATTGATCGCTGTTTTTTTTTCTCGAAGGAATAAATTGCAAGAGAACAGAAAATATTGTAAATTTTCATATGATAAGACTGTAATTAAGTTCTGTTTTTTCTCTCTTTGCATCGTGATTGCTGTTGTTATTGTTATTTGATAATTTGAAAAGCTATCATCATGAAACAGTAAGTTAGGAGGCGATGCATACGCGTTCATTCTGACTATTCCATGTAATTTTAGCAATAAAGTTAAATTCGATGAATTAGGTTATTGGGATAGCGAGAAATCTTGTTCGAATAATGAGGGCGTCTACGTCAATGATCAAGATCAATCGATTGCGTTGAGTAAGTGTTTGATTTCATCATTTATTTTTCTTGCATATTCAATCGATTCAAAGGTGTAAGTTTATTACAAAAACATAAAGCTATTTCTGCCATAAATCGAATACGTGTGCGATCACATACTATTCTATCAGCACAATGTCAATGTCATCGGTCATTTCATCTATTTTGTACAGATTTATTCAATGACAGTCCAACGGAGAATGATATGATCAATCAACATCCCGCACCGCATTGCCATGATCGGGATGTGTCTCGACGAGTACCGACGCCATTTAGAAAATATCGACATAGATTTGTGAGCGAAACAATACACCAGGAGAAGAATCTACCGAATGAATCAGAAAAATTATCACGAATGACTTCCAAAATATATCCACGAATATCATCATCGAAAGTTCCATCGACTGAACAATCATCCCATCGATCTGTCCAAACGCCAATAAAAACTTGTACTATGTCAAAACATTCGCTATCGAAATCAACAGCCTCTCTTCCACAATTACAAATTCGTAGTCTACCTATTCACGATCCTTTCTCTTCAGAACCACAAATTATTCTTCCTCGAACTCCACCTCCATCACCAAAAACCCCCACGTATGAACCATCGATAACTTCATCCCAATCGGACGCACCTGCATCATTGCAGATCATTTCTTTAACACCTCGTAATCGGCTTTCCAACGAACACAAAAAGGAATCGCCAATTATGTCTTCATCGGCTAAAATCGCAACGTACGATGAACATGCACAAGAATATCTATCAGCTGTCGACCATTCTGAGGAAGTCGTTGATAAAGATAATCAACAGCCATTAATATCACCAACAATACGACAACTATCTGCATCTACTCGATCATTGTCAAGATCAGGCACTGCATTAAGTGTTCGTTTATTATCGCATGTTGCCAATCGATATTTAAATCTACAGAAAAATCATGATTCCTTAGCCGAGATAGATACTAATTCGCCAGATCGAATTCGGCGAACATACAAACCACAACGACGGCTGAGAACATTCATTAACGATAGTCATGAAGACACAACAAACAAATCCAAGCCTCTAGAAGTTCCACCCCGACTAAAATCGGTTTTCGGCTTTTCTAAGACAGCAAGCTCCATGCATTTTGGATATGCTGCTGATCAATTAGGTTTACAAGGAACTGTAAGTGTGAAAACAAACCTCTCGACTTGATATAACTTTACTTTCTTTGCTTAGTTTGAAAAATGGCCCCGACCTCGCTCACGTCGTACGTCAGTCGAAAGAAAACATGAAGTAACAACACTTCGTCTAGTAACATTGCCTTTAGTAACATCTCGATGACAATAAAACGCAGAGAAACTTTTCTTCTTTTTTTTCTCCTCCGAATACGCGATCATTTTTTCTTCGTGTTGTACGTCTGTCGTAATCATTGTCTATATATTTCTCCTCTCCTTATCGATATGGATTGTATTTCAGGCTTTTATAATGGAACTATGCTCGAATAGATTGTGAAAGAAAGAATAAGATAAGCATTTACGGCAATTGAAGTGTATCGAAGAAGAACATATTGTTGTTTTGTTTCTTTCCAGACATCGATGGAGTGCAGCCTAGTGTTTTTATTTAGATAAGACAAAGTCAATTGGAGAAGAGCGACAAATCGTTCTAAGATCTTATTGGTTAATTCAAATTGACAAATAAGTTGAAATGTATCGATCGAGCGAACGAACGAACGAACGTACGCTGCTTGTTCTTGTTCGCTCGAACGTTGATGTTTGTTTTCTTGACAAATCCACCCGCATCTCCTCAATATTTATATATATTAAAGATCGATTGTTCGACTTGTTTTCGTACGATTGCTGAGCGTATATCAATGGTTGTTTCGTTTCGTATTCCGGTAGTTTCGATGCATTTTTCAATTGAAATAATCGCTATTTTACAGCATTAATTCATTCTGAACGCGAAATAACGACGATGGCATGCTGAGCAGGGTTTTGTTTATCATAGGTTCTTTTTTCATTCTACAATGTGTGCATGACTAATTTGGAGATTCACAAAGTCCCTCGTGTCATCGTATCTCCTTCGGTTGGAAATGACAGGCGATGAATTGTTCATTAAGTGGAAAGAATAGAGAGTAGGAAAGCAGGATCTTCTCATGTAGTTTTTGACCGATTTTCTTTCATGCGTTTGTCATTACGTGATATCTTCATGCGTACACAAAGAAGCATGACTTCTTCTAGATAAACCTATAAATTAAATTATACTTACTAGTGCTGATATTAATTAAAATGCTGAGTTAACCTGTTGTTTTTTATCATTATTATTACTATTATTGCGATTGTTCAACTGAACGTCTTTCATTTGCCTATCTTGCACAATATGTTAAAGAGAGGTATGTCGAAAAGAGTGACGACGCATGTGTTAGACTTTGAAAGTTTTTTTTTATCGCAGATGTCTGGTCGACAATCATCAAATGAACAATTGTCGATGAATGATCGACCTTTGCCAGTCGATACATGTGAGAAAAAAGAAGAATATCAGGAGCAACGACATGAGCGATCAGCATCCAGTCCAGGTATGCTATAAATGTGATCTAACAAGGGTGATTTCTATTGTTTTCTGTTGCATAGGAAAACGATTTTCTGTCACATCTCGACGAGAATCAACATCAGCTTCGTCAGGTGCTCGCCAATCAAATACTTCCACAACTGAATCGCATCGGGGACGTTCGAAGACAACACCATCACAGATACTGGAAGTCGAATCAACCTTTGATAATTCTTCGCAACCATCGACTATAGGATCCACTGGCTTTAATTTTCTTCAATCGATCAAAGATTTAACACAAAAAGAACTCTACCGTGCTAATCCACTAGGACTTCTCGGAAAAGAAGTCATCTCTGCCACTGGTACAACGCGTTGTCCCGAGCCGATACCACCGAATGAAGATGAACGACCAGCTAGTAGTGTTGGTGAAGACGGTGGTGCAATAACACCCGCATCTTCGTCGGTTTCATCGAATAAACTATCACCAATAACTGAAAATGAACCACAGCATATCCATTTCCCATTGAATGAAGAAGAGAAAGCCAATATGCACCGACGTCGTTCAACGCTAGTCAGTACATCTGAAGTCGTACTTCCACCATGTCCAGCCGAGTTCATTGAAAACACCGCTAACAATATCGAACAGCCACATTTATTCTCTCAACTATCGCCAACAACTATGGTAGCAGATTTTATACCTGACAAAATGACAATCAATGTTTTTGAAGTGTTCATTTATGCATGGGGTGTGTTCGCATTCTTCTTCGACATGATTACGGATCTTGTCCTGGCTCAAGCTTACTATACCGAAGGTGCCTATTGGCTCTTTTTATTGACTCTCATGTGTGTTATTGTACCAAACTTGACCTTATCCGTTTTTTCTCTCGTCTGGTACATCGATGGAAGTCAATTGAAATCATCTCGAAATGAGAAACAAACAGTAACACAATATAACACATCGATGCATGAAACAAATCTCTCCAATGATCTGGCTGAGAAAGATCAACGACGAGCGAGCAAAACTTCAGAATCGATGCCATTAAATGAGAAACCAGCTGGAATAAATAAACTTGATGTACATACATCCGACTCGGAATATCAATCGCAAAAGCTTGACAAAGATGCACAACAGAAATTGTACAATGAAAAAGATATGCAGTTCTCAGTTGCTACCGCCAATGTTCTAACTTGGATAATTCGCATCATTATACTTGTATTACAGTTGGATTTATGTTTAAAGTAAGAAATCCTTTCCTGCAGCAATGCAATCACAAACTATTCTACTTAGATACATTCGTGGATTGTATTATACATGGAAAGGCTTTCAAAAACGTCACAATCCAAAGTGGGCGCGATTCTATCTAACAAAACAAATTCTGATCGATGCTGATATTGCTCTCTTACGTGTTTTCGATTGTTTTATGGATTCTGGTTCACAAGTAACATTACAACTATATATTATGTTACGATTAGGTTCAACATCGATGAAATGTAAGTTAGATAATGAACATCTACAAGTGATGTCATTTGTTCTTTGTTCGATAGTTGATAATCTATTCCTGAAGCAATGCCTATCGATTGTATCATCATTGGGTTCATTAGCGTATGCACTGAGCGGTTACTCACGATGTTGGCGTCATATGCAATTAACGCATTCACCACAAGGCTGGCCAAAAGGTAAACCTGCACCACAATTAGTATCTTGGTGGAGTACAATCATTCAATGGGTAAGACTTCATTGTTTGTTTTTGTACATGTATGTTTTCTTTCTCTCGTTTCAGGTTTGGTATCTGTTTTTAATTACTCCAAGAGTGTTAGCTTTAGCCATGTTTGCTGCTACATTTCGTTCGTGGTTTTGGATTATTATATTTGCACATTGGTGTGGAATGCTCTTTTGGGTTCTTCGTTTCGTAAGTTGAGCTCGTTTGCTGAAAGCGTTTTTCGATGTGCTTCTTTTTTGCAGCGTACAATCTTCTGTATCAGTGACCAAACGAAATATAACCCACGCGAAGCTATTTTCGAGAAATGTTACAATTTGGTTTGTTCATATATATTCATATTTTGTTACATGGTAAACTAACAACTAAACACCAGTGCTGATGAAATTTTCTTACGTTTTTTTTCTTTAGAATCTTCGAAAAGGCGATACTCGTACTCATTATATTGGCTTTTATACCATTTATTATATTGAAAATATCGCATTTTCCATCATCTATGCTATTCATTCGGCTGAAACTAATTTAGTCTTGAAGTATTCACTTGTTTTATTTGTTTGTTGCGGCTTTTGGGTGGCAGTGTCATTTCAATTTTGTTACTATCGATTTCTACATCCGAGTACTCATGTTCGTCTAAGTACCAAACGAAACATATCAGCATTTGTACATACTCGAACGAAAAGACGGTCCGATCAATTAAACAAATCGAAATCGTGCGAAGACATCATTGCCCATGCAGAACATCCAAATCCCACTGAAAATAACGAACTGATCGAAACAACATCTCTACACTTTGACAATTCGATTGATGAACGGTGGCACAATCGTTTCTCGAAAGAAAACCGACAAAAGCTTATTTTTCAACAGCAAGTCATTGATGAAAAAGTTAAAATGACACGCGCACAGAAACAGCTCGAAGATGCCGCCAAGCGTCAACATCGATCGACACAAAACTTCTTCACGCGATTATCATCGCCATTCAAACGATCGCCTGTACTATCAACAACGCCGGTGATACAATCGTCAGATAGTACGATCAATCACCCTAGTGTATCGACGACAAGATCACATCAACCCGATGCTGTTAATCAACTATCGGCGTTTTGTACACCTGATAAACAGAAGATTCCTTACCAGCAATCATCGCATATATATGATATTGACGAAGATATACCATTACCTGTTGACGACCAAACTATCACATCTGTACATACTAATAACGTGATATCCGAAGGTGGAAATGAAATGATTTTAACTGCTGCTAAACTTGTATCTGATACCATAACTCCTCTCCCTTCATCTTCTGCTAATAACAATACGACTTTATCATCACCGACAATGATTGATTAATGCTGATAAAGAATCTAGGGTCAGTTGCTTTATTTCTCTAATGATGAGAGCAAGAAATCAAGTTTAACATCTACTTATATGATTTTTCATTGATCTATATGCCTTTGCAAAAGTAGATTTCATTCTAGGATATTGTCGATTATGAATTCTTCTATAACTCGTGGATTTTCTTCTCGCCTTTAATGCAATGGCAACAGTAATGCATTGATTTGACGCCTGGTTTTCCTCATTTGATCTTCCAAACAATTTCTATTCACTTCTTTTTGTTTTGTTCCAATCACGAGTTTACCTCATATAATCAAGCATTGCAGAATTACTCAAAACAAGTCAGCCAATCCATACTCTTGCTTCAGTTGGTACTTATATTCTCATATTCAACCATTTGTGATCAGCCACTTGTTTTTCTCTTGAATATCTTCGAAATGATTCGATTTCAAATGGATATCCGATGAAGTAAGACTATTTTCATTTTCTAATCAAAGCAAAAGCATTTTCTCTTTCTCTTCAGGTTGTTAACAATCGAGCTGAATAATCTAGTCAACTGCTCCTCATTCTAGTCATAATTTTGCTCAGTTGACACGTCCTTGCTTGATTTCGATATTCATTTTAACATAATCAATTTTTTTGTACGTGTGCGTGTGTGTTAGAAAAAAGTAGAACAGAGAAGTTGTGTGATTGTTTTCTTCGAAACGGCTAGTTATGCGTTGATAGATATTCGTAATGAAAAGCAGAACAGCACCCGAAAGGATTTATTTTTATTTGATAATAATTAGAGAAATACATATCGTTTGAAATAAAGTCGTTCATGCAAATTTAGATGAAGTCTTCTTTGTCATACAGATCATGAATCGTCAAACAGGTTTATTACGTCAACATGAAATGCGTGCGACGCAACAAGTTGCAACGCAACGATCCACACAATCACTCGCCAAAGTTCAGGAATACAGTTCGACACCACCACGACAGTCACAACGAAGTGCACAAGAAACGAACATGTTCATAACACGAATACTTGACGAATGTGGTTTGGAAATAAAGATGGCTGATGAAGAGAATATGAATAACAATGATGAATTGAATGTGAGTTTCGACTCAACTGAGATCCTCGAATCTAATAAGAAGGCTGTCGAATCGAACATAGGAATAAACATTTGTTGATTTTTCTCTAGCTTGAATTGAAAGTCGATCAAGGAATATTAGCCAAACGCTTATCTCAACGTTTACGTTCAGCGTCAAGTACAACTTCTGTCACAACAACATCCACGTCGATATCGTTAAAACAATTCGAAAATGAATTAGTTTCATTCTTCTCTAATGACTCCATATTTCGGTCCTCGTTACTTCCAACATCAAGTACAGATGATGTTTCACCGCTTCGGTCTCAACAACAAGATAGTCTCATGAGAATATTGCTATGTGTTGACGAATTGCAAATGTTTCTTGCTAAATATTTACTCAAACGTCTCGTTCGATTCGACAATAAAGGTGGCGATCGTGTTATTGTACAAAATCTACCATTATCGATGATACGTCTCATTTTACAAACATTTCATTATTTACCTATTGGAAAATCGACCAATGCCAAAGAATTACTTGACTTTTATTTAGATGTGATCGATCTAGTAACGAATAATGATGTACGTTGTCACATGATCTCACTCGTGACAGATATTTTCTGTGATGATTATCTACAAAACGATATCGTGATAAAATTAGAAGAGAAACTTGATTCAACGAATGTAGAGATTGTCAAACAGGTTCTATCAACATTGATCACATTACAATTGAGTGAATCAACCGACCGACGTATTCGAGAAAAGATTATTCCGATGANTACAAAATCTACCATTATCGATGATACGTCTCATTTTACAAACATTTCATTATTTACCTATTGGAAAATCGACCAATGCCAAAGAATTACTTGACTTTTATTTAGATGTGATCGATCTAGTAACGAATAATGATGTACGTTGTCAGATGATCTCACTCGTGACAGATATTTTCTGTGATGATTATCTACAAAACGATATCGTGATAAAATTAGAAGAGAAACTTGATTCAACGAATGTAGAGATTGTCAAACAGGTTCTATCAACATTGATCACATTACAATTGAGTGAATCAACCGACCGACGTATTCGAGAAAAGATTATTCCGATGATAATGACCGGCATTTCAGATGTTAAAGTTGAATGTTTCAATTACCTATTCGAAACATCGACGAAAGTGAATATGTTCGAAACAGTTCTATTATTTCGTGATGTGGCCATCGTATCTGGAAGACGGTAGAGAATAACTTGTTCTTCAATGACAAATTTGCTTCCATTCATTTTACTTTAGATCGGATCGTTTGACCTCTTCGACAACGGATAATTTTTCATCAGTGGCCAGTCTTTTCGACCGATTTGAACATTACTTTCAATCATCACGTATTCTCTTTCGAACTTGCCAAGAAAAACATCCAATTACGGCGGATATGTGTCTAAAAATCAACAGTTATTTTCTCTTTGACTTTTTCGTCGGTATTCTTCTTGCCAATCGTTCCTATTACACGAATTTGAAGACATTTGTTAAAAAACTCGGCGAAGAACCTTCAATCATTCGTGCTATTCATACGCATCTATCATCAAATTTGTCATTCGTGATCAAATACGCCCAGCAAATCTTTCGTTTTGCCGTAGCGATATTTCAACAATTGTCATTTGGAAATTTTCCGGCAATCACAACGACAAATAATTCCTTATCATCCACGAATCTGATTCATTTACAGATCGGTCTTCAGCTAGCTGTTATGCTGGTTGATTTACTCTTTTCCATCAGCCAAGAAGTGAAACATATACCGGACTTTCATGAGCAAATCGTCAGTGCTCTGGTGCGGATGGCAATCATCTTTCAACATCGATATATTCAACGTTTCCAAATTTTGAAGTTATTGAAACGTTTCTGCTATCGATTTAAAACAAAAATGTTAACATGTGAATCATATTTAAAGAATATGTTCGAATATATCGATGTATTTCGTGTAAGTCATGAACTTTCGCCTCTCGAATCCGGTGACTAGCTGCTTTTGTGTTTCTAGGGTGATCATCTTCGTCTGGTATTTGCCATTCTTGCTTCAATGTATAATACAGGTGTATATAATGATTTGAATATGTTTGTTACAAAGTGTTTGATTCAACCGCATAAGGAAAAGGCGCGAGGTGTTTTCGGTGCAATTGAAATCTTTCGATCATTGTTACTTAGACATGTTGCTGATTTAGCACAAGTACCAATGGAAAGTAAGTAAACTGTAAATGGGAATTTGAGATTCAATACAACGATTTAGACAACAAACGACTGGATGGAAAATTATCGAATCATGAAAATGAATTGAAAGATCTGCTCGGTCTCGTTCAATCTTCCGGTATGCAATGTCCTCAAACGTTAGCATTGTTCTACGATGAATTAGCGAATATCCTTGGTTCAACCAATGTTAAACAATTACAACAACAGCAACAGACGTGTTCATCGATGCAAATTGACACCCAGTCTCTCGATTGGTTTGCTATCTCAGCAGCGGACATGTTTCAAGAAGCTTTTCTTAATGATAGTGATATATCTTTAACATCGAATTCACTCGATAATCATCATCACCGTTTTCCTCAACAAACTCGCATCGTCTACAGTTTTCCTGGCCAAACAGCCAATGCAGCGGTGCTCAATCTTGCTAATATCATTTCGAAATATCATCAATATCGAACGATGAGTGATACGAGTTCCTCGCCCATCTTATTAGCGCCCATGCTTCGCTTAATCGTCTTAGCCTCATGGTCGAATATTGACCAAGTCGATGCTGTTCTTCAATGTTCATTACGCATTCCGGACCTTTCACCGTCGAATGATATTGATATTGATTCGCCGAAGTCTTTGGAATATTATCGTGATAAATTAAAAGACTTGTCCAATTCTTCATTGAATATTGTATGCGATGTTTATTATTATGCCAGTCGATTATTTCGTGAAATATGTAATTTATTAGCATCGACGATGAATCAAAACCAATCGTTGATTTCTACAAGACTTGAACAACTGACTGATATCGAAGAACATTTTGCTATTTCGGTACAAATATGTCGACAACAGTATGGATTCTACGAACCTATTTGCTCTAATCTCGAAATCAACCAGGCGAAGAAGATTACGAAGAAACCAGCTTCAACGAAATCTAAATCAAAGAAATCACAAGGAGCAAAGTACAACAAATTTCCCAACGAAGTCTTTGTCACAGATTTTTCTTTAGGCGAACAATGCCAACAACGGAAGAAGATGAAGAAGATGACGAAAGTAAAAGCGAAGATGAAGAAAATACTAACAAGAAGAAATCTCGAACTTCAGTTGTACCAAAATCAAAAGCCAAACCTAGTAATAGAGACTTTTCGTTTAACTTATATTTCTTTTCTTCTCTCTGTTTAGAAGCGAAATCAAAACAACCATCGATCTTCGATATTTACGAATTCGATATTCGTCCTTTGGAATATGTGACGTTTCACTATATCACGACATATCTCGAACAGCTACCGAAGAGTAGTGGCAAGCAACGTTTAACCATCCTGCGCTGTGTCTCAACATTAATGGGAGATCTTCATCGTTTGCTAACAAATAACAATTCGTCCATATCATCCATAGGCGTGATTAAAAAGCGGTTTAATACTCATACAGCGCCAACGACATTACAAACCCAACAAATACGTGCCGAACATGCCGAACACGACGAAGATTTCGATGAGAACAACGACGATAAACTTGATCTGATGACATTAGAATCCTTCGAAATGTTTTTAGTACAAGTTATACATACGATGAAATATATACATATGTTCATGGGCACAACAAACACGGATGAAACAGCGAATCAATCGATGGATACAGATGATGATGTGAATTGCTTGATCGATCGTGATCAAAGTCGTGATTTGGCTAGTCGTGCATTCTATTACGCACTGGATAGTTTTTACTTTCTCTTAAGTTTATTCAAAGTTAAACAGACAAATTGGCAGAAAGATCTGGAACGAGATACAACGTGTTTAAGTCGCTTATTGGCAATCGTTGGCAAACACATTTTGTCAACAAAAGAGCAGAAAGAAAATGAAAGAGTTCGAATTTTGAAAAAGATCTTCTCATTTGCTGAAATTCTCAATCTAATTGACGCAACTCGACTTTGTCAAGCTTTAGAATTATTCATTCAATTATTCGATGAAGAAGAGCAACAAGTAAGCTTAGCGAAATTCTATTATGCAAACATAATTCGACTTGTTCGATTCTATTAGGATGAATTGTACAAAATATTCACAGCTAAATGTCGTCATTTCTTAGAAGAATGTAGTCTTGATACAACTTCAAGTACAGTCATATCATTTTCAAAGATTTCAACTGTACGCGCAGTTGAGACACTGCTGAATTTATATTTACTCCATCTGGAATCCGACGAGATTACAGGTGTTATTGTTGGTATAGTAGATTATTCGTTGAAGATTGTGACACGAGCCAATGATAATGATGAAACTGATGACACGACAGAGAATGCCATTGTTGACCTTTCAACATGGAATATGAAGTCAACGTTTATCGTCTATTTTCGTTGTCTATTCAAACATTTCATCATCAAAGCACGATCGATTAAATTACCGAATGAATCGAAAAGGAAAGCTGAACTCGAAACAATCTGTGCGGAGTGGTTGGAATTAAACGATCTATTTCGCAAATTTGTCTCATTTGTGACCATTGATCAAATCTATGCAAAAAATGCTACGGTAAATTCGAATGACTGGAAAGATTTGCAATAATTGTATTCATTGTAGATCATTTCGACTGTTCTTCGGTGTTCGAAACAATATATTGATGTTTTCCGAGCTCGTGCTATGCCAACATTAGATCTCTATTTTCTTCACGATACACACGGAACAAAACAATTGCTAACTGTGTTACAAAAATCGACGCGATTGTTACAATCACTCTGCAACATGGTCAAAAAAGATCAAAAACATATGTCCTGCATACGATTAGTACCGGCATTGAAGCGGACTTTGGAAATGCTGATGTGTCGAGCTAAAGTTATGGTAGATGTGAATAATTGTCCAGCAAATGTTTTCTGTATTGGTCAATTGAAAGCGAAAGATTTGAAAGGAAATGAATTGAGTGATGTTACATATCGTCAGCAACAAGAAGAAGATGAAAGTAAGTGATTCGGAATAGGGAGTATTCAGGAGAGAGAGAGAGTTGTTGCATTTGATTTTTATTTTAGATGATACTTCTTCAACAATGGATGACGATTCGAATGACGTACAACCCGATCAAGACGAAGAGGATGAAGAAGAAGAGGAGGAGGAGCAAGAGGAAGAATGAAACCTATCTGTCAGATTTTATTTTTACTTTTCCATATGTTCTTGTACAAATTATAGAGTCAGATATAATAAAATGATCAGATATAATTTTACTAGTTAATCACGCTGTGAAATACAACAATATGTTTCGTAGTTTTAGAATGAACTATCTTCTGTTTCTTGGATTACTGTCATCGGCTATTGCTATGCGATGGATTGTTGCTCGATATCCTTACTCAGGTAGATTGAATGGTTTGTGGTCATAATTGTAGTAGTTCATGCTTAAGGTTATAACAAACCACCGATGTTTGGTGATTTCGAAGCACAACGTCACTGGATGGAAATAACTCTGCACTTACCGGTGAACGAATGGTAATGAACAAAATGAAATGAATGTTTTTCTAGTGTAAATTATTTTTTGATTGTTAGGTATCAAAATTCGTCTGCAAATAATTTGACTTATTGGGGTTTAGATTATCCACTATTGACTGCATATCATTCCTACCTTTGTGGCTGGATGTAAGTAGTTTGAACAGCAACGTACCGTATCCTATGATTCATATTTCCAGAGCTAATAAGATCAATCCAGCATGGTGTGCTTTGAAAGCTTCACATGGTCACGAGAGTGATGCGCATAAACTTTTTATGCGTTATACTGGTAAGTAAACCAGAGTGTTGTCCAAACTTGATTTTCATAGAAACCGCTTCGTATAGTATTTATTGCTGATCTTCTCGTTTACTATCCAGCTGTTTTGTACACATATCGATCTGATTTACTGAATAAAAATGTTCCAACTAAACGAGTAAGTCTTTCCATTCTCCAGTCTGCAAGCTTGACTATATTGTATCTAGTTGACTGTTTTATTAACAAATTTGTTTTATCCTTTGTTAATCTTGACCGATCATGGTCATTTTCAATACAATTCCATTAGTCTTGGCTTTGCATTGCTAGCGTTTATCATGGCTACTCAAGAGAAATCGATTCTACTCTCCGCAGTATTCTTTACATTATCATTGAATTATAAACAAATGGAACTCTATCACGCCGTGCCAATATTTGTCTACTTACTCTCGGCATATTGCGTCGAACAGAGAAAGATCAAGTAGGAGAATTTCCGTTTGATATGAAAGAATTTGGAAATCGTCGATTTCATTTAGATGGAAGACATTCTTCTCATTAGGTTTAGTAGTCATTGGAACATTTGCTGTGATTTGGCTTCCGGTGCTTCAACATAATCCATCTACTGTGATAAAACGACTTTTCCCGTTTGAACGTGGTTTATTTGAAGTAAATCGTTCTTGACTAATCCATTGAATGAAAGTGCTTCTTGAAGGACAAAGTGGCGAACTTTTGGTGTACGTTGAATATATTGATAAAACTTCGAGTGAAATTTGAACATGAAACATTAGCCAAGATATGGTAAGTATTAACTTATTCCAAAACGTTGTCTTCAGATTGTCCTTTGTTTGTAAATAGTTTATTGACAACATCATTGAGCATTTTACCTTCGTGTATAATGCTGTTTCGACGACCGACTGTGCGAAATTTCTATATTAGTCTAGTATGTGTTCATTTGCAAGAATTATACGATCATCGAATGGTTGTTTTACATTTAGTTCAATATATCCTTGTGCTTTTATTTATTTTCATTTCAAGTCCATGAAAAGACAATTTTACTGCCATGTCTGTGAGTATTCCTTCATTGTTTTCATTCGAATGAGTCTCACGCATTTACTGTGTAGCCCGATGATATTATTATCTGCCACTTATCCAGTAGAATGCTTCACTTTTCTCCAATTTGCTATGATCAGGTAGACAAACAGAACAGACATCTTGAATTTCATATGATCACTTCGTTCTTTCTTTTAGCGTCTTTCCTCTCATGCTCAAAGATAATCTAGTATTTATCTTCTGGTTAACATTTATTGCCTTTTCAATTCTGGCTTTTCAACGTTTCTACATTCATTTCAATCATATTTCATTATTACAATTAATTCTAGTATGTTGCTCTTTCCTTTCAACTTTCCAAATCTTAGACTTCTTCTTCGTTTAGTTAACGCTATGTGTGACAGTGACCCTTCCTTTACTACTTGCTGCTGTTTACATTCGCCCGCCACGACGTTATCCAGATCTATGGATTGTTCTTATCAGTGCTTGTTCGTGTCTTTATTTTCTGAGCATATTGATTCGGTTTCATATCTATCAATTCCGAGAAACAACATTTAAACCATCTTCAACGAAAAAGATACAATAAAGCTAGTACTCGTCGAAGTATCATTCATTGTTTGACATATATATTTATGAAGTAAATGATGGAATACGCGTACACACAAACTGAAATGAAATGAGAAGAAGAAAATATATATGTTTTGCATAAATGAGCATTTTGCTTGTTCGCTTTCAATAAATAGATTGAAGAACAGGACGAATACCACTTGAATCCATGTTCATTAGTTGTCGGGTACGATCAACTTCTGTCTGTGGGGTAATTTCGGTATTCAAACGACGGCGAGTTTCCAATGCACGTTTCTCCAACATGATCGAATTCGATTTGACGGCGATCTCATCTTCAATACGATGTAAATTTTGCTGAAGAATGTTCCACGAATGTCTGAAATGAAAACAGTTCACTCAAACGAAAAATCTGTCAATCGAATGGGTACTTCGCTTGTTTGAGTTGATCTTCCAAGGCACGTTTTTCAGCTTTCAATTGTTGAATTTCATCACATAACTAAATAGTTAATAGAGAGTAGAAAAGAATAATGGAATGTTATCATTCTCATACTCCGTATGAAACTTCATCACGAACCAAATCCATACCAGGTCGACTATGACGATTCTCTTGACGCGTCATTGCTAATTTGATCAATGGCTCTTTGTCTAAAATCACATATTTAGCTTTAAAGCGATTAGAAATATTTGCGACTTCATACCTCGAATAGCTTTTTCAAGACGATCAATATCGTTTTCATTGCTGAGAATTTCTTCTTGAGTCTGCAAAACACAATGATATTGAAATTTGATTCAGATGGATTTATTGTACCTGTTTCTTCTGCCATTCGAGCTCATTGAGCGCTCGTTCGAGTTCATGAAGACGTTTTCGTAACGCATATTCGCTTGCTTTCTGTTGTGATTCGAGATCAGCTGCTGATTGACCCATGGTATGGAATATATTTTCACGAAGGCGTGTTGATTCATACACTGAAATCGACGAGGATCAAACGTTTTCTTTCGAAGACTATTCGTGTTCTCGACATACTTTCTTTTTCTGCGCGATCTTTGTTATATTTTGAAAAAGCCATCCATTCTTCCGGTGTAATTTGTCCTTTGATTGGTCGACATGGGTCAGGTTTATAACTGATATTGGGCGAGAATTCGTTCAGTTGTAAGTTTTCTTCGCAAATCGCAAAAGCTGTTTGTTTATCTTGTAAATCCTAAGTGACACTTCACAGGTTAACAACGGAAAATTCTTTTCGTTAGAGCGGAAATTTACTCGAATCAACTGTTGTTTCGCTTCGGTAAGTCGAGCAATTTGATCGAAAGATGTTTGTACTTGCTGATGAAGTTGTCGTTTAATACCATCGATCACGTAGACCTCCTACGCATGTGAAAAGAAAGAATGTTATCAGTCTTTTCTCCTTCTTTGTCAGTTGGTTAGTTCTGAGGTTTATTTCATGCCACGTATTCGAACGAATAGTTCGACTCCTGAAAGTCGAAGACGCGAACTTCTTCTATTGAAATCATCCTCGATCGATGGACGAATTAAAACTGCGCTGAACGATGCCAAAAATGTCGTCCGAAAAAGTGTTCAGTTCGATACTCGCAAACGTTTGTCGTATGCAAAACAGTTATCTCTGTGTGATATATTCGAAGCGAATGATCTAATCGAGTGTACAACAATTCTACCACCAATTCATCGCGCCAGTACAATACTACTATTCGATGAGAATGATAGCAAACACCATGCACGAATATCGTCCACTACTTACGAATTCGTTGATCAAAACAAGAAATTATCAACGGCACCATCCATATATCATGTAGAACTAGCATTGAGTGATGATGATGATGATGACGATGTCCGTGATGGAACATATCGAGCACATTTTATAACTTGTTGTAATATAGTACCGGATTATCAATTCCTATATCATGGCCGTCGGCGAACAAGTTCGTTACCGAGTTCCACAATTACATTTGATCTTTCCATCCCGATTAAACAAGCAACATCGACCAATCGTAGTTCAAGTTTAATGAATATAACTTCATGGCAGAATAATCCTCAAAAAGTAGTTCCTCTCCTCAGTTCTCAATATTATTGCCAACCGATTAGTCAGTTTCGGCCAAATCAATTTCTTTTAGCCACCGCTGCAGCTATCGATATATACAACATTCAAACAGGATTCTGCGAAGAACAACTACGTCTTCAATCAACAGATGTCAATTACATAGCTCTGTGCTACAATCAATACAAACAAGAACTTTTTGTTGCATCAACGACAGATTTATATGTTTATAATTTAGTCAAATGTCAAATCACTCACAAACTGCGTCTACCTGGTTGCCCATTCAATCTAGATCATAACTCTCAGATACGATATTTAACATGCAATTCATCATCTATCTATCATGGCTATTTTACTTTTAGTTCAACGAAAACATCGACTGTCCTTTCGCGGTTGTCTCAATTTGGATTAAAACTCGTTGCCGATCTAGAATTCGAAGATGCAACCATGCATGGATTACATGCATTTGAAAATCATATTGGCGTGATTGTACGTTACGGACGGTACTCATTCAAACAACGTGAACACTATTGTTTGTATATTTATGATTCCTTACTGAAAAATATCTACTATCAAGTCGATTTGAATGATGTTGGTTGCATCACATGCTTATCAGGCTATGAACGAACGTTAGATTGGATACTATGCGATTCCAATAAACAACGGATATTGTTTGTTAATCAAGAATCGATTGAATATGTTCAGTACGATGAACAAATTCAGCAGTGCATGATATTGAACGAATCCAATTGGTTTATCGTTTGGGCGAAAAATCGCATGTTAGTGTATCCGATCGAATAACATACCTTTTTCAATTCACGTTCAGGTTCGTCATCAACATTGTCGATTGCTTTGCGTCCATCGCGTGTAACGTGGTTTTCTAGTGCAACATCTGTTGTTTTTTTCGAAGAGAAAAAGTGTTGATGTCGAATTCGTTGCTTGTAAAGAAATAAAAAGTTTACCTAACGGGCTTCGCATATGTGCTAGATAACGTTCACATTGTTCTTTAGCTGTTTGAATGGCTTGAATTTCGCGATCAATGTCTTGAATTGTATATTCAAGTGTTTTACGCCATTTATCGATTTCATCAAGACGATCCGAGATACGCACATCACTGAAATCAAAAGAAAAACCATGCATTCGCTCTTTTGTTTAATTGTATGTTCAATGTACTTGTCGTGTTTGTTCCACCATGATTCATTGTATGTTTCATTGGTTAATCTTCGACCATCTTGCCGTACTTGATGTGAAACATTTCTACTACGTTCAGCATCGTATGAAATAGCATAACTAATCAGAAGGACATTTAGAAAAACGGAGAATTCTGGTGAATGCATTACTTGTGATTGAACCAATCTGGTACACTATATTTTGCACGGGGTTTTTCTTCAAGTGTTGGATGGATAGTGTGTACAGCAACTTCCGATCGAGGTTTTAACGGCTTGGAGAGTGCGTTGAATCCGCTCATGACTGAAAGAACGATGTTTTAAAATCAAAATAAGAATGTTGATCCGAAGTGAGCGCGGAGGTTATGTTTGGTTCGCCATTTTAATTCTCATCTCTATGGACTGTCTTGACAACAGTCATTGTTCAAATGGAAATAGATTCGTGGTGTTCGACGATAAGAAACTCCTCAAGTGCCTTTTTTAAAAAGTATTCTATTGAAAAAATGTGCTTGAAAGAAAAGATTTGAAAAGAGGTCGCCTAAGTCAATTTGTTCGTCCATTCGAGAAGTATATCAGTCAATTCTTGTACAATCAATGAATCAACTTTGAACAATTTGATCAAGAGTTCAGTAAAATGATGTGACCCGTGTTCGAGATACAATCGAATCAAATCTTCAATCGATTCTATATGATACTGTTGCATAAGTAAGCAAGTTGAATTTGACAACAATCGGTTCAATTGATAAATTGAATGAAAATCATCTTTGCAGTAATTGACATGTGAATTACATCGACGTATCATAGGTTTGCCTAGTGAAACACCAAAATGCTCACCACGATGTAGTATTATACCATCGGATACTTCTTCAATGAGTGTTGTATTCTGATGTTTGAACTTGAAAGAATTAGTTTTTATTATATGCAACTCCTTATCAAATACAGTCATACTTTTGGTAAAAACGATGGTATAGGTTCGTTGCTACTCTCCATACTAGTTGTATTTTGTTTATGATTATTATTGCTGTTGATGGAACGAATTACTGATGATGAATTTTCTAATGTTGTGAAGTGACTCTCATCGTTTGAACATGATTCACTGAGAATTTTTGATAGATTCTCCACACATTGATTTACATTGTTGAAAATTGTTTTTCTTATACAATTTTTCTTGTTCAATTCTGAATAGTTCGTTTACAATGACGATTCTTGAAATACTCATGCGAAAATGAATTTACCTTCACTACAAAATCGCTTTTGACTGTTATTTCGATCGTTTACAGACAATTTATTCTTTTTCAATACTTCACAAGGAACGAGGTCGTCGTCTTTGGTTGAATTATACGACAAGGAATCAAATGTATCATTTGAGATCAGGAAATTCGGCCGTTGTTCCGCTGCAAGAACGATTTCAGATCGACCAGCATCGCTGTTAACATTCTGAATTCCAACACTAAGTTTCATAAGATTTGGTTTGAATGAATTCAGTTCTTCCACTACTTGAGACGGCTTCATGCCAGTTTGCACTAATCGTGCCCGTAATGGCATGGACCAGAAGAATAAAACGGAGAGATTTCGGGCAAATATCGACTTTGCTGCTTGTCTACTAGTCTCCGTGGGTACTCGGTATCGATTTAACTTGCATTCATTGATGAACGAACTCGTGCCTTTTTGTTGTTGGTTTACAAACAAACATGGACTTCTCCATTGGGGTTGAAAGATATACTTCACTATTCCTTGTTGATCGACAATAGTTGATGATACAGTGACAGCCTCATATGATGTTGTTGGTGTTTGTTCATCGTCACCATCATCATTGAATATGTAAGTAATGCCAGCTGCAGCGCATGCAGCTGCAGCTAAAAGCATCAATAGATTGGTTTCTATAGCCAAAAAAAAAGATTTTCCAAATTCTTTTCTTTGAGTTATATTGCGCCTAATGAAAATTCTATTGCTGACATCGATATAATGCTGAAATGGAAGTAGGAAATCGAGAAATAAGGTAAACGCGAAAGAAGTTGAAATATATGTTTGCAACATCTCGGTGTAGGTAGATAATATAAATATTAAAGGAATTGGAAAGTTGGAAAATACCGATGGTATCTATGTCAGCTTCTACCGTGAAGGTGAGAGTAGAACTGATGATGTAAATAATTTGCTTTTAAGACAGTATCTGACTTTTTACACGAAATATGGATGAAATGGAACGCAAATTCTTTGTCCTATTCCATTCCGTGTGGGACGCTAGTGACGACTGCATGATGAAAACGTCTATTGAAGAAAATGGAAATCAATCAGTTTCCACATCAAATGGTTAAATACAAAATTGTTGTTCTTCTACAAACACCTAATCAAGAGCTCCGAGTAAACGGAATTCATCGAATGACTCATTTCTGATTCATTGCAAGAACAGCGTTCGAAATCTTTTCACAGAAAGTTAAATGCCGCGATATTGAGCACTTTTTCAGTTTCTTTATCTTGTTGATCAATTTTTGACTGCAACATTATGGAAGTACAAGCTTTGTTTGACTTTGATCATTTGTTGCATCACTATCAAAACTTTGGTCACGTTGATATAGTGATAGAACTGAATTATTCGAATCTCGAATCGTGGTCATAGTTTGTCAATCAAAATTTAACAATAAATAGCATTCCGTCGCAAATCATCATCAAATACAATCAAACTAGAATTTTGTCCGTTCACGTAGAATGTCTAAAGTTATTCATTGATCCGTTTCATTAATAAACAGAAAAAGACAAAATTTTCATCTTCATGTTCGTGAAACAATAATTAGATCTTCTCACGAAGCGAAGCTATGGCGGATCGTTTCTGACGATAAATCGATACGCTTCTGATTATCATTGTGGTAATCGCCGCCATTGAAATACAATTCCATAAAACTGAGAAATAGATAACGAAATAACAAATAAACGAAAACACTGTCTTATATCTGTATCCGATAAGAAAGAGAAAGAGACAGAAATGTAATCTTATCGTTTGAATTCACAATCAAATAGTGGGATAAGAGTGGGATTATTTCAAATCGTGAATGAATAAGTACATACAGGGTGTGGGTGTGTGTGAAAGGGACAAATACTATATTATACATAATAAATTCAGTCGCTTTGGCAGCCAAAAACTAAATATCAATAGACTTTGCATATCATCGAGGTCAATTTTTATACTTGAAACATGGGTCACAGAATCAATCTATTCGTTTTATTGTGTCATATATATGTGACATCTCTATCTGTCCTCTATATCGCACATATTCATTCGTTCTTTTTCGAAATTATCCAATAAAGTAAAGTTCTGCAGCTTTGATGTAATGTAATGTAAATGTAAAGACAGCTGCCAGCCAGACCACCAAGTTTTTCGATTTTTCACAGATCGAAATGAATATTCTTAAAACTCGTTATCCAGAACTATATGCTCTCCACCAAGCGATACCGAATATCGATCATGACGGTAAAGATCTTTTTCGTGGACTATACCTCACAAAAAAGATGACAAAAAATCAAGATCGCCATTGGAAAGACCTGCTTGCAAGAAAACAAACTTCAACTGATAATCAATCATTTCTATCGAATCTCTTGCACAGTTGTCATAGGAAAAATCGTTTAAACATCCTCCTAACAAATATTGATCTCAAAATGAATAATCATGATTATCTTTCGAAAAACTCGCTAATATCGCATATCTATTTATCAAATATATGGTTCGAACGACGAAAACTACTATCGGATGAAGCTGTCATATATCTGTTAAGTGAATTTACGATTATTGAATGTTTAACCCGTAAACGAAAGTTATTCATGCAAATAAGTGGTACACATGAAACATTTTATAGTTTACCTTATTATATCGCTAGAAAAGCGGAAGAAAAGCAGCAAGCGCATAAACGGGCAAAGAAAATCAACACTAGGAAACGAACAATTCAATTTCATTTACACGCTACTAAAGAAGGACAACAAGCACATCTGACAGATTTGTATGAAACATCAATTCCAAACCATTTGATGCATTATCATGTCTCAAAATTCGAACGATTTGATGTCTATTCTCCAATTGAAAAAGCTTACAACGGAGAAATGCTAGTTGAAGCTTTCTTTTCGTCTGATTTTAGCAAAGGATTCTTTAGTCATCGACCTAAGGAAGAAGTGGTAATATTTATCTTTCGATTGTCTTTACAATCACATTAACTTTGTTATTTAGGAGCAAATCCGTGAAAATCTCATTCCGATCTTCGAACGATTTCGATCGAACCATCACGAATTCTACCTTCGCCGTCGATCACGTCTACCTCTTGCCTACACTCTTCATCATATTCCGGAACCTACAGCTACAGTGGACCAATTGATATCTCTGACAACACCGCTCGCTACTGTTCAACATTTTGTTCGTGTTTGGTTAACACATGTTTTTCCAGTTGAATTATTCGGCACAAAATATAATTCTCGATTATTCATCCGTCGCATGTGTTTCATTCTTCAATTACCACGCATTCAGCAATATTCGCCAGGTGAAGTAATGCAAAAATTAAAACTAAACAAATGTCAATGGACAATCATCTCGAACAAGTTATCATCACTTGTTCGTCATCTGTATTTTGGTCATTTAATATATTTTCTTATTCATTATGTTCTGACACTAAGTCGTTCGTATTTCTATGCTACAGAAGGATCTTCACCATCTCATCCATTAGTTATGATCTTCTATCGACATAAGATTTGGTAAGAGAGCATTTCGGAGTTCGCGCATCGAATTCATTTTGCCACATAGGTATGCTATTCAACAGAAATCTCGTTGTGAACTATTGGAAAAAGCTTGCGCCCCAACAGTTCAACAAGAATTTGTCAGTGATTGTCATGATATTCGTTATCTATGGAAGGTACGCTTTGTACCGAAGAAAGCCAGCGTTCGTTATCTAGCCTGTGCTCAAGAAGGAATCAATACGAAAGAAAATATCAATCATTTAAAATATACAAATGAAGTTTTGAAGTATCTGCGTCGACACAACAAGCATTTATTAGGTATTGCTACATTTAATCGAGTAGAAATGCATCGACGCTGGCAAGAATATTGTCAAACAGCACCGAAAGTAGAGAGCGGAAGCATGACATACTTTCTAGTAGGTTGACATTCGTGTTTATCTTTGATTGATTTAACTTGAATTTGAATTCTAGAGAAGTGACGTGTCGAATTTTTACGATTCAATCAATATTGATTGTTTAGATCAAGTAAGTCAGATATGAAAACTATCGAGTACATTGCTTCGCTAAAAACTCTGTTTGCATACACCAGACAATAAAACAAAATTATGTCATTGATACATGATGATTAATCTTGTTCAAATAATAATATCCGAAAACAGTTCTCCGCCCTGTTCTTCTCTTTTTAGGCACTGGTGGAATTTCTCAACGACTGTGAATTCAATTACAACTTGCATATACATACTATTTATAAAACCCAGTATCGTAACGGCCGGATCATTCGCAAACGAACTCTCTTTTGGGTTGGTAAAGAAAATGAATCGATGTGTGCAACACTACTCGATGATACAAAACCAGTCAATAATGGTATCTTTCATGATATGGTCATCCACGAAGGACACATTGAAGTATATGATAGAGCCAAACTATTGAAATATATTCGTGCTCAATTATACAAGTAAGTATCTTTCAGTTTTCTGCGCTTTTTAAAAAATGTCGTTTAGTTCGTATCTTTACACGCGTCATTCGACAATGTCATCGATTAAATCATACCGTCGCACAGTTGGCATCAATCATGGTTTACGTATCGCGTCAATGCTTGGGCAAATCTATCTAAATAAAATTGATAATGATATCAAGTTTAGTCCGTTGGAAGACGAGTTCGCGGTTCGACATGAAGACGATCTTTTGATCATTTCTCCACATCGTTACCGTCTCCGTCGAATTAAATTACATATGAATCAACGATTGAATGAATTACATCATATAACAAATCCGTTGAAAACTTCGCTGAAAACCAAAACCAATATTCGCCATAAGACAATGAAAAAAATCCGTCCTGTAGAATATTGGGGTTCACTTGTCGATATTCAGTCACGGCAAATCTTTGTTTCCATCAATCCCAACGAAAATATTCAAAACAAAATCAATCACTTAACCATCAAAGTCACGCGTGAACCCGGTTACAACGTTCGTCAATCGTTATTAAACGCTCTGAGCCTTCGCTCACATTCCTACTATTTCGATCGTTTATATACGACAGCGAACACGTTAATTAAGAACTTCTATTCGCTCTCATGCTATTATTTCAAACGTTTACATTCCATATGTTATCGTTTTGCTCAAATCTATTCGAATCAGTACGTGCAGTCGAAAAGTTTATTCCTGTTCCGCACTATTCGTTCAGGATTACGGTTGTTAATCAAAAAAGCATTTATATTCAGTCAAAAATCAACAATGGTGATCAATCAATGTAAATATGTCTTTTTTATAGCATGCTTAAGATTAATTCGACGAAATAAACACCTTTTTCAAAATGAAATTATGACAAAACGATTTGCACATATGATAAAAAAATTGAAATATCTACCTAAAAAACGCAAACATGATTTAAAGAAACTCATTGGTATCAAACAATAGTCTATTCAGTTTCTATCATATATATATATATGTGTGTGTGTATTGTTTTTCTATGATTAGAAATATAATAACGTTCATAACACGATTGGATCTTTTCTACTTAAGTGCAATATTGGCATATTTTTACATTCGAATCTGCTCGAATTGAACCTCGATTATTTGCCTATTCTTTTCTTCCATTCAGCTATTTGCAACTCCTTTCGCCACCACTTCAACTTCGATAGTCTTTTTCATTCACACATCAAAATGCTTCTCATTCGCTGCACTAATATTGACGCTACTCATCTTCGCTAGATCAACATTCAAATCGTTCGCTAATATATCATTTTCATGACGGATCTCATTTCTTTTCTGACGAAGAAGTACTAGGCGAACCGCAGACAACTTTTGTCGCAACTAAGAGTAAGACATTGAGCGTTGATGAACTCGCTTAACTGAATAAGTCTAAAAGACATAATTGAGTTAAATTCCTTGTCAGAGTGACATTGTTTGCATTTATTGTTGCACTAAAACATCTTTATTTCTTGTCGAAATTAATCCTTTCAGAATTATAACGAATTTGTTTCTAATGAGATGAGATTCTCTCGAGAGACATTGACACGTTTTTAGAGTACTTAATTACTACAAACATTTTGACAATTCGAGAACAAATGACGGATTATATAAAAAACTGATAATTCAAACGGTGTTCGCTGGTATTTTCAATTATCTCTATCCAATGCAGCATACTGCACGATCAGTTGTTTAAAGGTAAGAATCTCAAGGTCTTGAAAATGACATTGAATCGTCGATAGCGAAGAAAATGATCGCACTGCAGATCCATCGCATTATGGATGGATATATCCTCGCTTTACTAATATCATTTTCAAAACCTTGACAATCTAATTATAGAACTGATCTAGTCTTCCGTGTTCAGCATGTAAACGATTATTGAATAATCTTCGTTTTTTATCGATCACGCCGTATACTAGTTAAACATGTTACCGGGCGACGTGACTTTGTTCTCTTTGTGGAAATTGATATTCAGTAGTAGCAGCTAACGATTAGATCAGAAAGAAAAACGTTTGTTCAAACGCGGTACGAAACGCATTGAGAACTTCCGGTCTCCTAAGACGTTCAAATCAAAGTCGTTTGTCATTTAAAGATTAAACGATTATTTGATATTGTTCTTCTCGTATCGATTTCTACTTCATCAATCGTCGCCGTAACATATATGATGAAAAATATCACCGCTCTACTGTAATTTCCTTCCTTTCATTTGCACACACAGATCTTCATGCGAAGAAATGATGCAGAAAACAATTGCTTCTTTTTCCAGCTAACATACATCTCTTCATAGTGATCCACTAGTCCAATTTCATTGGTAATCCTTCTGAATAGATCGATCGACTCCTTCCACTTCTTGTCGATGCACACATATGGAACAATACTAATCATTCTGATTGTAATAAGACGAGACTTTCGTTCGGAAATGATCCTATCTGAAGCTCGATTTCGTTCATTATTATTCAGTCACACATGTGTCGAGTGAGTGCAGCTGAGAGAGAAAATCTTCTGCCAGAGACACGTTATCACTGCCATAAATATCGCATTCAATTTAATTCATTCAGCCGGAAAGAATATATTAACGGATCGTATCGATTAGATTTTTTAATTGCATCATGATAGAAATGCAAAATAGATTACCAAGCGAAATCATCATCCCCTGGAAAATGAGGATTAAAATTAAAGTGTCTACAGGCATGATTAAATTTTTGTTTCCTACGATTGTTTTATGTGACTTCAACGATGTTTTAGAGCTTTTTGTTCGTTATTGATAGTTTCATTTACATGAGAACGATATAATTAGTCTCGGTTCAGTCATTGTGTGACAATGTCACGAATAGAACCGGATAATGATGATCATGTACTGCTAAATACATATCAACATATTGCCAGAGGTTGGTTAGATCGAGCGAGGGGGATAGAAAATCTTTTGTCAAACAACCTATTGTCAGTTTTTTACAAAAATATCCTAACTAGCGCGTTTTTCTCTTCCTCTTTAAATACGATAGTAAACATAGCAAAAATATAGATTGCCGAAGAATATATATATATATTTTCTTTTCTTTTTTTTTGTATGCTCTCGTTCAGTATTCTTATATCTATATGACTAGCATGAGTATTTTCTATTACATTCTCCAAACTAAGTATCAAAAACTGAGAATGACTACTAAGTTCAATTGTTTCTATTGATAAATCTATTTTCTTCACAAATCAACGCCGAGATAGTTTCCTCTTATTCCCGTTTCGTCAATGATCAGGGAGAAATTCTTTTCCTCAAATCCATTAAATATTCTCTTTCAGATTAAATCCAACACAGTCGTATTACAAGCATGTACAGTAGCAGAAATTCAATTTTGCTTATTACCTTAACAGTTGCTCTTCGTAAGATTCTTTAAAAGAAGAAAAAAAAACATAAAGGAAATCATTCAATTATGAACTCATTTAGTTCTTCTCTGGTGTACAGTACAACCAACATCTGCTGATACGAACGAAGAAGAATCTCATCATGTCGTCGAAACTATGGAAGAAGATAATAGTGACAATGATTTAATTGATGATTTTCTTGATTTGTACGAACGTGCATCTCTTCGTCCTGTTGCTATACAACAACGTGCATCCCTTCGACCATTTGCTGGTAAACGTGCATCTCTCCGACCATTTGTTGGTCGTCGTGCATCACTTCGACCATCGGCTGGCAAACGGGCATCCCTACGTCCAGCAAATCATTTGGGCAAACGAAAACGACGAAGCTCTGATGAATGAAGCAATCAATCATCATGAAATCTTTCTTTGGATAACTAAGATGATCTTCTCACTTATTTTTTCTCTTTTTTTGCTTACAAAACATCAAGAAATAAAAATGTAATAAAAATTATTTCACCGAAGATCAACTGACAGGTGTCAATCGTGTTGAACTTTCGTAGAAAGATGAATAATAAATCAAGCACACATTACTGAGAACGCGATATATCGAACGAATGCACAGTTACCGCAGTAATGTCAATCGCTAACTTTAGATTTCCGAGAAAGAATCACGGTAAGCGTTCGCAAACATCGTGTAACTGGTCTTATGTAAAGCTCAAAAGTCAATATTTTGCTCTTTTATCGTTGTATCGCCATAGGGAAAATTGCGTTGGAGCTACTTTAGGAAGTTACTTTTTATAGATCTTGACTTGTAGAAGAATAGCTATGTTGAAAAGTTCATTTATGAAAATGAAGGCGTGAGAGAAGAGAAATCAACATTAAAATAATGAAACGGATGGAAGATACAGATGATTGTCAATTTGGTTAATTACAGAAAAAAAACACAAGACATATTTTCGACATTTGATTGTATCTATATATGGCATAATTGATAAAATTCAGCAAATTAGAACATTTTTATGTAATTTGGGAGAAAATCATCAGAAATATTCACTCTTTGCTCCCAAGATTTCAAGGATTGATCACCATAGTCGATGTCAGTCTAATGAGAAATTAGTCTCAAGCGAATGTCTGATAAGACGGCTGAGCTTAGCAATCACGGTCAGACATTGCTTATTATAGATAACTCGAAGAAAGTAATAATCAAATCAGCGAAACGATAAGTCGATCTGTATAAAACATAAACAGAACTATTCATTTATGAACGACGTCAACGAACAAATGAGAACATGCAAGTGTATTGTCGTCGAATAAAACAATAAATTGCCTTTTTTATTTTTTCAAATGCGGCGATGAATAAAAACTGCAAGAAATCACTTGTAACAGTAAAACTTATAGTCTATGCATGGTTTGCTTCTGAAAAGTACCTAATCATGACTTTTTATGTTGCTTGATTGAATTTCTTGTCGAGAGTTTTCTTCACTTCAGTAATGAAATCTTTGGTATTTAAATACATGCCTTCTTTCACACTAAAACAAACACGTAAAGATCATATTATTTAGACGATTTTCCTGGATGGAAAAATCTCGTTTCGTCGAATAGGAAGTCGATGAAAGTACTTCTCATTTGACAAAACAAGATCTAACTGCTTTTTGAGAATCAGAGTCTTACTCTTTAAGTCCGTGTATGCAAATTGCAAGATCCTTCGTTATTTTTTGAGAATCAACTGTTTCAATACACGATTCTTCAAGTAATCGGCACCAACTGAAGAGTGAAAGATATCAATCACTGTGTTTTTTTTACAGGGTGTAATTGTTTACCGTTGAAGTTCTTCGTTACCATCAAGTTTACCACGATGTTCGAGACCACGTGTCCATGCAAATATACTCGCAATCGAATTTGTACTTGTTGCTTTTCCCTAGAACGACAAGCTGATTAAGTTTGTGTCTTTGGAATGACATGTTGTTACTTTTTGATGTTCTCGATAATGACGGGTTACAGTGCCATGTGCAGCTTCAGCTTCGATTGTTTTCCCATCGGGACAAACAAGTACCGACGACATAAGACCAAGGCTACCATAACCTAATGAACTCGGAATAGAAGAAAGATTTTTAGCAACGAAATACCTTGTGCAACAATATCAGACTGAACATCACCGTCGTAATTTTTACATGCCCAGACAAAGCCACCGCTACTTTTGAGCGCTTGAGCAACCATATCTATCAAAGAATCACTTCCGTCTATTTTCATGTACAATTGACAAAATTTGATTATGTACCATCAATTAATCGATGCTCATACCAGATCTTTTTCTCTTCAAATTCTTTTCTATATTGCTTTTGATATATCTCTTCGAATATATCCTTGAAACGTCCATCGTATCGCTTAAGAATGGTGTTTTTCGTTGATAGATACAACGGATAATTCTACAAGAATCACTTTTCATTTATTCTATATCATATCAATGAAATCGCATACCTTTTTCAGCGCATATTGAAAACATGAATGAGCAAATCCAGTGATCGATTCATCAGTATTATACATAGCTAATGAAACACCACCAGTATTTGTAAAGTTGAACACCTCGACTTCTGTAGCTGCAGAACCATCCGCCGGTTCATATTTGAGTGTTACACGTCCTGGACTTTTAATCACCATGTCTTGACACCGATATTGATCACCAAAAGCGTGGCGACCAATGACAATCGGTTCTTTCCAGCCGGGAACCAACAATGGAATAGATTTGCATATAATCGGTTCCCGAAATACAGTGCCACCCTATGTAAATTATAAGCATACAATGTGATCTTCTTCCTCTTGCTTGTAGAAAACGACACTTACAAGAATATTACGAATAGTTCCATTCGGAGAAAGCCACATTTTTTTAAGAGAAAATTCTAAAAGTTCGAGTGATGATGTGTCGAATAGAAAGTTGGAAGACCATTTTTACCTTCTACACGTTGTTCATCAGGTGTTATCGTGGCACACTTTATACCGACGTTATATTTTTGAATGGCATGCGCTGCATCAATAGTCACTTGATCATTCGTAGCGTCTCGATTTTCGAGGCCCAAATCGAAATATTTGCACTCAACATCAACATAAGGAAAAATAAGCTAATCAAAGGAGATTTATGAAAGTAAGACTGTCATCCTAATAAAACGACATGTAACGAACCATTTCTTTGATCCATGCCCAGATAATTCGAGTCATTTCATCTCCATCCAATTCAACAATTGGATTGGCAACTTTAATTCGTTTTCGCGATGTTCCATCTGAATCTATAAGAAAAGTACACTAGTTATCAGATCGAAATAGTGTACAACGGGAAATCTCTACTTGAGTGTTTGGTATCTTCGTGCGACGACATCGTTTCAGCTAACGTTTAATGCTAAAATAACAAAAGAGACCAATCGACTTGCCGTACTATAGTAAATGACATGAAAAAAAAACACCGAGATACCGAACGAAACGAACATTGCAAACAATCAGGTTCTATAAATATCCTACATATAAAAGCTATACAACCGTATAGAAAAAATTATATGTCATGCATCGATACATCGAATTATGTGCGAAAAAAAGATTTCAAGAGTAACTAATAATAAAAGTATATAAATTTGTTAAAAATTGTCGCTAGTTTCCAGACCGCGCATACTCAGGTTTTCTAGAAGATGCATCGACTATAGAGGTACACGTTTACTGGCAATGAAAACAGACTTACCGAGAAATGAATCATCTAGCATGACGTCGTAAGCAAAGACTATGGAGAACGGAATTTACCCAGCAGTTTACACGCATATATATATACGTGTTGTGTAAGAAATGACGACACTTTCACTCATTTCTCATTTCGACGAACACACGAATCGTTGTAATCATGGCAGCGTCGATTGCTTTCTCATCGATAGTCGATCCGTTAACTCCGCTATATGATCCAGAAGGTATTCCTGCGAAATGGATCGATTGTCCAAGAAAATCAGCAGTCATTGCTGGTAAAACCGAGTCGATTGAATCTTGCATAACATAGGTAGTGATGAATTTTTCTCTAGAAACATTTCTTGCATTCAAAACCCCACTGGACGATCGTTATAAAAACGATATTCAAAAAGGAAAATACTGGACTTGTAAAATGTTAATTCAAAATGCGAACGACAAGAATGTAAAGATGAATTCAACATTTGTTGGGAAAAACCCAGTTCCATTTTTTTCGTATATGTAGAAAAAACTTGGTCTTGTGATCGATTTAACTAACACCAATCGATATTATAATAGTGAAGTTGAATTCAAACCGCATGATATACAGTATAAGAAAATCCGATGTCAAGGGTAGGTATTCATTGTCCAAAGGGTGGCGTCTGATTTTCACACCAAATTAAACACATATATCTCTGCAGACACAATGAAACTCCAAACAACGAACAGATAGACGAATTCATTCGTGTCTGTCGTGAGTTTCGACTCACTAGTCCAAATGACTTAATCGGTACTGTTCATTCCGATCTTATTTTCGCATAATAGAATTCTTCGATATGTTAGGTGTTCATTGCACTCATGGCTTCAATCGCACGGGTTTTCTCATCTGTGCATATCTTTGCCGACAACGTCAGATGAGGCACGCAGAGCTCTGCAATTAGTTTCCTTTGGAATGATCATTTGTGGTTTTCATTTTTAAGGATCGATAATGCTATCGGTCTATTCGCAAAAGCGCGACAACCTGGTATTTACAAGCAAGATTATCTAGATAGACTAGTCCACTTATTTGGCGATGGTAATACATTGAACGTATTTGCACCGCTGTCACCTCTATGGCATCAAAGTAAATAGAACTGTTTTTCAACATGCTTTCATATTGTTCAATTTCAGCTGCTTCAACGACTCCATCCGAAGGAAATAAACGAGCACATGATGGAGATGACTCCGCACAATCTAACAAGCGATTTCAAACGAATTATGATTCAGTAAGCTTGATCATGTCATAGAAAGTTGATTTCGTGCATTGCATTTTCTCCTGTAGAAATCGTTGCCTAAATTTGCCGTTGACATTCCAAATGTTATACCTGTAGGCGACAAATATCTTCTGGATTCTATTCGATCAAGCTGCCAAAGCATTTGTGGATGGCAAAGGTAGATTTTTCTTTTAGGAAACAGAATCATTTTTTTACAAATTACCATCTTCGTTTAGACGAAGTTTTCCTGGCTCACAGCCTGTGTCATTACACAGAGAAAACTATCCACTCATTTTTCTCTCTCCTTATATGGTTAGTTGGAAGGCGGATGGCACTCGGTAAAATGAATTATTTCATCTTGTACATGTTATTTATTAAAACTATTTCTGACCACAGATACATGATGTGGATCGAGGATAAAGACAAAGTCTACATGTTGGACCGGAATAATAACGCCTTCGAAATCCTACATATGTCATTCCCGAGAACGTCCGATGGTGAACAACCTTTAACAAATACACTTCTGGATGGGGTGAGTTATCTACGATTCATATATTTCTTTGAATTCTGTTATATTTCTTTTCCAGGAATTCGTTACCGATTACGTTAACAATGAAAAAATCTATCGGTATCTTGTTTATGATATCATCATGATTAATGTAAGCGAAGAATCATACATAATTTCAATCGAACTATTCGTATTTATTATTTAGAACATCAATGTTAGTCAACGATCGTTCAAAGAGCGTCTCAAACTCATCTCTCGAGATGTCGTCGGCGTTAGAGATACAGCCCATGAGAATGGCCGATTGGATAAACAACAACAACAACCATTTTCAATAAAGGCAAAATCGTTTTGGACTTTGGAACATGTCACGACTGTAAGAAAATGTTGCACAATTCTAATGACTCATCTGTGTGGGCTGTTTTTTCGTCCTCTGTATAGTTACTCAGTGAGAAATTTCAATCGAAAATCACACATGGATGTGACGGATTGGTCTTTCAACCGGTAGATGACGTGAGTTTATACTTTTCAAAACAAGAAACTTTTCTATGTTATCTTACTCTTTAGCCCTACCAATGCGGTCGATCTGACCGAGTATTGAAATGGAAGGGGGACAATACAATTGACTTTCAATTGAAGATCATTGAAGAACAGTAAGTCGAAATTTCATTCCTATTTCATCTCTATTAGAAATCTTCAAGATTTACAAAACGAAGATGTGCAAACTTGTATGTAAACTATGGGGTCACACCATTCGCAACGATGTCTTATTCAACTGAACTTGAACAATACAATAATCAAATTATTGAATGTTCTTTTCGGGAACAACAATGGCATTTCTATCGACATCGTACCGATAAAAAATACGCCAATGCACAAGGTAAAGAATTCTTTTCCCACAAAATATGAAATCTGACAACTTATTTCTTTTTTTTAGCTACAGCCGATGGTTAGTCGATACTTAATTTTCTAGACTTTCTTCAATGATATTCATTTTAGGAGTTATGAATGCTTTGACAAACGCAATAACCAAAGATTACTTGCTTTTTCTTATTGACGATCAAGCTGCAGCCAACGAATACTTCTCGAATGCAAATTAGATAATGACCGTCCGTTTTTAGTTGTATTTTATGTACAGTTTTATTTATATAGTATATTGAATGAAATTCAGTGCAAATTTGTATTTCTTTTGTTATAAATAGTCATATTTCATTCGACTGTTGGAACTGTTTATGTTTATTCAGTGCAAAAAGCTTCTTCAATGATAATTAATGATTAATGTCTTTTTTTTTCGCTCTCACTGATGAAAAAGTTGCTACATATACACGCTTTTATTCTGAAAAGGTCGACTGAAGATTCATTAATCAAAACATTGATCGCGTCTTTTTTCTTCGAAATTTGAATTGTGATAATAGCAGATGGATATCGATTTATCAATTGAGATCACGTCGTGTTCGTTCTCTCACTTTCTCTTTCCGCTTCTGTGTCAATGATATCTGTTTTCTCTTGTTGTTCTCGACAATAAATGATCGAAAGAGAACAAGTAACGTATGCGTGTTGTTTACATATGTTAAAAACGTGTATACATGTATAATGAACAATCCAGACGGTAGATAAAACAGCAGAGAAGCAAAAAAGGTGTCTATTTAATCTTGCAGTTCTTGCTTGATTGACGTTTCGATCAATTTTGATTTCGTGTTCGGCAAATTGTGATCTTTTTTCCATTTCATTCGTCGATTCTGAAACCAGATCTTTGACAGACAACAAAAGATTTTCGAATAAAACTGAAGAGTTCTTCTTTACCTTAACTTGTCGTTCGGTGAGTACTAACGTACGAGCGATTTCAATTCGTCGACGACGGTTTAGATACTTTTTGAAATGAAACTCTTTTTCTAATTCTAAGATTTGACTCCGAGTATACGCTGTTCGAACGCGCTTGTACGTTTCCGTTCCATCGTTATTTTGAACGAGATTTTTAACATGAAGTTTCTTCATCCAAGGATAAATCACATTGGAAGAAATCGTTTCGGAAGTCGCTTTGGTCAATCTAAATACAAAATGTTTGCTTCTATTGGAAAGTAAGATCAGTTTTCTTACTCTGATGACATCGAGATACTATTTGAATGTGATAGTGGACTTGTTTGAACAAGATTTTGTTGAGTGAACGGTGCATAGGTATTGTAATGTGATTGGCAAGTGTTCGTTATTGATGGATAACTATTTGATGGCGTATAGTAGTCATAGTAGGACGAAGAAGGTGGAGCAGGACATGATGAAATAGCATAACAATTCGTAGTATGTGCTGGTGACGGATATAAAGAAAACGTCTCCGATGTCGAAGGTATTGGCCATTCGTGATTATAAGGATATGGGGTTTGGCATGGAATATCCATGATTCGATTAGAAAGGTTTGTCTAAAGATGTGAAATATCAAATAGAACTGTAATTTTCGATTAAAAGAATGACTTATGTAAATGACACTCAATCTTCTCACCATCATCATTGGTAATATAGGATCTTTTCTATACCTTTGATTATCATTCAAATGATCATTTATTCTGTCTGCTGTATGGAAGTTATTCTCTCACTCTGCAAGACTAATTTCGCATCGTTCGTTGATTGGCTTTTTTCTTCTTTTTCCTGTATCACATGCGAATGATATATTTATTTCCACCGTATAGATATTCTCTAGCCAATCGGCTTATACGATGAGATGATAGATCTGCGAAAGAGAGAAGGAATCTGTACATACAGAGAGCAGACGACATAGATATATCATTTTTTTTCCTATCATGCCTATTGTGAAAGGCGGCAGATATCAATCAAAAAAAACTTAATAATTTTCTTGCAAATCTTAATTAGTTATTTTGTAATTACAGCTCATTGTCAATCGGACAAAAAAAGAACAAAAGGCAATTTCGAGTTCTTCTGGTACATATCAACTTTTTCTGATTATGTGTTTTGAAAAACAAGTATGTTGAGTAATAATGAGATTGAGAGGCTTCGTTTGTCTGGCTGAGTGAGTTGTTGTGATGTGCTGTCTCATTCACACGTCGATACAACAATATGATGACGAAGAACGCGGTTATTTAATCGCATCCTGTTCTAATCTGTGGAGTATATAAGAATGAAAAAAGAGAGAACGTTTAGTGAAAATGTCATCTTAAACACACAGACACAATGGATGTGTACGCGTGTATTATTGTTTGTTCAATGAAGATGTTGGACCATACATAACCATAATCATTTTCACATCGAAACACATAATCAAGCTTTGTTAAACAAGGATATAGGACGAAAGATAAAGTTCAATGTATGAATGATGGTACGTTTCTTCTTTAATTTTAGCAAACTTTTTCCACAAAGATCACTTTTCATCTAGGTTTTCCGATGTTTGCTCATCGTTTACATTTTTATTCATATCATAAGTGCAACGCCAGTGATCAAGAAAAAAACCACGCATGTTTCTGGTTCGATCGATCTACATGCGACAAAAATTACATGTATTTGAAATCGAAAAACTTTCTCTTTTAGAATTAGCTGTTTCTGATGAAGATAAACGCTGTTATGCGTGTAAAGGTGCAGATGAAGAGTGTGTCACCTCATGTCATTGGACCCAACGCTGTTATATAAAAGCAAAACATGCAAATGCAACAAGTTAGTTTCCTTTCTTCTTGTTTTCGAGTAAAGTTATCGATCTTCGTCAACTTAGTTACCGATCGACAATGTACGACCGAGCGTTGGGCACGCGAATTACTTGCTGATGGATGTATATTATACATGAAGACGTACTGGTGTATGTGCTCGTCGGATATGTGCAATGGGGGTGATCTGGATTCCATTCGAGGTTGCGAACTATACGAAAAACAAACAGAACTTTTGACAGAAATTAGAAATTGTTTTAGGATATGAAGATTGTTCTAAAAATCCATGTCAAGATGGAACTATATGTCTTGATACAAAGGAAGGTTTTACTTGTATCTGTGCACCATGGCAAGAAGATTGCACACGTTGTTAGTCGAAATTTATTTCTGACGATAGTGTATATCGAAACTTGTATAATTTCTTTCAGCGTATCAAGTTGGTTGCAGTTGTAAAAATGGAGGTCGATGTGTGATGAATTATGGGTCATATGGATGTGAATGTCCATATGGTTATACAGGAGTTAATTGTGAAACATGTATGAGAAATATCGGATTTCGGTGAGTTTGTATTCTTCATCTCAAAATTTTAGTGACTGGTCTGGTACCTGAAGAACTTCTGCCATTATTATTAAAAGAAGCAGCTGTAGAAAATGGAGAAGAAGGTAAACCAAGAGAATCTAATTCATGCTATTCAGGATAGGGATGTTTCGTCATTAGATTCGGAATCTTCTCCGTGCGCTGGAGAACCATGTGGACTTGAAGGTGTTTGTATACCAATGCCGGAAGATAAATATGTATGTCTATGCCAAAATCGTGTTATTGCAGCAAAAAGCTGTGACGAAGGTAAAAGAAATTCATTGTGATATCTTCCCTCAAAGTATATCTAATTGAAATTCTTCAGCTCGAATGGATCCGTGTGCACCACATAATCCGTGTCGTAACGGTCGTTGTATATCGAATGAACGCGGTGGTTTCCAATGTAAATGTCGAACTGGATGGACAGGCCGTCGATGTGACCAAGGCACGTAAGACTAATTGAAAAGCCATACGAAAATTGCAGATTTGTCTTTCAAATCACTAAATTATTTGCTAGCGTATGTGCCCCCTTATTCATTAGTTATTTTTAGTGAGCAGTTACTGTGCTAAATACAATCCATGCGTAAGTAAATCTTGATGCATAGTTGCTGAGCATCTAAATTTGTTTTTGCGTTACAGCTCAATAACGGTACGTGTCATGATGATGAAGATTCATATCGATGTCAATGCTCCGATAAATTTATGGGTCATCGATGTGAAAGAAGTATGTGAAGTGTTATGATGACAGAAGAGACAAAAGTATTCTATCTATGAATATTCAAATAGCGGAAAAAAGTTGCTCATCGCCTCAGTGTTTCAATGGTGGTGTTTGTGTGAATACGGCTACATCATTTAAGTGTATTTGTCCCATTGATTATGAAGGACAACGATGTGATTTAAGTAAGTAGTTTACTTCTCTCGTAAGATATTCAACAAGTCTCTTCTGATGAAAAGAATGGAATGATTGTGCCAGTCATGCATGTCAACATGGTGCAACGTGTGTAGATGGTGTGGCGTCTTATACATGCCAATGTGCAAAAGGGTTCACAGGCAAATATTGTGAAATAAGTAAAATTTCGTTATTCAGTTTCCAGTCAATTCTATAAGAAAAAGCTAATTTCTTTAGATATCGATGATTGTCACATAGATTCATGTTTGAACAACGGAACATGTGTTGATCTTGTCCATGATTACCGTTGTCAATGTTCACCAGGTTTCACTGGACGTATGTGTCAATACGATTTACGTAAATGTAATGAAACTCTTTGTCGTAATTTCGGTACATGCTATATGGGTTACGATGGTTTTGCTCAATGTCTTTGTAATCAAATCTACACTGGCCTTTTCTGTGAAACACGTAAGAAAACTCGGATAGAAAACATCAGATTCCATCTGAAATTTCATTCTAGGTGTTCATCCTTGCTTTCCAAATCCTTGTACGAACGGCGGTACATGTGTTGCTCGAGGAAACAAAGTGGCATGTCTATGTCGAAATAGATTCATTGGTAATCAATGTGAAAAACGCGTAGATGCTTAATCAAGTTCATTGTCTTCCCTTCGTTTGAATAAATTTTGTGTAAATAAAGTCGTTTCTCTGCAAATCGATTTCTTCGAATGTAAAGCTTAGAGGAACCATTTTCTTCTTAGCTTGCTTTAAAGACTATATTTTTAGCCGATACGATCAACTAATAGGGAAAATAGTGTTTTCTCTCATTCCGGAGGATAAACGACATTTTCTCATATGGAATAAAACATCGACATATACGAGCGCAATGGAGAAATAATGTCGTAAACTCAATTATGAAAATGGAACGAGAAGAAGCAAAGTCGTTACATTATGAAAATGTCGAGAAAATCATGTAGAACAAGTTTTAATCAGCGAAACATTTCTTCCGATTGGAAAAAGAAGTACAAACTCGGTTTGAAAATCGGTGAAAAAGATCCAATTCAAATCAGAGGATCTTAATTTGTACCCTTAAGAACAATTTAGGACTTGAATGGCGATTTGTGCTGAAGAGAACTTGTCGGAAACATGTCTTGGAAATCTTCGAGGCATAACGGATGTATTACAATGTGAAGAAAACGTTCAAAAAGTATTTCCATAAGTCAGCGTCCTCTATCGTTTTTGAACAAGTCAATCAAATTATTAATAGTTATCCTCCTTCATAGCAAATCTTCGATAATTCTTCGGAAGAACTTAACGGTTGTCAAAACGAGTAGAGGTCAAAGAATTTGAAAAGATTTGTTCAAAAACAAAACCAATAGTGAGAAATATTTCATTAGTCAACAAATCTAGAAAAATAAACACTCATACGTCCATCTCATCATGATTTTAGATCGATGTTAGTGCATTCCATCTTCTCACTTAGTACTGCCTTCGGCCACAATAATCGTTAGATTTTTCTCTTGTTTTTCTTTGCCACAAAGCCTAAATATCTACAAAGAAAGAAATTCTAGATGAAACAAACTTACATTGTTTCTTTTTGTCATTTACCTGCAATAGTTTTCCACATTCCACTTAATTTCCTGTTGCTCTGGCGTGTTTTTTTCCTTTAGATTGTGTAGGAAAATCAGTCAAAAGACATAGATCATCAAAACTTCTCGATTTCTTCGAACTACACACCTCATAGCAACACTTCGCAACAATGAATGACGAATCAGCACCAACTGAATTATCTGGTATTCAGATGCAAATGAATCAAACAACGAATGAAGTAAGTGGTTTGTTTTCTACAATTTGTTTCTTCTCTAATTGATTGCGTAGAGATCTAGGGGACGAGTAACGATAATGGGAGTAAAAAAATCTAGAAGAGCCTTAAGCCGGGGGCACTTTTATGTTACTTGGGTTTTGCCTATACAATTTAGAACTGCTTATTATTGTTTTTTTTGTCATTGGTGCGAGTCTTCATTCGGTTTGCATTGTGTATAAAGAGGATGGTGACCCTTGTCGATCTATTACATCCGTCATAGATAGGAACCGAGTTTTTTCTTTCTCGATGTGACTGTGCGCGCTACGTGTACGTGCATGATTTTTTGCACTTGTCATTATTTCTCTCTTGTCTATTGTTATCAAAATTCGATCAAGATAATAATCAGTCTAGGAGCTATTGCATTCTCCTTCGAGACTTTTTTCCAGCCTACGACAAGAATCACACACACGCTCATAGGAAAGGCCGGAAAAAAAAACTAGGAAAAAAGGCTTTAGTAGCATTTTTAACGATGCATCAACCTGTTCGATTCGACGATGATTTTTCTATATGTAATCGACTGAAGAAAGAAATGAACGATGATTTGACAGACTTTCTCTCTTTTGAAGTTCGTAATTGACTCAGAAACAATATTGATTGTTTGAATTACGGTCACAAATAACGAACTTCTCTTAATAAGTTCAATCGAATGATGATTGAGCTTGTATGTATCCTTATATGGCAAGAATAGGAGCAATAAATTGTCGAGCTTGAAGTTCTGCTTTTTTCATATCTTAGTCTTCTGATTATTTCGATGGCGATTTTTGGAAATGAAGAACTCAATATTGTTGTTTTTGCTGTTCGCTTGCCTATTCTTTTCTTTTCTTTCGCTCTCGTCTTTTTTCTCCATTTCTTCTTATTACGCGTCCCTCTTTTTTCGACATTGTTCATAAAAAAACACTCGTAGCTCTCCGTGCTTTCTTTTTTGCTTCATCATCAATCGGCAGGAAGACAACGGCAAGTTAGTGCGCGTCGCCTTTCGCTCACGACTCTCTGTCTCTCTCTTTCTCTCACTCTTTGCATCCAAATTTCCTTTTCTCTCTCTTCTTCTGTCCACCAAGTAGCAATCAGTGAGTAACTAGTGATTTTCTATTTATAAAAGAAAACAGTTTATTATTATTCAATATTACTTGGTCGTCATCGATGTGAAAATGTAAAAACGTATACGTTAAGAGAACAAGAAAAGATAACATCTGAAAAGATCTTCTTTTCATCTCGTTAATCATATTCGTTAATATCTTCCAACCATGGTTTTACCGTTTTCGTCGAAGTCGAACGATACTCAAGCTAATGCTGAACCGCCCAGAATTCTCACTGAAGAAGAACAAATCATGGTAGCAATTGATCAGGGTGTCCATGAGGTAAACGACAGGAGTTCCAATCGTTGTTTAATTTTTCTCCTTCTGGCGACAAACTAAATCTTATGTTAAGGTTTTTTGCGTGCATGAATGCGAAATCGATTCGATTAGTTAGACACATCTCGTTCGTTCGTTCGTCTGTCTGTGTGTGTCCTATATAATACGATGATTGATGAATAGACTCGAAGAAGAAAAAGAAGAAGAAGAACTAGGAATTAGTTTTTCCTTTGCTCTTTCGATCTCAAAAGATAAAATAGAAATAGAATCATCATTGATCAATATGATGTTTGGAAAAGATCAAACCTTTGCTGTCTTTTTTTTTGATAAAATCTTCAGCGAAAACCAACAAGAAAGAAGGGAAAGCCCATCATTGCTCTAAACATTAGACATTTTCAGAGTGTCATCTTGTTCCTGCTCTTGTTCTGCATCTCTTAGTTTTTATTTGTGACAAGTTTGATTATTCAAGGCGACGGGAATATGTTCCTATCGCTCTTTCGACGGAGCTATGTTCAAGACTAGATCTGTTGCAAATGGCATTCTCAAGAGGAATAAAGGCGATTAGTTTTATGATGAAACTAAACTCGAAAGTTTCAAAAAAAAGATGAAAAGAATACTGTTACTTTTCTTGTCTATATCCATTGGCATGACGTTCTCTGTGTGTAAATATAAAGATAAATGACTTGAAAAGGAAATCAAATCTGGATGAATTACCACGGCACGTATGAGCATTGAATCACCTGTTGTAATTACATCGATTCATTTCTATTTCCAGCATTTTCGATAGGCTTACTCTATTAAAGTGCTCAATAGTAATTAAATGGCCTCTTTATTTTTGTTTAGTCACTTGAAGCTACTCGGCGTATGCTTGGTCTTTGCGAAGAGGTAAGAATTACTTATACCACAAGCGGAACAAATATTCGTCGTCATTCTAGAGCAAAGAAGCCGGAATACGCACATTGGTTATGCTTGATGAACAAGGAGGTAAAAAGAAGAAGAGAAAAAAAAAACTCGTTTGTAAAGATTATTTTAATTGCTTTACTTCTACTGATTAAAAATACGCTATGATATTTGTCAAAGCATAGAAATTACGATAGATCTCAATAGAAGATCGTAGAAAACGAGTTTCATCGAATCCCTTGTGCATATGATTGATTGAAACAGAATAGAGAAGAATCAAAAGCTTGCATATTAGATTTTTTTGCATGGTAATAGATTGATTTCGATGTCACATAACGAGACAAATCATTCGAAACTAGGCGAATTGCAAAGAACGGGAAATGAACATCAAAGTCAAAATGTTTCTGCGAATCAGACAAGACTTACTTATTTTCATAAATCTTTCAACTAACATGCAAGGAACTAATCTTGCAGATGTTCATGTCAAAACTCCTCCAAGAGCAATTAGTTTCGTTTCGTAATTCGAATTGATAGATTCGAGATAACAGAGAAGTGAATTTTCGATTTCGACAAATATGTTTTTTTCTTTACGTAGAACAACTCGATGCTATCGATTCCGGAATGGATCGAATCAACGCTGAAATGCGCGATGCAGAGAAGAACTTGGAGGGTTTGGAGAAATGTTGCGGTCTATGCGTTCTTCCTTGGAAACGGTAAGGATTGACTTCTCATCTATGATTAACCACAAAAATGACAAATCTCTTCAGAACAAAAAATGTCGAAAAGAGTGCAGCATATAGTAAAACGTTCAAGGGAAACGATGATGGTAAAGTTAACTCTTCGGGTCCACGGCAAATTGTAGCACAGAATGGTATGGGTCCCGGGTCAGGCTACATTCAAAGGTAAATCATCGATCGCTAGGATACCGAACAAGGTAAACAAACGCTTATTTTGATTAGAATCACAAATGACGCACGTGAAGACGAAATGGAGGAAAATCTTCAGCAAGTCAGCACAATGATTGGAAACTTAAGAAATATGGCGTGCGATATGGGAAATGAAATAGCTAATCAAAATAATCAAATTGATCGTATCAAGGCTAAAGTAAGACGATTTTGCCGCTATTGATAGAAAACCTATTCCCTTGATTATTTGGATAATTATGTATTTTTTTCGTCTTCTTCTTCTTCTAGACTGATATTAGTCAAATGCGTCTTGAAGGAGCTAACAAACGCGCGAAAACACTACTAAAAAATTAGTTTTCAAAAGAAACAAATTGCATCCGTTATATTTTTTTATAATTGTTCATTTGGCTTTAGTCTCACGACATCACAAAAGATCTGCAAGTTCTTTCTCATTTTCTTCCTGAGTCTTTTCCTCTGTTCTGTTGGTTTTTATGCGAAATGACAAAAGAGAATATTTTAGCGCCTTGCTTGTTGTCTTGTCAGGTAAGTTCAGTGTGTGGGTCGTTTTCTTGTTTCGCTTTGCCTACACAAACCTCGTTTTTCTCCTGTTTTAACGTACCTCTAGAGTTACATGATCTATTGGCGACTGTCTTTTATTTCATATGTATGTACATGTGTGTATGTGTTTTTTCTCTCGTTTTTTTTGTATGACAAATATTAATTGTAATCTTCCTTCTTCGATTATGATTCCTTGACTTTCAATGAGCAGTAAGAACATCAAACACGTTTACACTAATATTTTTATTCTTTTTTTCCATGTTGTCTGTGTTAGAATCTCCGCTCTCACTCATTCACTGATGCAAAAGTCAACTTTCTAATCTCTGTTATTCAAGTCAATGTTATCTATCTGTATAAATATATCATATACGCATGTATCCATATAGGTTTGTCTCTTTTCGGAAGAAAATAGGAGAACAATCAGGGAGCACACATTGTGTTTTGTCGTACCTGAATAGAAATCAATCTCAGGAGAATTCGAGGTGTTTTCCAGGGCTCAAAATTTCTGCGTCATCGTTTCTGTTCCATTCCATCAACATGAGGATTAACCGAGAATATATATGATGACATGTATTAATGAATTGATTTGTATTTACAAATATTATTGCGAGTCGTGATCTAATAACGTCTACTGTATCGACTACTGATTCGTTGCAAAGGAATGCTATTTGCTGATAATCATCATCTCAGTCACATCGAAAAATATTGTCAATTTCTGTTGACAACGGAACAGAAGTGAATGTCATGTTCAGCTTGAACTTCATGGGAACAGTGTCTTCATAATCGATCGCTTAATAGAGTAAGACGTATTGGATAGAAACAAAACAAGTCGATGTACGTGCGTAAGTTGAGTTGAATACTTCGAGAAATTCAATTTCCATGACTCTGACGCATTGATGCAAAGACTAAATATCCATAGCCAACGTTGAAAACAATCTCGTCTTTCTTATTCCGATTATTATCCGATAAATTTGATTAGTTTCTTTTGAGGCGATTTAAGATTCTATGAATAAATTTACGTCTTCGAACACATCGATGACTGTTAGCAAAGAACTTCTCACAAACTATAAACGATTACGACGAAGTACTTTACGAAGACTCGAATATCCAGCATATAGAAATCATGTTAATCGTTTTTCTTACTCGAACTATCGAAATGTAGAATAAAAACGATCTTTACCAATACGATTAATGTTAAGTGTGTCGATTGTTCTATCTATTGAATTAATTATATCAAAGTCTATCTGTCCTTGCAGTGCGCGAACTGCGCGCTTTTAGCCAGAACATTGTTTCCTATTTACGTTTGATTTTCATGCAAGTTCAATTAACTGGTCAATACACACCGGAAGAAATTGATGAAGCACGTGATGAAATTCTTAAACTACAATCTAATTTGAATAAAATCGAAGAGCTCTATCGATATTTACATACGTTATTAGGCGAACAGCAAACTCAAATGGAAAACATCGATCGATTTCTGCATCAAACACAAATAAACATCGAAAAAAGTGATTTCGATTATTCTAAGCTGTTGCAAATCCAGAAGAAGAAAGACCAACGTCGTTGTCATATAGTCATATTTATATTTACCATTGCATGTGTGTTTTTTCTTATTGTAGTCAGTGTTTTGATTAATGTTATCAATACATTTCGATATAAGACGTTAAATAAACTGTAGACAAATCAAAAAATTCGCCACGTCAAGACGATGTCGTCCAGGGTAAAATTCAACATATCGAAAGTTCTCAAAATAAAAGTCACGCGGTAAATATCGTCGCCGAATATAAATAGATCATATATATGTACCCGCTCTATCGTGTTTCATTGATGTATGATTCATTCTTTTGCTATACGATACCTCGATTGATTAAACTTGCTGACGTGCACTTATTTCAATTTTCGAGTGTGATACGGTTCGTTTTTAATGGATAGATTATATAAAGATTGCGTTGTCAACACAGTCGACTTCATCAGAAAGTCTTGAATGGCTTTGTGGCTTTCCAATCGATATGACTTGGCAAACTTTTGATACCGGATCAACTGATGAATGCTCTCACGAACAATTTCGTTTTGTCCTCGAACAGATCGATGTGTATCATTTGAACTATCATCTGTCGATACTGATTGATTATCCACTGATACTACGGACGTCCGTCGAGTTGCTTTTGACTAAGAAAGTATAAGCCTACTCTCTGGAAATGTACGCGGAGTGCACTTTTACCTCGAGATTTTGTTTTTCAGTAGAAATATTCACATTAGAATCCTCTTCTAGGGCATGATTATTAATATGCAAATCTTTTGTTCGTGGTAGAAATTCGTGGCCTACGTTCGTCTGTTGGCACAAAACTGAGTCAACCATATACGGCATACATGAGAGTGCATTCTACAAAGAACAGGTTATTATTTCTATAGCACTATGCACTTTAATGATGTTTTTCTTCATCAGTTTAAACCTTTGAAAAACAATCTTCAATCGGTATGAATGGAGAAAATGATTGGTCGTGTCTTCGAGACGAGTGAGTTTCTTTATGATGCTGTATCTTATCTATTTGAAAGCATGATAAAGCGGCTATTAGGTTGAATGAAGAAAAATGATTGTGATCTACTCGGATTATTTGCTTTTTCAATCGGTGAAGATTGATTTGAAATAGCTTGTTCAGAAAAGTGATTCGAAGTCAACCTTCGTACAGCAGATCTTTGACAGCGGGATCTTAGCGTTTGGACAGGCTTCGTTTTTTCATCCTGATGGTTATTACTTATTGAATTACAAACTGGATCATGTCTGGATGATGATAATCGAAAATTAGACACAAAATCTAGTAGATAGTTGAACAATTTTTTTCTTCCCGTCAATACGGCTGACGGCAGCATGGATTGTTCAGATTGATATTGATTGTTCAGGAAATTATCGTTCGTTACTAGTTTCTTGCTCTAGGAGAATAGTGTAATGTTATTATCTCATGGAAAACTTATTACCGAAAGCATATCTTGAACTCGGTGTGCATCAATATTCTTTGCATTATTGTTTTGATTCGATCGATGATCAGAAGCTGAAGTATCATCCGACCGAGTCGAGTATTTATTCGATACTAAAGTTTCGGAGGAGGAAGACGTGGAACGATATTGTCGACTATTCTCATTCAAATTCGCCAAAGGACACAATATTTGCTTGTCGAATTTTGGAATAACTGTTGTCGTTTGAATACCGATGGTTTTGTTATGATCTTTATTTTCGTGATATTCATCTAACGGCAGATCAGTTGACCTTTTCGATCGTAGTCTAACATGCACACCTGCATGAATTTTATTTAAAGCTTGCTGTTGCCGTTTTTGTATATTATCTGCATTTGTAAATGACATCTTCGTGCTATATTTCATTCATCCGAGCATCTATTTTAAGTCATTCATTCTTAGAGCTCTAGTTATTTTTAATAAACAACAAAACTTGTCAGTCTTAACAACAAAAAACTCATTTCCGTTCAACATTCTAAAGCGCTTATTTGTAATTAATTCTTTGCATTCATTGGGAAGTAGCAGCACTTGATAAACTTGACACATTCTTCAATTATTGAACATTCACAACAATGACTTCCGCTTATCAATAGGAAGATTTGAATACAGAAAAAAACACAACACTTTCGTTGTATGCCGATCTTCGATTTGATGTTATTTATTTCCGCTGCTCTCGTCACGGTTGGTTTTCTTTTTTGAGAACATCGTTTCTTTTATGCATACACACACAAGAAAAAAAAAAGCTATTAAGTATACTTATAAGCAGAAAAAAAAGAGAACAACAATTAAGTAGTCACTAGGAATTGAATAAGACCGACTGCATTAATGGCGCAAGTTGATCATTATTGATCTCTTGTTTGGCGATCGCCTCTTTGGTCTTTCGTGCTAAAATCTGGCCTTTCATACTGGCGAAGATGAGACGAGAGTAAATGATCGGTACCATATCGTTGCCAAAGCGGACATCGAGATATTTCCAAAGTAGATCGACGAACATATTCTGTGATTGAAAGATTTTCTGTGTTTCATGCCAAACGGGCTCATTTGAATCAGATCCTTTGGAGAAGATCATCAGCAACATAACCAATTTGATAATTAAATGATCATTACAACATATATCTTGAACTTCTTTGACTAATGCCATCGTTACATGGTAGATTTCGTCGGAATAACGACGTAATTCACTTGCATGATAACAAAAATCGTTGGTAGTATTCGGTTCGCAAAAGATCTCGGTTTCCATGTCGATGCACATGCAAACGTGTAAGTAAAGTATGGGAAGTAAGTTATACTTAACCAATGATAATCGATCGTCTTCGTGTAAACTCTACGGCAAAGAAAAAAACAAGAGCAATATTATTCAAAATTCGAATCTCAATTAGATCTTACATTGAATTCGGGTGTCAGTTTGAAAAACGTAATCATCCGAACGGTGCTGATTTGAGCAGGTTCATTGACAACATCTGTGACATCGTTGAGACTTCGTAAACATGGATGTTGAAAGCCACGTACAACTGAAATATTTAAATGGACAGCGCGACTATAGTCTTCCTCAATTTTGGTCAATAATAAACGGTCCAATTCATCAAGCAAGATTTTATAGTCAAATTGTTGTTCACTTGAAAGAATAGTCTTTTTATTCAAAACCTCTGCCAGTAAGTTGGTATCATCTACATCGGGTGCTTCATCAGATAATCGAATGTGTTGTTTCGTATCATTAGTTTCATCTTCATCATAATGACTGCGACGCTTTTGATAAACGGGAGGAAATTGAAATGCTTCAGTTTCGGGAACGACGGGTGGTGAACTCGAAGGTGTAAAGGCAAGCATCGTAGAATTTTGTGACAGCGCACGTAGTCGACGGTTATCTTCTATTTTCTGTTTCTTGGTTAATTTTTCTTCTTCAGACATAATCCATTCTTTGCGCAAACCTTTATCAAAGCATTTCTTCAAACGGCACGCTTTACATCTCTAATAAACGCATCCAAATAACAAACATTAGCTCTGGTGGTGTAAAAAAAAAGTTTTTTAACCTACTTTTCTTGTATCTAAAGTGATTAAACAGTCGTTCGTGCCCGATCGACATTGAAATTTATCCTAGGCAGAACCAATTTAGAAAAAGAGAACTTCTCAGCCAAATACACAATATCTTACGGCATTATTTAAGGCATTGCGACGGAAAAATGCTTTGCAACTTTCGCACGTTATTTGGTCAAAATTATAACCTAAAAAAATTAGGTTGAAATGAAGCCTGAATACAATCAACAATGACAGGGCATTTGCCAGATAACATACCCATTGCAGGTGCATGACAAACGACACAGATAAGATCGTGCCGATCACGCTTGCGCGGATTTATACCGGAAAATGAACGTTTACGATGTTGCTCCTGTCTCATAGCAGCGGTGTTGTTCGTAGGAACTCTATGATCCGTTTGCATTGTAAATGTGGAAATATTTTGACTTGAAAAAGATTCGTCTGCTCTTTTTATTCAACTAAAAAAACATTCAATAGAAGGAAATAGAGTTTTAACAAAATAATCAAAACATATATTGCTTACATATGTACGCATACTCACATCAACTCAGTAATGTTTTAACTGAGTTTATCACTGCGTATGGCGAGAGAGGAAAGAAAGAACGCAATAAAATACGAAGGGTTGGATGGGGTAACAGAAGAGAGGAAAAGAAAAAATGTAGAGAAGAAAAAGAGAGAGAAATATAGATTTATTGAAGAAAAAAAAATCTATGCACGTGCATCTCACATAGGCTAATCTTCGAAGCATAAAATAGAAAACTGGAACATATAGTAGAAGAAAAAAGATTTTTGCATCAAGTACTTTCAACTCTCTCTCTCTATATATATATAGATATTTTTAATAACTAAGGATGACATGCCGAGTTTTCCAAGAGTCACTAGAAACATGACTTGTTACTTTTTGCTTGTTTTCTTTTAATCGTGATTAATATGCTCAGCCGCGATTTATCGCATATCAAGATTCCATATTCTCTGAATATCAAAAGTGCATTACCACCTCGTATGTTCGATGCTGTCAATCGAGATGAAAAGAACACGTTATTAAACAAGGAAGTATACAGAGCATCTAGTATTTAGTAAGAAAGGAACCATCTGCGATAGAACACGCGAACTTTCAATTCAGTCAAATTCCTCCTTCTCGCCATTAACAGAACGAGATTAAATGTACCAGACTGTATCAACAACCTCGATGTGTTTTGTTTTGTTTCCTTTTATTTCTTCTCAAAATATTTTAACAAGTAGCTTTCAACTAAATTTGAAAAAATGTTCAGTAGTGTGTTGAGACTCATTCAATATCTCTTCGAATAAAAAGAATACACTAGTTAAAAACAAAATATTACATATATATATAACAAATTCTATTTTTCACCGATTAACAAAACGGACTTTATCAACGGTGATAATTGGTCGGCAATTCGAGTTGTTTTGAAGTTCCCATGACGAGAATTGAACGCTTGGACGTTAGCATCCATAAAATGCACAGTTAAATTGAACAAAATCTTAACTGTTAATCTTTCACCGAAGTTTTGCTCACAGTACTTCCACAGAAGATCGACGAAAATGTTCTGTGTGTGATATATTGTTAGAATATCATCGGCTATTGGTTCTACCTCATCAGACTGTGCACAAATCGATGAACCCTTCGAAAAAATCAAGACTAATAACAATAACTGCAAAATAAGTCGATCATTGAACGATGTTTTTAAGAAATTTTCCAAACAAGTCCTAGATAAATTGTACTGGTGCTGATTGAAACATTGGATGATATCACGGCCGTTGAATATACATTCATCTGTATGAGGTTCATGATAAATATCTCTGGTGGAGTTGTAGTTCAATGCGGCCCGAATGAATGTCAATGTGAATGTATTGTATTTCGTCAGAATGAATTTATCATGCGAATTTAACATTGAAAATTCGGGTAAAAGCTTAAGGAATGTTATAAGTCGGGTTGCGAGTAGATTTGTCAGAAAATTGAAGACATCTGACACTTCATTAAGCGGTAGTATTTGTGGATACAACGGGAATTCGGGTGACAATGATGTTAAACGTATTGAATCGGCGTATGCCTGTTGAATTTGTTGAATTTTAGCCCAATCTTTGGATGACAGAAGAAGTGCTTTTGTTATATGATCATTATTCAAATCGTTTTCCTCTTCTTCTACATCAGCATCATCATAATCGAATGGCTCCATTTTAGTTTGAAGCAGCGACTTCTAAAAGACCATCTGTTGTTTTCGACTGAAATTAAGTTATTCAGACACAGACCTCAACTGACTCGGGAGAATCAGGATACAACATTTGTCGTAAACGACGATTTTCTTCGATTTTCTGCCGTTTACTCATGCGCTCTTCGTCTGTCAATATCCAATCCGCTCTCATACCTAAAACGAGTTCCAAACACTGGACTTTGAACACAGGTCAAAGCAAACCTTTTTCAAAACATTTGGCCAGTCGACAAGCTTTGCAGCGTTTTCTCGTCGATACTGTTATAGCGCATTTACCATTACTAAGTCGGCATTTAGGTATTCCCTAGAAGTAGAGGAAAACCTTAAAAGTGAAAATGAACACAAGTTGCGTACATCCGCTTTCAAAGCATTTCGTCGAAAGAATGCTTTACATGATTCACATGTGATTGCATCGAAGTTATAGCCATGTGCATGACCGTCACATATACTACAAATGAGAGCTTCAGTTTTTCGTCGACTATGAGTAGAGCAAGTTGCGCTGTGTCTCTCGCTCGTCGTTTCACACGGATCGGTGACTGCTGGTTGACCTTTGTTTCTATGGTTATTGTGTATTCGTCGTAAAATTCGTTTACGTTGACGCAGAGAATTTTCAGTCATGATTGTTTGTTGAAATTATGATTTTGAATAATCGATACTGTATCTATGAATCAATGAGATAGATAAGAAAGTCGCTGAGAGAAGAAAAAGGAAAGAGAATCGAAAGAGTAGATAGAAAGTAAGTAGACACGAGCGTCGCAACTCGTAGTGTGGACTGTAAAACCTATACATAAGACAGGAAAGAAAGAGAAAAAAACGAGAGAAAACGAGAGAAAAGATATTGACAATAATGTTGTCTATATAGCATTTTCGGTACTTTGCCAAGGTTAACCTCAACATGATGAATCGTACGTTGTAAATCAAAAGTTCCCAAAAAATATCGACAAATTCGTTTTTCTCAAAATTGATATTAATATCATTTGCTCACTCAATTTTGTCATTCATTCGAAAATCGTTTTGTTTCAATCACATATCGACAAATTTGTTCGCCAAATTCGCATAGGGTTACGTTGCTTTGTACTGAATTCCTCCACTGTTGTTTTTACTTGAATATAAATAACGGCAAGAAAAGGACATTTTTTCCGTTCTGTTCTGTTCTGTTCTCCCTTCAACGGGGCTTTCAAAAGACAAAATGCAAGAGAGGGAAATAACATATAGGACAGAATGGTTGAATGTTCTTTTTAAACTATAGTACGCGTCGACGTCACTCACATCCAAGGTTCGGTGCAAAAAAGAGAGAGAGGAAAAAAACATCAAGCGTCGTCTAACAACTGTGAGAGAAAAAAAAACATAAAAAACAAATCAAAAAATAATAAGATAAACAACCGATCAACAGAATTTGCGTTGAAAAATATCCTATTTATCTCATATAAGACCCGCTGATTCATAGATTGCCTTTTACACCAGAAACTTTGAATTAGACGTTATTTGAAATGATGTTATATTTGTCCAATATTCTTATCATCGTCACTTTTTCCCTCTCTCTCTCTCTCAAATGCAAAGTATCGCAGGCAATAGAAAAAATATTTCAAATGCGTTTGGGAATCTTATCTGTCTAAATATACGTATGTGCTAGTCAATAAATATCGTATGGTGATTATCATCCGATTTGAAAGTGTGTGTGTGGACTAGTTCGACGATCATCGAATGAAAAACTTGAAAATTCTAAACGTCGTATTGATTTTACGCTGTCGTTTCATGCTTTAACTACCACAGTACGTCTATTTGTGGATATAATTCATATGTACAACACACTACGAAATAATATTCATTATTGCGTACGTTTATATTACCTTGAATGATTGTTGTAGCTATGACATGCTGGAAAATATTTTCGATACGAATAGTTTTTTAGAAAAATTGGATAGATTGTAAAAATAATGTTCGTTGTGCTTCTTTTATGATTTCTGAAGTTTTTTTTTTCACAAAAAAGCATGTATGTTGTTGCAGCGGTCTTTCATGTTGCTGAGAAAAGAAAGGCATTTAGTACATTATTCGATATAAGTCAAGGCGGGCGATCGAGAAACGTTGAATTCTTGTCATTAGAAGTTTCTTTTGACTCACATTCATAGTCAATGGAAAATTACGAAAGATATGTTTGATTTTTTAAACGAAAAAAAAAACTGTACTGAAATTGCTTGATGTTTTTTTTTATAGAAGTCGAGTAAAGTAGGTTTGATAGAATTCTATTACGGGTAATTGCTTCTGTTTAGACGAGTAAAAACACTCAACAGATGCATTCATTTTCAAAAAATATATATTTGTGTCAGTGTTTACAATTTTATCCTTTTTAACAAAGTGAGAAGGAGGTTTTCCATTTGTTCATGGTAAGAATTATTGCTAATTTCAAACGAGCATTACGGAAATAGCCGTGCGAATGAAAACATTCGTAATGATTCTCAAACTTTACAAAATAATTATTTATTGTTAAAAAAAGATGTTCGCGGAATTATTCACAAACTAGTTATAAAAAGATTCGGTATGAACGATTCAAGTTGCGTTAACTTTATTAAAAATATATACATCCACATATAGAGAAATTATATAGAACATAAATAATTTTATTCATCTGCGTCGGAATCAGTCAACTGCAGAACGCTCTGCATTAACGGTGATAATTGTGATGGATCAAGATGAACATGTACAAAATCTTTGAGATGAACAGCTAATCTTTGAATAGCAAGTAATGAGCAAAGGGAGCGGGAAAATAACGACACGGTTGTTTTTTCACCATATTGATGCAAACAATATCTATAGAGTGTTTCAAGGTACAAATTTTGAGTGTTGAGGACAACTGATGGATTTTTCAATGTTGGTTCATGAACTATATCATAACCACAAAAGCCTTTGGTAGTAAGAATGAGTAATAAGAAGGTTTTGACAATAACACGATCATATTCGCAAATTTCGATTAATCTGGTTGCTACATCGGTTAAATCGTGATAGAATTCTTTACCCAATATATCGATCCAGTCTTTTCCTTGAAACACAGGATCTTCGGTGTTATGTTCATGATATGTATCGGCCACGGGATTATATAAAAGAACAGTGTGCATGAAGACCACTGCTAATAGGTTATACTTCACAAGCAGCACACGATCATCGGGATGGAAGGAGTCGAATTCTGGAATATGCTTGATATATGTGATTAGACGAATAGATGCTAAATATGTCGGAATACGTATCAGTTCCAATGTAGATCGTATACGTTGTGTGGCTGGATATGGAGGTACACCAATAACTTTATTTAAAGCAATAGATTCACTGTAGGCATGTTGAACTTGTCGAATAATAACCCAATCGGCATCAGTCATAGGTGAAATATCATGTTGTGTCTGATGAGAAGATTCGTTGAGAATCAGGTTATTCTCAACGGTAGCCTAAAAGATAAATACCTGCCAATTCGTTTTATTCTTTTTTTAACTTACAGATTTGAAACTACGTCGACGACGGATTCGATTACTATCACTTTTTTTCTTTTGTTGACGATTTTCTTCGATCTTGTTTCGTTTCCGACGTTTCCTGGATGAAAGTTTCCAAAAAATATACTGAAAATGTCAAGTTAAAACTTACTCTTCTTCGGAAAGTATCCATTCTTTACGCATTCCTAAAAGAGAAAAATTCAATCTTCGACAAATTGTACAAAATCATCGAGCTTACCCATTCGAAAGCATTTGTCTAATCGACACCTTTTACATCGTTTCCGTTTTTCTACTGTAACTTCACAATGACCATTGCCACGACATTTGAGTCTACCCTAAAACAAATAATTCATCTTACTAGTAAAAGCTCGAGATCCCATGTTCATATCTGATCTACATTTTCGGACAGAAAACAACAAGATGTCATCATAAACTCTATCCTATTTTAGGTACTCATTAGTACGTCTATAAAGAACAACTACTCTTGGAATCTGGAAAGATCATGCACAAAATACCTATATGATGACAATTGTTACAGTAATTAGAAGTCGACTAAGTGTTCGTAAAAGAACACTAAAACTTAACCACGCATACCGTTCATAAATCCAGAACTTTTTAGACAATCATGCATGTTTAGAATGGTGCTTTGATAACTTTATTTTTAGATGAAATTATTGATTGGGACTGAGGAGAAGGAAAAGGAGTAGATGCATTCACATTTATTTAATGCGTGCATCGATCGGGTTCAATAGGTACTATAAAAAGTCAGAACTATTGAAGAACTTTTCACTAGAAGACTTCGTTTTTTTAAAATCTGTCAGATCTCTTTTGAGACGATTATTACAAGTGTTTTATTTGTGTCGGAAAATGATAAAGCTATGTCTGATACAATCTCTATTCTCCAATATCTTTTAGTTACACGTGGTGAGCAATTTCGAAAGGAATGACGATATAGACTAGGCAACATATAACATGTGTTTCTCTCCGATCGATGATTATTCGATTACATATTTGCGCGTAAGAATTATTTATCAAAGCATTTTACCGGTGGTCGTAATGCATTGCGACGAAAAAATGCTTTACAGGATTCACATGATATAGCATCGAAATTGTATCCTAAATGACATTTAAATAGGAATGATTATGAGGAAAATAGTCAAGATGAATCGTTACCAAAAGCATGATCACCACAGACAATACATGTTAACGTTGGTTTCGGGCGTTTTATTGATGATTGATTGGTATTCTTCGCTCCATTATGTAAAGAATTCATTGAATCGTCATCATCATCGTCAAAATTCATATTTAACAGATGATTATCCGAATCTCCTGTCATTTTATATCGTTTGTTATACAATCAATAGAAAGTCTGAATAATTGCGATGATATTCGCGAAATCTAAAACAAAAGAAGTCTAGAATATTGCCGAACAAGGTCGAAACTACATTCATAGCAAAAACACGTACGCACAATAATGACGTATTTTCTGTGTAGAAAGAAAAAAAAAGCACGCTGGATGGAGGAAACAAATGCAGTTGTCTTCAATGGTGTCCAAGTAGCCAACGCGCATTTAGCATCTAACGAGAACATTTTTTTTCTTCCTTTCATCGTACAGACTGAATGACTAACATTATTCTTATGTCTTCTCAATCCTATACCGTACATTCAATTGTAGAAAGAACATTGCCTTTCAACTATGGCTCATAGTGATGCTTGGAATATCAGGAACTAAAATTTCGATGGTGTTGCGATCTGAAATGTCGAATGAATGACTAAGAGTGTCGTCGCTGTAGACGTGCATACGACCTACTCGAGCTTAATCCGAAGGTTTTCTGGCTATTTCTCTGTTCGATGTAAGCTGTTTATATACTTAGAAGGAAAATCATCACATCTCCTCACATGTCACACACGAACTTGAGCAAAATTTTGATCTATATAAATATAAATTGAATTTGTACTATTTATAGTCCTAAGAAAAGATTCTGAGAGGAATATTTCGAGAAAATTCTTTCTTCTTCTACTTATGACGTACTATTATGGAAATAGCGGAGTTACTCAAAATTCTCATTAAAAAAACATGGAAGAATGTTGCACAGACTTCCTTTACATGTGCATTATTATGAGAAGATATTGTTTTCAAGTACATCATTATTATAAAAATGAGCAAAAGACATAAACATGAAAGTTTAATGTCAACTAAATCTATTTTCATGAATGACAAGGTACATAGTAAATGTAACTAAATATATAATAAGAAAGGTCACTAGAGTCTTTGGGTTGTGTAACAATATTCATTTTTGTTCGTGTTCTCAGAAAACTGCATCTGCAAAAAAAGTGTCCCTGAGTTTTCAGGCTGTTTCTTAAACTTCCACTCGCTTAAATGAGTTTATCAAAAAACATTTCTAAATATATCTCCTTTGAATTCTGAGCGCTAGGAGTAGAGAGATAAGTCTTGTTTTAATAATAATTTCGTCTACTGATTATGTTAATCGACTACATAATGGCAACAACTAGTAGAATTCTTTTCCAAGTATGAGCGAACAAATGAAGACTACAGCGAAAAATTCGAACAAATAACCTTTTACAACAATGAGCAGAAATTCAGGAATGCTAGAAATGATGAGGAAAAGACAGATTTTATCAGTTATTTTCAGAGAAAATCATCAGACAATAATTTGCTAAACTAACCGATTATATTAATAACAAGTACTTGGTAGAAAACAGAATATCTTGCTAAGTCCTCTCTAAAATAAAAAGAGAATGTGACATGCAACTAGCCGCGCTCGTCATAACTGACACAACATACAATTTCTTTTAATACCGGTTCAAATAGTATCCTTTCGTAAAATAATCATTTGTAAACGAAGTTAGTTTACCTATGAAAACACATAATGTTCCCCTCAGCAACCAGATGACAAGCTAGAAATATCTACACTTTAGTTTATTTCCAATAAAATCTGTTATAATACAATGAACATGCAAAACTAAACATAGTGGTATGTTCTTCTCAAAATATCTCTAAAACGCGCTTACGAATAGCATAAACGATCTAAAATTCAAAGTTTCGTCAAGTACAGTCATATTTTATATGAAACAATCTTGAACATAACTTTCAATATGTACACGATCTACATCGGAGAAACGAATATCTTGTATTGATCATTCCAGAAGACTTTGCAATAGCCCTGAAATTTTTTGTACATTTATATAATCGCCAATATGAAACTTTATATCATCGACTAGTTCTTGCAATTTCATAATTTTATGAACGTATCGTACAAACATCAGACTTCCTTTACAAAATCCATATTGATGTATTGAATAGCGGTAAGCCAAATCGATATATACATTTTGCGCGTTGAATATCTCCAGTGAATTATTTATGTGCAATGATGATGACGAACGTCGACATTCATTCAATGATATTCGAAGGGTAAAAGCGGAAATAGTAAGAAATAACTTAATAATAATATCATCTAATTGAAATATGTCAATGAAATCATTTCGTAAGTGTTTCATCTCATTGTGGAATTGTTTGTTCAATGTTTTCGTCCAATCTTTTCCTGAAAATTGTGGATCTTTTGAGTTCTCTTCATGATAACAGTCCGTCGTTGGATTATAAATGAATACCGAATGGAAGAAACACATGATTAACAGATTGGATTTGATCAGATGAAGTTGATCTTCAATGCACAGTGTTTGAAATTCGATTATTTGCTTCACATAGGTTATCAATCGCATAGCTGTGATATAAAGTGGAATACGAAATAAATCTTCGGTTGATCGAATTGGTTGAATTTGAGGATAGGATGCGATACCGGTGATTTCATTAAGTTTCACAGCTTGTGAATAATAATCTTGAAGGAATCGAATCATGAACCAGTCGAAATCATTGAACGGTGCTGACTCCAGAAATGATGAAAGGTTCAAGGAGAGGTCACTGTCACTGCTTTTCGACTGAAAAGAAGACGTGATGATAGAGCTGCAGCAGTTTTGGCGAGTGTGGGGAAGGGAAAACTCACTGTGAACGTTTCCAGTTGTTGGGGTTGTTGACCATTGTCGGAAAGCTGACGAAGTCGACGATTTTCTTCGATTTTGGCACGTTTATCTCGTCGCCTACACATGAAGAGATCATGAATATTGGGCGAATCACACGAGTTTCTATTTCTAGCAGTTCAATACGTACTCTTTATCAGTTAGAATCCACTCTTTTCGCATGCCTTAAATCATATGACAACAATACTCGATATGATCAGTCAATCAGATGATGTTCTCTCTTACCAGCTGCCAAACACTTCACAATTCGACATCTTTTGCATCGTTTTTTTATATCAACTTTCACATCACAATCACGATTACCACGGCATTTAAACTTATCCTAAATAATCAATAAACCGTACATCATCATCTTCCTTCCATCCAAATCAAATTCTTACTATTGGTCTTAATGCATTTCGACGGAAGAATGCTTTGCAAGATTCACATGTAATTGCATCAAAATTGTAACCTAAACCAACAAATACGTCTTGAAATTCGCATATATATATTACACTTACCATGAGCATCACCTTCACATACAGCGCACATCAACACTGATTTGTAGTGTTTTGCACTCGCTCGCGCTTTCCTTCGTTTAGAAGTGGTTGATGACATCGGGGACGATGAACGTTTGAGTGTGAGTGACGTCTTGGTTTGAACTCGAAAGTCATTTTCCAAGTTGTTCATATTGCTGTTCGACATGTCGATCAGTACGCGTTTTCTATCTGATAGTAGATAATCATGCTTTTTATAGTCGTGGTTATTCAGTAAAGAACAAACAGAATACGAAAATAGTCTTTTTAACCCATATCAATACTCTTTTGTTATTACACTAAATGATCCTTGTTGCTATAATACAGCTAGATACACGAAAATTACAAACGCTACCGCGTAAAATAACTGGAAGGAAAAGAAAATATATTCATGTATGTCTGTTTATTACTATTTTTGTCTCTCTCGCTCTCATTCACTTTTGCTATCATATTGTATGGATAAAAGAAAATCTAGACTATCAGCTGCAGAGAACGTCAAAATGTCACTTTAACCGCTGCGATATTGTATATAATTTCTGAAATAGTTCGAACCTGAAGAGAGGATATTCGCTCGCCCATATGTACAGAAGGGTGGTTTACCGATAAAAAAAAATAATCGCTCAAGCATGTCATCGAGATACTTTCGAGGATGATGTTTTGTATACGAATAATCGAACATTTTCTCAATAGCAAGACATCATTCAATTGCTTCGCTTGTAGTCAAAACAGAGCAAGCAAGTTCTGTCAGTCACGCTGGGGAGGACTACTAGACTATGATCTAAACGATAGATTTAGAGAAAAAGTTGAAATATGTAGAAAAAAATCATTTAGAAATGCTTTTGTACTTAACAGTGTATGTTGCAGTAGAGAAGTATGCAGAGAAAATGGTGTACTACTTGGCCTCTAGTCGCTTTCCTCTTTTTTTTCTGCCGTTGTATCGTAAAGAACGAGAAAAAATAAAAGAGAACGAAAAGATGTTTCTACGACCGACTGTTGTGTTTTTGCCCTTAGAGAGTGCATACTGATCTTGGAGTAAAAAGTATTGGCTAATCTCATTCCTTTACTCGGAGAATAACATCTTCGTGCTCGTCAAGCTGTGTTGCGAGGACTAATTCTCGAGACAACCTAATGAATAGCACTAGCTCTATAGTAGTACACAAACGTCATGAAATGGTGAATGAAAAAAAAATTTTGCGTTTCGCTATCGTATAATGAATGACTCAAAATACACAACGACGTGATATATACGTATTACTTGACGATTTTGTGCTACGGCAATGAAGAATCAATGACAACTATGTATAGAAAAGATTGCACTATGTTGACCTGAGCGTTCTTTTAACTTGTATGCGTGCTCAAAAGTACGATTAGTATCGCAAATTGTAGACGCTAATGCTGATAAATATACTCGTCGTACTATTGATTATTGGAAAACAACATTGACAATACATACGTTTTGCCGTTCTGCACTGGAATACTCTCTGTCATAGTTATATGCGATTCAGTTGACACTGAATTCCCTCACTGCGATTATATTTTTGACAGGCAAATGTAAACTGAATTTCTCAAGGGTAGTTTAACACATAATGTAAGTATGTGAAGCATCACAAACGACGAATAATGAATGACATATCTATTAAGCAATCATGGAGAAACTAGTTTTCATCCGTATGGTTGATTATCATTTCAAAAGTACCAAATAAAATGGAGATTTGTGATATTAAACTCGCTTTTCATTATACAATTCTATCAAGCCAATCGAAACTGCATATCCTTCGATAATCCATTTGAAAAGAAAAGAATTACTACTTCTTACTTTATTCAAGTGTATCTACTTCGAAAAATGTCAGTTTTGATTAAATAGAGATAGACAAGCGTATGATAGAATATACCAACCAGAATCTCTTTACATTATTTCAAAAATGATCTCTTTTTCTATCCCAATACTCAGCTGTTAACAGCGGCTTGCCGCGGAAACACACAAGTTTTCCTTTCGACTTTTTAACATGAGAAGAAACAGTGAAAATATACCGAGATGATTGTACCAGGCAGTAGATATAGTTTTGACGGAAGACTCACGTTTCGCGTCCGAATACTTCTCTATTCTTTCCTAAACATACTGTACTACATATCATGATTCCTTTAGAACGTGATTCTATACGTATGTTGTAAATGAAATTTGATACCTAGCATCGTTTCTTTTTCCTTAAATGAGACAATTAACACATCGAACGTGGCCGTTTGAAATGTAGTACACCTTCCATCATCACAAATTACTACGGAGTATTGTTATGAACGATATATATCATTTTGGCCGAAAGATGTCACTGGTCATCTTCGTCGGATTTTCGTGCGATGATTTCATTACTCCTTATAGGTTAGAATAGCTTGTTTCGTTTGTTCATTAGAGTAGATCAATATTTATTTCTCGCGTTCTAATGATAGTCTTTCGTTGGTTACTTCTTAAACAAATGATCAATAAATAACTGAAAACGGTGTTGATGTTAAGGAATGAGAATTTGAAGAAATTTTTTTTTATTCTCTCCTCCATTTTTTCCTCATTTTCTTTTAACAACCGTTTTTCAAGGATGGGAATCCAATGGCAACAATTCTGTTCTATTGTGCAAAGAAACGGTTGATATTTATAATTCATGTTCATATTTCCGTTTTCTCACATGTTTTCCTTCTTTTATCTTAAGTGATAGAAATGCAACAGTTGATTTGAATATATTTCTTTAGATCGACGTCGTTGTTCAACGAATGGACGATGAAAGTCACAATATTTTTGATGTGTTGGATTCGGTTAGTTGCCTTGTTTTTAATTTTTTTGAAACTGATTTTTTAAACTGTAGCCATCCACGAATGAAGTAGCACAAACGACGTCAAAACCAGCTAAAATGTCTTCATTGCGTCGTTCTCATATTCCCTTGATGAATGCAAACAATGGGTCACATTCTTCTACCCAAAGATCATCATCAAAGAGAAAACGCCGGCAAACAGGACGAGGAGTATGAAACTTACATTTCATAATTGAAGAAAATCGTGTGTACTGCGTAGAATCGAGTGCTTCAAGGTCTTGGTTTTGTGAATCCTGGTCCGAAAAACTTAGTAAACGTCGCTAATGTTCCAGCAAGACGTCTGAAAACACGACAGCCAACAGCACAAGACAAACCAAAGTATGAACAGATGTGACTTTCTCAGACAAAGATAGTTGACGAGTTTGAAATAGTTTGAAGAACGATATGTTTTTGTCTAAAACTCTTCATAAGGAAAATGAGCACATGCAGCGAAAAAGATGTCATGTTTATCGTGATAAGAAGAGACAGTGGGTGAATATTACTCATAGATTTGATGATTCACAGACTCAATTGCGAGTTAATTTAATACAGGTAAACAATTCACACATATGCTATCATGAGTGTCATATTTTTTATTCTTTTAAATATGAAATAAAATGTTTACAGCGAAGTTAAGATTTTTCCGAGAACGTTGGCAAAATGGTCAGTATCAACTTTTAACAGTTATGTTCTCGAAGAAAAAACTTCACCAGTGGCATCTATTCGATGCTTTCTATATATAGCTTTCCGTTTGCAAATTTTAGTTCAATTAAACCATTGTACGATAACTCAGGTCTTTTACTTTGTGATCAAACTGATCGATGTGATTGTAATCGTTCGACATGTTCCGGTTGCTTCATACCTTGTACATCATGCCAATCTTCCAAATGTGGATTAGAATGTCGTACGTAGAGAGAGTTAGTTATACACACTTTTTTTTTATTTATTTACTTCTACTAGGAAATCTTCGAACGTACGCTTATGAATATCGTTTATATGGTACAAATAAAGAAATAATTCAATCGTTATAGATTATTGCTCAACTTATCGATGGCTTGTTTTTTTGTACATATCACTAATTGTTCTGACATATGTTTGTGTCTATGTTTTGTTTTCTTCTGCATACAGCGAAATAGTTCTTAATTCAATTCAGTTACAGATAATACGACTTAGTTTGTTTTCTAGAAGGAATATCACCGAGTCGCAGCAAAAGATGCTTGCTCGAAAAACAGCATCGAGCAAAAAGAAAGGAACGAGTCGAATTGCAAATGGTGTACCATTAGATAGCAGTCTGACGTCCATGGATTGGTTGCCAAAGATGCAAATAGGAGAGAATTCACCATCAGCGTCGTCTTCGACAATAACAACAGCAGTATCTTCAAAACAAGCATCACCAGATTCAACATCGTTACCAACTACTGCATTCAAAGTAACGCATGTTCAATATAAATTGGAGGCAAACGATGTTGAGCTGCCAACGTCAACAGCCCATGTCAAGCCGCCATATAGTTATGTAACGTTGATTCGACAAGCAATATTAAGTGCTGATATGCAAAGGATGACATTGAATGAAATCTATCAATGGATTTTAGAAGCTTATCCGTATTTTCGGACTGCTCCAGCCAAGTGGAAAGTAAGTGAAAAGCTTTGTTCTACGAAGTAACGAAGAGTTTATTTAGAATTCAATTCGACATAACTTATCTTTGAATAAATGCTTCAAACGGCTTCAACGAAGTTCCGATGATCCTGGCAAAGTAAAGTTATTCTCATTGTTCGTATTCCTTACTTTTCATCATCGTCTTAGGGTTCCTACTGGACACTTGATGAATCAGATGGAAGTCATTCTCAAGTCAATTCTCGTCGACGAAGAGTATGTCGAAAAAAGCGTAAAATCTGCATGAGAAATGAACTTCTTCTCTCTGAACTAGTTCGATTCAATGCAACCATCTCATCATCTTTTATCTTCATCTCCTCATACGCATTCATCACAATCCACGGGATTTTATTCAAATCAGAGTTCGATGATCTATGGTGATATCAATAGCACTAGCCGACAATCCTCGTCAGCTGATGAGTCTGAAACGACAATCTCAAGTGCTATTAATGTAAGAAACAAAAAACAGCATAGATTTGTTTTGCAATTCATCTATTCAGACGACATTAATATCATGGGATGACTTCAATACGGATCTATCCGCTTCCTTTCGACACTTTCGCCAACAAGTTTTTGAGGTACCAACATCATCGTGGGTTCCGCTAGCTGGTATATATTCTGCCATCGATTCAAGATAATTTCTAACACGTTTCTTTTACAGATACATCATCCACAAATAGTCCGACGACAAATCCTTGGAATTATGATATGTTGCCTTCTCATGAATCAAATACTCTTTTTAACAGTGTCAAATTAGCATCGAGTGGCGAAATCAATTGGAGTGATGTTGATGTCAAACCATATTGTGGTACGAACGATCGATTTCTATATTCGATACATGAGTAGAATTTCTAGATGATTTTCGCACGAATCCAACATTACAATATCAAGATCGCGATAAATTACTTAATCTAGCTTCGTCCATTTCATCCTTTTTTGATTATACTGGCATCGCTAATATAGCGCAAAACAAAATCTCGAGTAAGTCATTTTGGCAACATAATAAGTGAACTGTAAATTGATATTGAAGATGAATCAGTGGTTATAGATCGATCACCTATCGCGTCGAATCAATCAACTTCAGAAAGTACTCACAATGTAAGTTTGTATTGTTCGTAGTCCATTTATTTATCGATATCTTTCAGTTTTCTTCTCTACCAATTGTCGTCGAAGAAGAAGCATTCGATTGGGATTCAATCACGTAGAAAATGCGAAATTGCCGGCAATTTCCAGTTTTTTTTTACATCAGACTTTCTCTTACATTGTTTTTTTTCTTTATACTCTTCACCGTCCACACTATATAGAAATGCTCAACAGCATCCTAATTGTTATTCCTTATAACATATATTTTTGATCAAATGCAATAGGTTTAACATAAACCACCGTTTTGTACATGCTTCTGTATTTTATCTTATTCTTTGTAAATGCCCTATGAAATGACACTGAATTTAGTTTTTGGTGTACGATATTTGAAAAGGGATACGTACTTTGTTTACATTGTGTGTGTAATATGATTGAATGAAATGATTATTTTTTATTTCTAGATTGTTTTTCGGCCTCATTCTCATGGAATATCGATTTTTTTATCCCATTTCCAAGGAACAATACGAAAACGAGTGGACACAACAAATCCGTTTAGAAAATCGTACAGACATCTATTTTGTTCTACAACCATCAATGAATCATCCAGATACAATGCATGTTGACTATGGATTAAAACTACGGAATGCAAAGAAACTTGAACTGAAAAAACGAGAGCAACGTTTTGCCAATGGGCAAGAATCTTGGACAAAAACCATTCATTCATTCCGAAGTGTTTCTCTCGATGACATGAATTCAATAATTAAAATTTTGAAAAAATCGAACGAAATGTACTTGATTGAACGACTGACATCTATTCAGCCGATAATTATATGTTATGTCAGTAAAATTCGCAATCAAGAAGTAAAAAAACATGGTCTCCTTGAAGAAAGAACTGCTTTACATTTGAGATTCATAAGATTGGACAATCGAACTCAAATAGGCAGTGATTTATATTTCGAAAGTGTTTGCATTGAACAATCATCTTCGAGACCGATTGACAGCAACATTATAGGAGATCTACTTCGTTCCTATGCACATCTACACTCAATTGAACCGATGGGTTATCCCGAATTTTTATTTCGGCAATATCAAGACTTACGATTTGTTCAATAACGATATCTTTTTTTATTGTTTTTAAGAAATCTGCAAATCAAACATAGTATTTCTCCTGTTTAATTATTTAAGTCGTCTTTTCGAAAACAAATCTCATTGTAAACATTGTAATATAATCTTGAGAGACAAATATGAACTTTGATTTGTGAGGAGAGAGCACAACACTTCCCAAGTACTTTATTTTTTGAACACGAGCAGATCTTCGTCGACAAATCAATCTGACAGACGCAATACGTGTGATCAATATTGACGATCGAGACTACTTCGTTGTCGTTTATTTGTTCCTCGAGATCCATTGTTTAACTAATTAATAGAAAGATTTTGCCTTTCTATTTTCACCTCGCGAAATCGTCCGCGGTTAATCTTTTTTTAATGATCCTTTGATTCTTGTCAGCTCTAATTCAAGCTAAAAGCACGTTCGCTATATAGGATAAAAGCAAACATGAAAATCATACGAGAATGAAATTTATTTCGAGGTTATGTTCAGTATAGCGTACGTGAAACCCAACGGAAGTAGATGTCGGATGGGATAGTTCTCATTTGATCGTCATTTAATGAAAAGTCTCACGCTAAAGTGATCCTTGATCCATAATGTTTAGCAAATGATAATGCAAGTGTATATCGTACGATTCTTTATTGAAATATGTGAGAATATGACAATCGATGTTAAGTGTCTGTTATTTTCTCTTTGGATAGGAGTAAATAAAGCTGAATAGATATTTTATTGTGAAAAATAGGCAGTTTGTAATTCGGTGGAACGAGAAAGATAGACAAAAATGAAACAATTGAAAATCATGGTCGTTTATTTTTGCTTAATTATTTCGCATTCGTGAAAAAATCGTTATAGGCTCTCCACCAACAATCACGTCCATTCCGAATATTAGAAATCTGATTGTACATATTACCAACCTGAAAGAAAGTGTTGAAGGAGAGAGTCAAGAGTTTATTCGGTGTCCTTACTTGTTCAACTGGCATGAAGAAACAACGATCAGCACAATCACACATCGGACCACAATTATCGTCATCTTTCTTCTTGCGCTGCTGAAAAGAGAATTAAACAAAATGTTGACAAATATAATTTCATCAGATGAATCGATTTATATATTTACAGCTGGAAAACCTTGAAGACAAGAGTGACAAGCAGCAAGACAAGCCATTTCATCTTGTTTTGGGCCAGCGATAACAGCCAATGGGTTCATCGTTGTAGTAGCATCAGCACGACCTGCTGCATTAACTTGTTTTTGACCGTCTATAGTATATATAACATTTGCTTCGGTATCAATCAGATTTCCTATCAGATTACGTAAACTACGTATTGGTTCGCTGCTTCGAACAAATCGTTTCTGTTGATGGTGACGGAATTTAACCTCGGGCTTGGCAATAACCATACTTAAACCAATGCAAATAACAAATGTGACGAGGGAAAAGTGACCCATAGTATTGGTTTTATTCTACGAGAAGAAAAAGAAAAGGAAATCTTTCTTGTTGAGATCGACGACATAAATATATCTCTATAAATCTCTTCTCCGTTGTTGTGAATTTTGCGCGATAGGGAGACGGTCCGACGTATCTCATTAATCTCGATGTTACTAAAAAATGCGCATATTTTTAGCTTGACACTCTCATTGATTAATTGTTCAAAGTCGGAAAATGTTCATTATCACGCTCATCTTAATTAGTATGCTGTTAATTTATGTTAATTAGATCTACTTAGAAATAAATCAGCTTGTAATGAACTCACAGGGATCAATAGAAAGGGAAAATAGCAAATGACATGAACTGATGTCTTCATAAGAAATTCTGTCAAGTTCTTTTTTATGTTTATCTGTTCAGTCAGTTATGATTAAAGAGCTAATTGCAGTGGAAGAAGAAAAAAGAAATTTTCACATTCATATTATTCTTTGCTAATGGATGCCGATGTGAAGAAAGGGATGACCAAATGTTTGGAAACATCGTAATTATTAACTTTCATTCGGTTCACGGACTTAACATGATAATGACAGGAGGATTGAGGAAATGCAATCTCGCCTGGGATCTGAAAGATCAGGTTACTTACGTGAGTTTGCTTGCGTTATTTTTTTACGACGTTTAGTCAACTAACAATCAAAATCGATGTTGAAGTGAATATAAAAAAGAAGGAGAGACTGAGAGAGAAGAAAAAGGGGAAAAAATATATTCCAAAAAGTTTTCTCGTTTGTTTCTTTTATCTGTAGAATATTTGCACTCGCTCATGTGAAGAAATAGAATACGAGAGAATAAGAGAGATAAAAAGAAGTGATGAAACAAGGTTCTTTTTATATCGTCATTTTATCCATACAAATGATTATTACCAGACAAACGCTTCATGTATGGCGGTATCGTGACTAGCGTTGTTCACAATGAAAATGTCAGAATTCTCTCTAGAATATGTTTCTTTCGAGCTTAGCGTCTCGGAGCACGCTAATGAAGATCGAGACTTACCATTATGGTCATTTTGTCGATAGGAATTGAAAATGGGGTTGAGATACCCTCTTTCAACGGCTTTGATGTTTCCCACTCATTTCCCCTTTTCATTTAATAATGAAAATAACATAGTATTTAGATGCGATTTGAGTGAAGAGGGGAAAAAATACATGAATAGGAGACATGAAAACAAGTTAATCAAAGCTTTTTCAAGTGCCCGCGTTTAGAGCTTGATGAATATACTTCATTTTGAATAATAGTATCTATGTGCACAAATATAGATCGACAAAAAATCAACCTGAGAAGGGTGTTTAGCATACTTGCGCATATAAATCTTGGCTAATGATAGTAGTACCATATACAGGCTGACATTCTTTTCGGTATAGGAAACATCTGCTGCTGATTAACAATGAAGAAGCAAGTTCTAATTGCGGATGATATAGGCGTTGAAGTTTCAAGGCAATGAAATTATATATTCTGATTAACCTTTTGTGTAGTTGCATCAAAAGCGAATGAGTTCGATTTTCAATGTATTTTTTTAAAAGTATCTTGAAGAGAAAAAAAATTGGTATGGGAAGAAAAAATTTTTCAGAAACGTGCTTAGGAAAAGAAACAAAACCAGATATTAGTCGTAATCAAAAGGAGAAATATGGGTGTGCATGTGTAAATAAGATAAAGTGTGAAAGCCCTTTTTGTGATTATACAAAAAAAGTACACTTATAAACAGATTCATCGCAAAGAAGAAAAGAATAATAGAATGCTATTCTAGCAAAAAATGATATTCTCCTATTCTATGCCATATTGTTACAAAGATAAAAACGAAAGAGAAGTGAGAAGTTTTCGTTAAGAAGCGGAGACGTTCTTTTCCTAACATGATTTATACAGCAAAAAAATCACATTCTAGACTCGCTCTGCCTAGATATATTTTTTTGACAAAAGAATACTTGAGATAGCGCTCATTATTGTGAGAAATGAATACACATAAAAGGAAAAAGATGTGAGAAGTGTCGTGTCTTACAAACTTGAACGATTTTTTTTAAATATAAAGTTCTTATTCAGGAAAAGCGCAGCAGACAATTCTCACTCGTCCAGTACCACTTGGAAACGATACTGATTGTGGACCACCCGCTGGAGAAAAGCCACCAGCCGATGGGAATATGCCACCGGGAGGAACACCTGCGAATTGTGGTGAACCACCGAAAATGTTTGGATTTACTCCTGGATAGTTATATGACTGTTGTTGAAAAGGATTATATGGCGATTGAGGTGGTTGTTGCGGAGCTTGAGGAAAGCTGCCAACTCCTAATGGACTGAAAGCACCGATCGGTTGTGGACCATAGTTACCATAGGGTGGCGTTTGAAAGGCACCGTACGGTTGGGGAATATAACCGTTGTAATTTTGTTGGCCGTACATTGCAAGACCTTGTTGACCGTATCCATAGGGAGCTTGTTGCATGTAACCACTGGCAGCTGGTTGATTAACATTACCGTACGGTGAATTACCGTATACACCGTAACCTTGTTGATTGAAACTAGCAAAGCCTTGCTGACCATAATTACCAAATCCTGGTGGACCGTATCCTATAAGACCAGATTGTCCATAGGGTGACGCGCCGTAGGCACCATATGGGGATTGATTGACTCCACTAAATCCTGGAAAAGCGGCTTGATTAAGTATTGGTTGATAGTAATTTCCCTGTGCATATTGACCATAACCACTATATCCGGCGAGTCCAGGTTGAGGATACGCTGGTTGACCGAGAGCAGCTTGACTAAAATTACTATACGATGCAAAACTGCCATATGCTCCAAGGCCAGGTTGACCGTAAGGTGATTGGTTGATTCCACTTGGATTTGCAATGATATTACTACCAATATCTGTTTAGTAAAAAGAAATAAATTACGTGAAGAGATAGGGAATCGTCTTAATGTCGATCGTGTAAGGATATATTTACTTGGTATGGCACTATAACTATTGAGACCTGCATACGATGGCATTCCATATGGCGGAGTTCCAGGCACGCCAGCAGGGAAGATTGGTTGTTGAGGGACGCTTGGAAACTGAGGTCCATACGGAATTGACTGCGGGATCATTTGAGGTATCTGTCCTGGAAATGCTAGATGAAGCAACAAAAGAAGTCAATGTATTGCAATGTCTTTGTAGTCTAGTTTTAGGACGGTAAAAACTTAACGATTTCAGTATAGCATGCAATCTACAATGAAATCTTACGCATCGGTATTTGCGGAGGTATCATTGGCATAGGATATAGGTATGGCGGTTGAAGCATATTGGACGGATAAGCTAGGAAAAAAGCAAAGCAATGTAATTGATTGTTAGTTGACGAAGTGAGTGATATTTTGTTCATTAGTATTCAATGAGATTAATCTATGTTAGATGTATTTGTAAAGATTATTTCAGGAGAAGCAGGTGATGTCTCTTACGAATTGGTTGCGGGATAATTGGCATTTGTGGTGGTGCAGCAGGAGCATACGCTACGATAAACATAATTTTGTACGACAAAAGATTTTATACTATGTCTTACGCATGGGATAAGGTGAAATAGGCATTTGCGGTATTACAGGTGGATAAGCTGTAACAAAGGTGAACTCTCGATAGAATCGTTGAATTAAAGTTTAAGAAGGACAACAGTTATGATTGATTAGTAGTTTTAGATGTACTAGAAGTTAGGAACTAATTCTTACGCATTGGTAATGGGCCCATGGGCATCTGAGGAACAATTTGTGGATATGCTATCGTAATTTAAAAAAGGAATAGGAGTGGAAAATAATTCTCTGATGCTGTACGAATATCAATTTCTATTCCTTACGTATCGGCTGTGGACTTGGCATTTGTGGCATTATGAGTGGGCCAGCTAAACAGAATTAGTTGTGTAAAAAATATTGAAAACATATCAGTGGCATTTGATTAGTAAGCGTAGACGTTAAAGTTGAAATGTTTGTTAGAAGCTAGAGTTCTCTTACGCATAGGCACTGGTGACATAATCGGCTGGATCATCGGTGGTGGGCATGGCATCGGGTATGGCATTTGTGGAGATGCAGGTGGGATTTGTATGGATAAAGAGCAGCAGTTAGAACCCATTGGAGACATTGGCAGTTGTGACAACATTTGTGGTGGTAATCCACACCCGCCTAGACCGCCTGACATGGGATTCATACCGCCTCCATAAGCCATCATTGGATTGATTGGATTTACTCCACCTCCATAAGCCATCATTGGGTTGATCGGATTGATTGGATTCACTCCACCTCCATAAGCCATCATTGGGTTGATCGGATTGATTGGATTCACTCCACCTATTGCACCCGGTTGTATTAAATTTTGCATACCACTGACTATGTGACTAGGTACATATATGACGCGAATTTTAGGCCCATTTAGACCTGGCTCGAGAATTGGATTGAAACCAGCTGGATACGTGCTACCATACATACCCAAAGCACCAGGTGAAGGTTTGACTGATGTCAATAATGGCCCATCTGTGGTACCAAAACCGATTGGGTATCCTTGAATAGGTTGGTAAGATGAACCATAATTTGCTATATCACCGTAGTTATAGTACGGATCGTATTCCACACCATAATTACCTAGGCCACCTCCTGGTCGACGAGCGTTAGCGTTACCCATTTTCTTCTTTGAACTAAATTTAGAATCTGATCGATGTAAACTATATTTATGTGAAAATGAAATAATATAGAACTGTACAGTACCCAAGGCAGAGGCAAACTAATTATTATCCTAGAGCAATGTTTGACTTACCTTTGATTCGATTTGGAACAGCCTAGTGTTAATATAAGATGCAAACAACCGAATGTATCAGATGAGAAGTTGGAACTATTTTACACATGCACCGACAACTTATGTTCTCTGTTTCTTTCGTTTTTTTCTTCTTCCCTCTGATCAATCGACCGCGGCAGAACCATCAATATCAAGACAGAAGGAGAAAGAGAGTGAGAAAGATATTACTCGAAACAATTCAATCATGCACATATTTCCTTCTATAGTGTATTTGCCTACGGACAAGTTTCTCGTTCATGTTACTCTTCTTTTTTGCTTGATACTGTTTTAATTGCCTCTTGGCCGATCTTTTTGCAGCCATCAATGATGACCTCACGCATTATAAGATGATGAGTTATATTGATAGACCTTGCCTATAGTCGTATGCTTGTTTGCCTAATCGAACAATGATATGAAGAAATAAAATATACGTCCCATAACTGCTGTGACAAAAGTAATGAAATTTATGTGATAATTATACCGTCGGCAAAGTAAAAAAAATGATCTATCGTACGGTTATTATTCGAATAGAATGAATTCTTCGACGTAGTGCTCCAAACTTTGGCATCAGATACTCCGATATAGATGAAAAAACACCTAAGAAATGTGTTTCTCGTATATTTATATCATCTCATTACCAAAACATATTTTATCACATATGATGAGGTTTTCTTTCGACGTATTCTGAGTAGTATACCAAACAACTATTTATACTCAAAAAGCCACCACCACATGCAGCTTCTATGATACTATTCTTAATTCAGAATTGAATACCTAAAAACGAGCATATTTGCGACACAAGATATTTAAAACTTTTCATGTATTCATACACGAATACCTTATTATTGAGTCTACAAACGCTCCTTAGTCTTCATTTTGTACTCTTGTCGTTGAACTCTATTACTGATATATGTCTTTCAACATATAGCGAAAAAAAACCGAAAAGTTTCAAGTTCGTTACATTCATCTTCGATCTAAACGTGAACATTTCATCAGACACGTTTCATTGCTGATCATTTCTTCTTCTTTATGACCAGTTAATTGTCTTGATGATTTCATTAAATATTGATCTGTTTTGATTACTTTTCGTTCTTCTTTCATCTTTTAATGTTCGAATTTGGTCATACTAAATTGTTCAAGTCAAAGTTAAATAACCTCTAGAAAATTACCCAGATCATTACTATTATCATCACTATCTTCAACATATTCTTTCTTAATAGCCATAAAATTAGTGACGCGTGTAGAGAGTCTATGGTAAAAAATCAGATATTTTGTTTTTCATCAATACTTGTTTGTCTTTGATATATGATACTTTGATAGATGTGTATAAGACAAAAATGACAGCTATCAAAACCACATATTCAACCAATTTTTCTTCGTTCGGATCAAAATATAATATAATGAAGACTAACGACAGAAAGAAAAAAGACGTAATCGTCACCATTTTCCTTGAAATTAGCTGAATTTCTTCAATAGTAAATAAACACATGAAGATTTAGTATCACGTTCGANTGGAAGGCATTGGGGGGGTGGGGGTGGTGGTGGAAGATATTGAGGTGGGGGGGGAGTAAATTGAGGTGGTGGGCAGATTGGTTGTGGTGGTGGTGGGGGTGGAATGTATTGAGGTGGTGGTGGAGGTGGTGGAATGAATTGGGGTGGTGGTGGTGGGGGTGGAATATATTGAGGTGGTGGTGGAGCAAATTGAGGTGGTGGGCAGATTGGTTGTGGTGGTGGTGGTGGTGGAATGTATTGAGGCACTGGTGGTGGTGGTGGAATGTATTGAGGCACTGGTGGTGGTGGAATGTATTGAGGAACTGGTGGTGGTGGTGGTGCGCAGATTGGTTGTGGTGGTGGAATATATTGTGGTACTGGTGGTGGTGGGATATATTGTGGTACTGGTGGTGGTGGGATGTATTGTGGAACTGGTGGTGGTGCATAGACTGGTGGTGGTGGTGCATAGACTGGTGGTGGTGCATAGACTGGTGGTGGTGCATAGACTGGTGGTGGTGCATAGACTGGTGGTGGAATTGCTTGCAATTGGCTGTATGGTTGAGCAATTGGTGCACCACAAGCTCCTAGTGATCGTGCAACTCCCATAGGTGGAAGAGCGGCTCCGAAAGACGGGACAGCACCATAACCGGCGCCGAAAGCTGGAGCGGCACCATAACCGGCGCCGAAAGCTGGAGCAGCACCATAACCGGCGCCGAAAGCGGGAGCAGCACCAAAACTGGCGCCGAAAGATGGAGCAGCACCGTAACCACCACCGAAACCTAAATTATGAGCAATAGTGTGAATCAGTATATATGGAAAATCACGTGAGACAATTTTTTGTACCTCCGTAAGATGCAAGACCGCCGCCCTAAAGATGTTCATAAATCAAAACATCAGATATGCTCCGTTGCTTTTGTATTGATGATACGATTGAAACATAGTCTCGTCATCACTAATAGAACTAGATAAAATATCTTTTTTATTAGATAAAAATGTACATGTCAAATGTGAATGATACATCATACCGCAACCACCGCCATAACCTAAAAATTCGGGTGAACATAGTATTCTAAGCGCTGGTTCTCAAGAAAACTTACCGCCACTGAAGCCGCCGACTGGTAAACCTCCGCCGAAGCCTCCGACTGGTAAACCTCCGCCGAAGCCGCCGACTGGTAAACCTCCGCCGAAGCCGCCGACTGGTAAACCTCCACCGAAGCCGCCGACTGGTAAACCTCCACCGAAGCCTCCGATTGGTAAACCTCCACCGAAACCTCCGACTGGTAAACCTCCACCGAAGCCTCCGACTGGTAAACCTCCACCGAAACCTCCGACTGGTAAACCTCCACCGAAACCTCCGACTGGTAAACCTCCACCGAAACCTCCGACTGGTAAACCTCCGCCGAAGCCGCCGAAGCCACCGCATCCACCAATAGCTGGAGCTGGAGCACTAAAGAGCAAGGAAGAAATATGTTATTACAGATGCTCAGGTAAAGACTCAAATGATCAGCGAGTTTTGACGAATTTCAAAGTATACTCAAAACGAAAATGTACCGCTTACCATGGTGAGGCAGCAACTCCACCTTGTGGAATAAAGATAGCACGGATTTTAGGTGGAAGACCAATACCTACACCACCGACAATTGGAGCTCGTCCAATTGGGGCAGCTGGAACGACGGCTGTTGTAACGTAACCTGTTGCATATCCACCAGTTGGATAACCGCCATCTAAATCCACAGAAAGATTGTATACATAAGTATGAGATAAGGGTACGACATCTCTAGTTAAGTGTACTTACACGAGTATCCATAAGGATCATAAGCACCGCCGTAGTAATCCATTCCGTAATATGGATCATATCCAGTTCCATAGGCTGGAAGACCAGCTTGTCTATTACGTGCTGCTCGATTGCCCATGTTTTTCTGATAAACGATAAATTACTAACTGAGTGCCTGAAATACAGAGAACTGATTATTTAAAATAAAAAGTGGTTAACAATAGTAGATAGTTTTTTAAAGAGTAAAGAATCCAAACTGGAGAGTAATAATGATTGCAATCTGATGTGAATACCTACTTTTATCCAAGTGTAACGACGACGATTGTCGATCTCAAGTAATCGTTTCAGTACAAATGTCTCTGATTTTATAGGTAAGCGGTTTCACCTTTGCGTTTAAGATGATAATAAGAGAAAAGGAGAAAAAATAGAGAAAAATCAGAAAGAGAGAGGCTTTTTGGCTAGAAAAATTAGACATCGCCAGTCGGCCCTTACTTTAAGGACGGCGCATATGCACAATACAATTGGTTTATCATATTTGTCTGCGGGCCGCGCGTGCATCAGCCAATGACGCGTAAAAAGAAGGTTTCACTGACGGCGTTAATATTTACACAAAAAAAGAAAAAAAGATGTTTTTAGCAGCCACGGCCGTTGGGTTTAGTGGTAATAACAGCGAAAAAAAGAGAGAGAAAAACGAAATAATAAATCTATCTATCAACAATATACACAGCTATGAAGAAGCAATGACGTGTCATTTACCTGAGCACACTTGTCATTGGTCGGAAAACGATAGTGAGCACTATACTACATAGATATATTCATTCATAAATACATGGGCGAAAATAAATTTGATTTGGCAGTCGGCAAAATGTAATATCCCCTATCATTTTCGTCGGTGTGTGTTTAACTATTAACGATAACCTTGAGATTGTTTTTATTGGTGATCAATCGACAAAATACCTTGATACACGTTAAATAAGGAGAAAGATATGGAGAGACAGGGAGAGGGAGAGAGAGAGATACTTTATTTGTTAATTATTGATCATCATCATCATTATTGTGGTTTGGGTTTTGTTGTATACTTATGAAATTAGTGACTATTGTTCCAAGGTTAGGATAAAAGCACCGAATGATCATCAGATCTCGTTCGGATACATAAATAAATGTATACTAATTTGTGCACCAGTTTGCGTCTTTTCTTCAAATGAAAGTACATAAACAACGCATAAATGCGAAGCCCCTATGGTAGATGATATCATAAACAAGAAGTGTGATACATTCTTACACTCTATATTTTCTTCAAAACAAATTGCGACGATGTTTAATTTTATTACGAATAAGCAATGAAAAAGATTTATTTTCATTGTTTATCGAAGTTTCATACTAATTTGCACTATTTAATTCGAAATATGCTCAAATTTTCCCCCCATACACTATATCCGACATGAGATGATTTAGTCGTTATCAAAATCTTTGCTTTCAAGTGCATGCATCAGTTCGAATTTTTGAGTTGGCTTTTTTTCGAGCTATCTATTACATTTCTACATTTTCACCTGAGGAAAATTCGTGCTAGGCCGATCGATAAAATCTAATCATCGATTTTACGACGTAGTGGCATCAGTTTTTATGAAATAGAAACAAATCTTCAATCATCAGTGTTGCCCAGAAAAAGATTGTGCAGTTTGCACATGTCTATCTGTACACGAATATTGTATGACAGACACCCAACATGTGATCATATCAACCCTAGTTTCGGAATTTATATTTAGCATAGGTATGATTGTTTATGAATATTTTTACAAATAGTTGAGAATATTTATTTTATCATCAAATGTAACACATTCGATTGTGATTTTTACGATTGCATCTTTTCGTTCTAATGTATTTTTCCTTATTTTTCGTGAATAATCAGCCCTTTTTTTCAATCAATATTCTTCGTAATACAAAGAAGAAACCCTCTCTTACGACGTTTGTTAATCGCAAAAAATGAAGCGAACATAGGACTGACTATGCTACGCTTGATTGCGTCCCACCGCAACATGTACACCACGTAACCGCTCACTGTCATTTTTTTCACCTTGGTTGCTTGCTTTCCATTCTATTCTTTTTATGCGAGTGTTGTTCTCTCTCTCTTTCTTTTATTCTCTCTCTCCTCTACTTTTTATGCTCACATACTACATTCGATATAGAAGACCGCATCCAATCGATCGATCACTCATCTAGCTTTTTACTACACGTCGATGTGCGAATAGGGATCCTCATCTCACTCATCTATCTATCGTTCTTTTTTCGTTTTTTATTTGTCGCATATACATATATATTATATTATGTTTAATGATACTGCTCATTTGTATTTCTTCACATCGTCCCATTGTCTTTTTTCTCTTTCTTTGTCAGATAATACAATCAGTTATACACTGATAAACGACCACTACCAATACAGAAAAAAAACTACATAAAGGTTCGTTTCTAATCGTCAGAACAAGTATTCGATCAGTAGAACAGACTTGTTAAGTACACATCGCTTTTCTAGAATGGGTAACCGAGGAGCACGACGAAACCAAGCTGCATATGGTGGAGATCCATACTTAAATCAGTAAGTTCAATTCTACTACCCATCATATGACAATACCGAGAATACATTGGTATAGATACGGAACTGGATATGGTTATGGTGCTCAACCAGGACTTGCCGGTTACGGTCCATACACAGGTGAGATAATACTTCAGCGCGGATTTAACTAATGATTGTATTTAGGATATGGTGGTCGACAAGCAGGTGTCATCACTACCCCGGGAACCATTGTGCAAGAGCCATGGGCAGTAACACAATGGACTGAATATTACATTCCAACAGTGGCTGGTCGTCAAAAACGACCAGTTATCTACATTGCTGCACCATTACCAGCAGCCAACCCGTGTGGTGGCTTTGGTGGTGGTCTTCCTTTGGGAGGTGGCTTCGGCGGCGGCCTTCCATTAGGAGGCGGTTTCGGTGGAGGCCTTCCAATTGGAGGCGGCTTCGGTGGCGGCCTTCCAATTGGAGGCGGCTTCGGTGGCGGTCTTCCACTAGGAGGTGGTTTCGGTGGAGGTCTTCCTATGGGAGGCGGTTTCGGAGGAGGCCTTCCGATGGGAGGCGGCTTCGGTGGAGGTCTTCCACTAGGAGGCGGCTTCGGTGGAGGTCTTCCAATGGGCGGTGGATTCGGTTCTAATCTTGGTTATCAAGCCTTGCCGATGATGACTGTCGCCTATGGCGGTGGTATTCCGGGTGTTCCAGCACTTGGTGGTGGTCTGGGTGGAGGTCTTGGTGGAGGTCTTGGAGGACTCGGTGGATTGAGCGGACTAGGAGGATTAGGTGGTGGTTTACCTCTCTATTAAAAATATATATTAACTCATTACATCTTTCGTTGGAGAGGATACAATCTCTCTTTTCTTTATAAATCACAAAAAAATCACGGATTTGTTTAACATTAATTTGCGCAGATTTCATTTCGACGTTTATTGTTGATGCGTTTATTTTGTGTGTGTATATGTGAATATGCACACCTANGTAAATGATTCTTCTTTTCTTTTATCCTTTGCTTTTCTATTTTTTTCAAACAAACAAACGTTTACTAAAGGAGAACGATGGCGTCTTGGTGGCATCCTCAACAGCAGCAACAACAAGTACATCATTCGACAAATGAACCATTCGATTATCCTCATGCACCACAATCCATGCCGCCACCTCACCCTTTTTATGATACGCATATGATTATGATCGAAGGTAACAACAATGACGAGTACCTCATGCATTCAACAAACAATGGAAATTTGAATGATTCGACTTCGATGGAATATCACCATCGTCGAAATTGGTACAACGGGTAAAGAAAAGAGTTTTCTGATTCTCACGAATATTATTGGCTGATGGAAGGAATAAATTGACCACTCATATTGATTTCTTTTCCTTTTCTGTTTTGCAGGAATAACAATGATGATCGGAAAGCTAAATCTCGCGTCGCCGCCAAACATCGTCGAAGCGCTGAGAATAAAGAATTTACCGATTTGTCGAAATTATTACCTTTACAACAACAGATAGCAGCACAACTTGACAAAGCTTCAATCATTCGCTTAACGATCAGTTATTTACGTTTGCATGAATTTTTATCACATGGTGATCCATGTTGGCCAAATGACATCAATGGTAAATTTGTCCTCTTTTTTCTTCCTTCGTTAATCTGATAGATTTTCTCGAATTCTCACTGGATAAGATATGAAGTCCCTTGATAAAACTATCTTTTTTTTCTTCTTCCTATTTAGTACCATCAAGAAAACAAGCATTTAAGTTATTTAATGCTGACGAATCATCTCAATTGCTACAAGTAATAAAAGATAAATGAATTTCGAACTTGCCGAATTCACTTCTTCTTTTTTCTTCTCCTCAAGTCCTTGGATGGTTTCATATTTGCATTAAGTTCTGATGGAAGAATTTTATACATATCAGAATCAGTATCCAGTAGTCTTGGCCTATCCATGGTGGAAATGACAGGAAATTTCATATTTAACTATTTACATGAGGATGATAAGAAAGTCTTTGCTGATGCATTGGGCTTCGAATTATTACCACCATCGAGTCCAACTACCAGTTTGCCAATGGATTTAATGAATTCAGCAAACACTGATACGGATTTTTTGGAGATATCACGTGAGTATAGGATCGAATGAATCATCTTCGAGAAGGGAGACGAGCGAATCGAAATGTAAATGCATCATGAATGACGTAGGATTTTTTTTTTTGATGGAAAAGAATGTGAACTGTGTGTAGCATTAATCTAACCATATAGAAACAAAGTGCGCTTTTGGTAATAATCGATATTCCATATATTTAGATTCTGATAAGAGTTTATCTCAATAATTCTTTTCGAAATACCAAGTTTCAGTTGATTTAAATATGCACTGTATAACCCCAATCGCTCTTGATGTTTTAGCTGAACAATGTCCTCGAATGCAAGCACCAAACGATGGCACTCGTTTTACAAAGAAATCCTTGTGTGTTCGAATGCGTTCAAGCTTGACGAAACGTGCACCAAATATGAAAACACCTGGCTACAGAGTAAGTTCAACTTTTCTTCGGACAACCTCTTAGTATTTAACGGACTTTCATCAAAAATAGTCAGTACAAATTATTGGTGATTATCGTTGGATACACCCCGATCATCGTCAATCGTCGCACAACGGCAATCATCTACTCGGCTTTGTTGGTACAGCAATTATTCCCAATTTAAGTCCATCACAAAATGAATTTCCTATTCCTGAACATCAAAGTGTTATTCGACTTGACGAGAATCTTCATATTACTCATATGGATGATAAGTGAGTGAAAGTTTTTCTTTTCTAACTACGATTATTAATCATATTTTAACATAGATTACAACGAACATTGAATTGGACTTTAACATATGCAACATCATCACTTTATCTTTATATACATCCTGATGATTTATCAGTATTGACAGCGGCACATCGCGAATGTATGTCATAAACAAAGTTGAAAATTTACTTTATCGTTTCGCTGTTTTCTTTTCGTCTTTAGTACCATCCCGACAGCAACTTGTTTTAAACGTCGTTCGTCTACAAATGAATGTTGTTGCTTCACCTTCTCAGCATCAGCGAAAATCAAACGGAAGTAATAATAGCAGCAGCACTAATGTGAATAATAATCAAGTGATCGTCGAACAGAAATGGATTTGGTGTGACTTATTAGCGACCATGATGCAATCGAAAACCAATGATGAGAATTTTGTTATACTCGTTGTAGAAATTATCGGGTAAGTAAAAGGTCATATGTGTACGAGAATGAAATGAATACAAAATATGATGTTTTCTTTTAGAATGGATGATGGACATATTGTACCTGCTATTGATGAAGAGCTTGAAAATGGTTTGTTTGTTTATTTAAAGTGAAATAATACAGAGCAAAACTTTCTCTTTCCATTTGCTTAGAATACGTGAATCGAGTTTCCAGTCGATCACAAATTAGTCCAACTGATGTTATCGAATCTTCACCACCAAGTATTCAATCGCGTGCGACGATTAAACGACAACTATCTCCATATCCGAGTGAACAGCAGCAAGTACAACAAGGCTGTTTTTATCCATCACCGCCTCCACCGACACTCACTCCAACTTCATCGTTTGCTTCTTCTTCACCCCACCATCGTCATTTACCCACAACATCATCTCCGAATCCATCATCTCCCCATTCGCCTCTTCCTACTAACCGACCGTCAGTTATCATGACAAAAAGCATGCATCATCAACAACAACAACAGCAGCAGCAGCAGCATTATCACCCATACTGTCATTATGATGGTAATCCATTCACACAGCAACAGTATGCGCTATCTACATCGGGAAGTGAACACTGGTATTATCCACCGCCGCATTCGAATCTTGCAGGAGAAAACTTTACTCTGTATCATCATCCACATAATCATTCGAGTTAGAGATTGACTTCTCTCTTAGCGACCGTCCTTATTTTTTTAAATTTATTTCGCATGCTCATATTGTGATTGATCATTTTCTTTTTGTTCTGTCGAGTTAATAACTGTTTCTCATATATATATATATATATATATACATATACATGCATATACGTTGTTGTGTTCTCGTTGAGTGGAACAGTAGAAAGAAAGAAAGCAAAAGATTTAATATCAAGACTCGAGTTGTACATTGTTCGTTTCTTCTTTTCTTTTTCTCTTTTTTTTAAATAAAATTATTCAACTGAATAAAAATTAAACAAACGAATTCGTTCTCACACATCACTTCGCAATGGATATACTTGGAGATAGACCCCCTCGGTGTTTATTTGGATAAACAGATCTTGTTAGTATCACTCTTACACCAATTCACTATAGTGATTGTTTTCTGTAGATGCCACCGTGTGTTGGATTAGCCATCGCGTTTCCGTTCTTCTTCTCTTTGATCCCTTGACGTGCGGATGCTCGACTGATAACAAAAAGGAAAAAGTAATTTCATCTCTGAATAAAATATGTTTATTCACAAAACATCGTCCAACATGTCCTTGATATAAAACAAAAAGTTTGTTTTTTCTTTTCCTATTCGATAAAAGAACTATCATAATTGGGCGTTTTTTTAAACAAAGACAAATTGTCTTAGAAGAACGGATATGACTTCTATTTTAGTCTCACATATATAAATATATTGATCATTGGCGAAAGTAAGTAGCTAGGCTGTTTAATGCATGAACTCGACGTTTTTCTTTCTCCCTGCGCTTTTTTCCTTAGTCACTCTTTGTTCAGTGCGACAGAAGGGCTAATCACAAAAAATATAGCAGCAGCCGGCAGAACTACGTCAATTCATTCTTCTTCTTTTTTTTTTCTCTCGTTTTTTTTCTCGACGAAAAAAACCGAGCGAGGGTGTGAGTGAGCATTCGAGAGGAAAAAAAAAGAGGAAAATTCTGTTTCTTTCCCTCTTGCCAAGTGACAACTGCTGTTCCTGGTAGATGCGAATCTCTTAACTACGACACTCGTTTGTCTCATATTTGAAATCGAATCGATTGACGACAGAAATATCTCGATATTTAAAACAAAATGACAACACCAGATACATTAATACACGAGTTACAACGTAATACGAGCAAAGAGAAACGTAAAGAATGGCGGGTAAGAGCGAGAACATATAGAAAGAGAGTGATTGATGTGATACACATTGTTCATTTGATCGATTTCGTTTTTCTTTACATCATATTTCCCTTTCATTTTATTTAGAAAAATATGTCCGACCGTACTTTTTCACTCGAAGATCCTCCGAACACCGATGAATTCAATATGTAAGTGATCTGATTTGAGTGTTGATTTAATCATTTGTTCATCGTTTTCAAGTTCATCGTCAAGCCTTCGACAGGATCAGTCATCGCTCGAATGCCGAATTGAACATATTCCATTCTATTCTTGGATTGAATCAAATCTAATTCTTCTTCGTAACAATCTCGTACGACGTGGTTTAAATGAACAAGAGATCATCGATAAAGAACAAACAATAACCGATAGTCTTAAAGTAAAAAACAAACGGCTTCTCTTCTGAAAATCGCATGTACGCTGGTTTTTAGGCATGTTTAAAAGATTTAAATGATGCTGAACTGAGAGAAAATGATCTATTACAAGCGCGTATTCGAGCTACTCTGGATGAATGTCAACATTTAAATCGTCTTTTGAAATTAGATCATAGTATTGAGGTAAAAACAAAAGACATTAACTGTTTACGCCTAGAAATTCGTTTGAATTGCGTTTATAGAAAATTGAAAACGAAAATTTACCTTTGTTGGAACAATTGAATCGAGCAAATGAGTTGCTCGATCGAATTAATCAAGTATTGAAAGAAAAAGTCGAAGAAATTAATCAGCTGAAAGTGATCGAAGAAAAATTATGTCATAAACTCGATGAAAAAGTAATTAATTTCGATAGTGATGGTAAGACGAAGCACAAAATCATTCTTTTCCATTAACAAATACGTTCGTTTCAGTTGATGATATGCCATACGATCAACGACAAGATATTCTCGAAAAACATATTAATGACTTACAGAATTTACAAGTAAATTTCTCTAAAATCACATTCGGAGTGTTACGAAAATCTATTTGCTTTGCAGAACGAACGTTCATCAGCCATTGAACAAGCGCGTAATCAAATCCATGAAATGAAAACTGAACTTGACCTTAATAATACATATAATCAGCCAAATGATGATCAGCAAGTGCTCAATCTCATCGACGGGCCTGTACATCTAATCGAATTATCGAAAACAAATGTTCAACGTTTACTAACTATTGCTAATCAAGTAAATCGTCAGATTTTTCTCTATACCAAAATGAGTTTTCTTTGTTCTAGCTGCATACGATCTATCAAGAAAACCGAATGAAGGCTGAACATCTTGTTGCTACACTCAATGCTTTGTACGAACGATTAAATTTAATCGAATCTGACAGACATATTAAGTTGCCACTTGATAAGCCTCATCGACCAGTAAATCTCAGCCTGGTATGTATACACAAATGAATAATCAACATGAAAGAAGATCTACATATGTATAAAAGTTATACTGATCTATGTATTAACATATATATTGAAGTCTGACATCGACGACCTTTGTCTCAGTCATAGAAAACCAGTCCAGTGTTCTGCTGAAAGGAAAATCAGACTCGAAAAGTAGCATTTGATTGATTGTTTTAGTTGGAGAAAGAAATTGATCGATGTAAGGAATTACGCCGGCAAAACATGCGGACATACATCGAAAATATTCGGGATGAAATCTTTGCTCAATACGAAAAATGTTTCTACGGACGTGAACAAATGGAAAGTTTTCTTCCGCTCTATTCCAGTAGGTTATCTTTGACGAGAGAAAAATGTTTACCCTTGTAATATTTAGATGATTTTACCGAAGAATTGTTGGAAGAACATGAAAAGGAATTAGAAGAAATTAACATGTACTATAATCATAATGAACAATTATTTGCTAATCTTGCCAATTGGCATGAAGTTTGGGCGGAATATCGAGAATTTCAAGTACGATGGAGATTTTTCTCGAAGATTTCTCTATTTTAATATGATTTACTTCAGCGTCAAGCAAGCGATCCTGAGCGCTTCAAACGTCGCGGTTATTCCGCTGTGCAAGAAGAAAAACAACGTAAACACTTGGAATTTACACTTAAAAAAGTTCAAGATACCGTTCTACAACTGAGTAAAGACTATGAAACTGAATTTGGACGTAAGAGAACATTCGCATAACAGTTCCACCTATTCTCTCTATTTCGTTTTGCTCTAGATCAATTTTTAATTGAAGGTGTACCAGTACAAGATTTCTTTAATCATGAGAAAGAGAACTATTCTCAAGAAAAAGAAATCGAAAAAGCACGGAAACAGTTAGCACGTGGTCAGACACCAACAACGTCACATGTCCAAGCAAACATCAAACGACTAGAAATAAGTTCCAAAACTCCTGGTCGACAACAGACAAATCTTGGCAAAGAAGTAATAATCGAACTTGTCTCTCAATCATGAGTTGATATATTTTCTTTGTTTTAGACTGAAATTAAACCGACAACACCATTTCGACCAGCAAGTGCAGTTCACAAACGTTGATTTAGCCGATTAAGAATGATGACTTCAATATTCTTTTCTTTATATATATTCACGTGATCAACAGCTTGATCTAGTTGTATCAATAATCATCTTATTAATTTTCTTTTTATATTAAATAAAAATACATTCTAATACGATAACGAAAACAAATTGTTGTTTTTCACAACACGACACCAATATGAACTCTTCCAAGGTATTGTTAGAAACTCATTTGCATTGACGATTTCGCAGACACATTAGTAACAGTCGTCGGCAAGGTTTCTGTCTTGTCTGAAATGAATCAAAGAGTTGTTGCGAAACAGTTGTCGAATGTACCATCGAAAATCAGCGAGCAACAAAATCATAAGTTTGTGCTATACATGAATACGAGCACATCCGTTGAAGGCGATGTCTCAGATGGTATTTGACTGAGAAATCTCTTCGAGCAAACGATTGCTTTGTCTCTTTTCGTCCGTCGATAAACAAGTTCTCGACGTCCTTGAACACAATGTTGTTTGATACGATCAATATATTCAATTAAAAATATGATATTTCATTTCCTTTTATCATAGGTCGCTATCGCATTTCGTTCGAAATTGTCGCTAGTCATCAGTGTAAAGCACATGATCATTTTCATTGCTGGTCTGTTGAAATTGACTTTGAATAGAAAAATCTTGTTAATATCATTTCCTACAATATCTTACTTCGAATATTGTTTATTTTTTGCCAAGAATTTTGTTTGTTGAAAGTTCTTTCTTAATGTCATACACTGACTTTCATTTATTCCCATTGGTTGATATATCAAAGGATTCATTCTTCTTCTTCTTCTTCTTCGTCTTCTTAAAAGAAAAGAAAACAACAAGTATGTGATCGTAAATAAGCATATTCAGTTTTTTTTTCGCAATCGATTCGTTTTTATGACATATATTATAGTCGAAAAAGGCACATTTCGAAGCAATTGATTGATATCATTGCTCAGAATTGTGATGTGAGATAGATGGTATAACTGTCCTTCTCTAATCAATCGTTCTTTCACTTCTTTTTTATTTTCTTGTATCCTTGAACAATCAACGAGAATGATTTTTTCTTGTATCCTTCAGATCTCACGGGCGTCATGGATCGCCTTCGTCATTTAGGCACACGTCGTTCTTCTGATCAGAAAATGCATCAAACGACATCAGTAATTATAAGTCACTCGTTGGCAAATCATGTTTTCTCTTCTTTCTACTTTAGACGATTACAGTTAATAATTCATCAGGAGGATCGTCCAATTCGTCATCGAATGGAAACAATGAACAACAAGAGCCACGAGCCAAAGTTTCTAGTCTCGTTTTCAAATTCGGAGGAGATCGTCCGAAAAAAGTACCAACGTATACCTTTTCACCTGGTAAGATCACGATTTCTTTCCAATGAAGTCATAATTCATTTGAATAAATTTTCAGCCGAACAAGCGACGATTGATCAACAACATCATCTGCAGCAAAATCAAGCACCACGTGTTCCGTCATCACCCCAACCACAACTGTCACCACAAATACGAAACTATGTAAAGTCTTCGAAATTTAACTCTCTGAAAATTTGAACTTGAATTTTTCTAGATTGAGCAACTTGAGATAAAGAACAGTGAATTAACACATAAAATTAACGAACAATATCAACATATTGAACAGTCCGAAAGGACAATCAAAGAATTACATCAAATATGCGATGCATTTCAGAATCAGTAAGAGAGATTTCTGCAGTCCTATTAAATCCTACATCTATTTCTAGAGCTAATGACGAAACAAACAGTCCTCTTTTACGACTAATTGCAAATTTTTGTGAAATATTAGTAATTACATAGGCGAATATCAGCTCGTAATGTTTTCAAATTTCTATTTAGCCGGATCAACAACATCATGAAGATGTTCTCTCATTATTCGAATCTAAAATTATTCAGTGTAAAAAAACGGAACAACAAGTATGATAGCGTATTTTGTTCTCCTTGTACATACAGGTTTTTCTTTCGATATGAATAGGTCAAGTCCTTGACAATCGCCTTGAAATCAAAAGAACAACGTATTACAGAATTAACCAATGAAGTTAATGACTTAGCAACAAAAGCAAGCACGATGCAAACACCAACGTCAGCACCACGTTCGAACTCATCCGTATCGACAACACCTATAAGACGAATCGATTCAGCTGATGAACGTAAGTATCATTTGGAGAGTTGTAAGTCAGAACCAAATGGTTCTGACCTTTGTGTTAAAAATCAAAGATAAGAAATGGAAATGTAATGCTTGGTTTTCTTTGTTGTGTTTAGTTGATTCAATTAACTTACGTCGAGAATTATTTCGCACCCGAAATCGTCTCAAAGAAGCTCAACGCGAATTGTCGTCACAAAATAGTCTCACGAAACATTTATCAACAAATAATCTTCTTTCCTCCGATGCCTTAATAAGCGATTTACGTAAAGATATCAGTGAAATGGGATGGGAAATCAAAACATTGCAGAAAACCAAAGAAACACTTAAAAATGAAGTGGAAAAATTGGAACGCGAAATTGTTGTACTCGAATCGCAGAAAAAATCAGTAACTAATCGAGAAAACAGGAACATTCCAAGACACAGAATGATTTCTCTTTCTTAGGTTGAAGATGCCAATGCAATGATTACCCGAGAAAATAAAGAATTACGAGCAACGATCGAAGAATTAAATGATCAAAATCGAATTGTTCTACAAAATTATCAAAATCACGTGAAAAATGTAACAACCAACTTGCATTATTTAAATTCATGCTCATTCTTCCGTTATTTTTTCAGTATGCAATACACGAAGGACTAATGAGTAAATTATACGATTCCATAGCGCAAATCGAAAAAGAAAATAGTCAATTGAAAGAAAAAGTAAATAGAAGTTCACTTCTCTCGTATAATTTAGTTTTTGTAGATGCCTTCATTCTTTTATTCTAAGCATCATCAGTGGCCATGTAGGTTGAAAGAACAGCATGTTCGCTGTTAGTTTGTCTGAATCCCCAACCATGAATCAGTACTTTCTAAAACTCCCTTATACTGACTTGCATGCAATGCGATGCATGAATCGCTTTCGATGAAGACGAACTTGTTCGTTGTTGACCGTGTGATTGGTCTTTTTTTTTTCTAGTGTGTTTTTCTGGAAGAGAAACTTGAATTGAAACAGATCTCATTAGTGGACAAAAATGAATTAGAAAAATTGAATTCTTCGAATCGTGTTTTAACCTTACAATATGACTATGAAGTCGCCAAACGTGAACATTGCGAACGACAATTGACACGTTTACAAGATAATATTAAACAATTGCAATCGGAATTGTCGTATATGGATGAAAAAGTCAAACGTGCTGATGAACAAATGAAACTAGCCGATCGATTGAATCGCGATAATAAAGACGAATGCGAGATTTTACAATTGAAAATCATGGACTTAGAAAAACGTCTGAATCTTACTGAAAAAGACAAGGACATTGTTGAACAAGAATTGTTAATTGTTAAACAAAAAATGGAAGCGACAACGTATCGTATTCAACGTTACAACGAAGCTTTGGTCAACGCCGATAACGATATGGAACAAATGTCGGATACCAGGTACGAAGCAAAGTTCGCAAATGAGAGATGAAAACGTATGTTTGTTCTGCTGATTATTTAGCTTTAGTGAAGATGTAGCAAGTATCAATGGCACCGAGACGATATCGTTGAAGAGTCGTCCTTCACATCCGTTGCAAACTCAAAGTGAAGCTTAATGTTTGAAATGAAAAACAAAGCCTACAAACAATTTCTTTCGATCAAATAATCGACTTGTAGATATACGTGTGTCTGTGTGTATGTGTGTGTGTGTGTTACTCAATTCAATAGCTTATAATCAATATGCATGAAATCAAAAAAAAACAGAACATTTCGTTTCTTTTCACGTTAGTTCAACAGTGTTTTATTCTTCACTCTAACGAAAAAAAAAGCGAATAATCACATTCCATTATCTTGTTAATTTAATCTCTCATACATTCAAGAGTTTATTCTTGTTTGAGGATAGTGGTTACTGTTGTTCCTCAATCTCACTTTCATTTTCCATTATCAAAGTATATTTCTGAGAAAGAATACTTTTTAAATTCAACGACGTTGTGAACTTTCTCAGCACAATCAAAACTTGTTCTATTTTCATCTAATCGAATCATATTTGCTTCTACTTCTCTGCTTTTCTTTCTCGATTTATTGATTGACTATTTACCTTGTTATTCTAATTTCATTCTTTTTTTTCTGTATTTGTATAGTTCTATAGTGTATCTCTACATATACATATTCAATAAAAATTAAATAAAACAATCGATTTGCTAGAAAGAGAAAAAAAAGATGTTAATTATTTATTTTATTGAAGAATTGTGAATAAAGATAGGATCATTCAAGTCAATGGTACGAGTGTAGAAGAAAGAGTAGTTGAAATCAACTGCCTAAATGATTGAAAAGATGATTTTTCACTGTTTTGAGTATGAATTCATCTTTGTTTGGTTTTAGATATAATGATCAGTCGGTTTTTATTCAAATCGACCTCCATTCTATGTCGTTCTTGTCAACAACGACTAACAACTTGTTCCAGTTCCCCTTATTTATATCAAACGCGCAGAAATCTTGCTAGTCTCTTCTCTAAAACATCACCTCATACATCTTTCAATGCTCGACGTTTTCTTTCGAAATCAACGAAAACGAATAAGAAATATCAAGTACTTAAATGGCTTACAGAAGTATTTTTCTCAATAATGATTTTGTGTATTTAGCCGGTATCTTATGGCCCAAAAAGTAAACGACCCATTATAGAAGTCTATCATAAAATGACAATCAAAGCGCTTGCACAAGCGATGAGTATTAACGTTGGTACGTTGGTTTTTTTTTTGTTCGACTTCTTTTCCAAATCTTTCATGTAGATCATATTTATGATTGTCTAATTCATATAAAAAACGGTGATCAATATTCATCGGATAATCAAGGTTCGTAGAATTGAATAAAATACGCATCGATGTAACGAATGGATTGCATTTTAGAAATTGACGATTTCAATATTATTGTCGAAGTTGTACATCTATGTGGTGGAAAACATCGACTTATACCATCGCCGTTTGCCAACGATAAGAAAAAACCAGTCACAAATGTTGTCAAATTTGTTCGCACGTACGTTGATGGTTTGCTTTGTGGAAAAATAAGAATGAAAATTGTAGACCGATGCCATCGCCAGACAAGTTAAAACCTCGACCACCGGTGGTTACCATTATGGGCCATGTCGATCACGGAAAAACAAGTCTTCTAGATGCATTAAGAAATAGTAATATTGTTTCAGGTGAATTCGGAGGTATAACACAACATATCGGTGCTTTTATTGGTAAGTGTGTGATGTATGGTTAGGTATTCATTTTTTCACGTTGATTTATAGTACCTGTTTCGAAATCGATGACTATTACGTTTATTGATACGCCTGGACATTTGGCATTCGCTGAAATGCGTGCTCGAGGTGCTCAAGTAACGGATATTGTTGTTCTTGTTGTTGCCGCAGATGATGGCGTTATGCCTCAAACATTGGAAAGTATTGCTCATGCGAACAGAGCCAAAGGTAATTATATGATGGCTTCAGTTTTCGGACGTCTCTATCATACATTTCCGTAGTTCCAATTGTTGTTGCGATCAATAAAATTGACAAAGCTGATTCAAATATTGTAAGAGAACAAAGTTAACGTAGTTTTATATTTCCTTTCATCCATCTACTAGAAACGAACGGAAAGTATGCTTGCTGAACATGGAGTACAATTAGAATCAATTGGTGGAGACGTTGTCGGTGTGCCTATATCTGCATTGAAAGTAAACGTTCAACCATCATTTCATTTTTGAATTAAATTTTTGTTATATATAGAATATTAACATCGATAAACTGTTGGAATCGATCTTAGCTGTTGCTGAACTACAACAATTGCATGGTGATCCAAATGGACCAGTTGAAGGTACTATACTCGAATCTAAACATGAAGAAGACACGGCAGGAGACGACAATACATTCGATAACAATCAACGGAAGGGGTGAGCCATGAGATGGTAAGCAGGTATCGGTCGATATAATATCTAGGGTTTGTTTATTTTTCTTCTACAGAAATCTGGCGACTGTTCTCGTCCAACGTGGTGTGTTGAAAAAAGGAACCATTCTATTGGCTGGTCAAAGTGTTGCACGAGTAAGTCTTTTCTTTTCGCAAAAAAAAACGAAATTATCCACCTTTCATTTAGGTTCGTGCTCTATACAATGAACGTGGTATTCAAATTGAACGAGCCACCCTGAGCATGCCTGTGCAAGTAACTGGTTGGAAAACATTGCCGAATGCCGGTGAGGAAGTATTCGAAATTGACAGCGAAGTAGGAGAAGACTATTTGATTGATCGAAACGATTTATTGCCTTTGAAAAAATGAATAGAATCTCGCCAATCGAATTGCTACTCAACGTAAAGCAGATGAAACTGCTAAAAAAATGGAAGTCGATGCTGTTGTTGTAACGCAAAAACATGAAGAACATCTACAAAAATATCGGTTTGTCAATGGGAAATATCCAGTAAAATAATCGTGAGCTTTTGAAATTATAGAGCAGAACTTCAACGCCGTCGAGAATTAGGTATCATATTCCGTAAACGTGATAAAGGTTCAGGTCAACATATAGAAGATAAAGAAGAAAAACTTAAATATTCAATATTACTTAAAAGTAAAGTGGTACTTACGTATGCATGAATCGTGAACATTTTGTCAATCATTCTAGCGGATGTTTATGGTACTTTGGAGGCATTGACAAAAATTATCAATATGTATAATGATACTCGATGTCCTTTGGATGTCATCGATGCTGCTGTTGGTCCTGTAAATGAAGATGATATAGAAGCAGCTCAACTGTTCAATGGTATGTAAAACAATCATTTTATCATGACTTGATTCCGTGAAGTTTCTCTTTCTTAGCAACAATCTACGCATTTAATACGAACATAAATCAAACCATAGCACTCGATGCTAGTCGAAAACATGTTCCAATTCGAACATTTAATGTTATTTATCATATGTTGAATGATATAAAACATGAGTTAACAAAACGTATACCTTCAACTGAAGAAGATGTCCAAACTGGTTGTGGAGATGTGTTACAAACATTTGAAATAACTGAACGGAATAAAAAGATTCCTGTCGCTGGTTGCCGTGTCACAGATGGTTTCTTCGAAAAGAAACAACTATTTAAACTTATCCGCAACGGACAAGTTATTCACCGAGGTACGAATAAATCATCTGTTTGGCTTCGTAAAGTCTTTTTTCCTCGTAGATACTTTATCCTCATTGAAACATGTACGCGATGATGTTCAGTCGATAAAAAAAGGTGTTGAATGTGGTCTATCGTTCACAAATCATGATATTAAATTTCAAAAAGGTGATCAGATCGTTTGTTATACTGTACGACAAGTGACACAGGAAGCGAAATGGGACTTTGGTTTTTAGGAAATGACGTTTGTTTTTCAGTTTAATAAAAAAAGTGTTTACGATATGTGTTTTTAATGCATTGATATACATCTTTCTATCAGAATGAAAGTATTTTTATTTCAATGATTATTCTGCTGTTGTTGGTTCAATCTGAGGATCTTCGTTACGAAATACAATATAAAACACAATACCGACGAGGAATGAAACGATTGATAACGATGCGTACATCCATACTAGTTTGGGATTGACTGTAACGGGCACAAGCGCAAAATTCAATGCACTACCAATGGCTGTTGTCAGTAGAAACATTGACAGTACGATTGATTTCATCGATGTCGGCGCATGAGTATATGCATACTCGAGACCAGTGATCTGTGCAAATATTTCCGAGATAGCAATGAGAAAATAGGATGGAATTTGCCAAACGACACTAATGTTATTGTATTTTTGACAGGTTGGACAAGGTGTTTGAGTAAAGGAGTAATTAGGTCCAGTCGAATAAATTAGGTGTTGTACAAAAGCTGTCCATGCCATGGATGCAGATGCAAGTAGAAATCCACACGTGATACGTATGATAGATTTGAAATTGATATGACATCGTCGTAATAGAGGATAAATAACTTTATCGAACAATGGTATGAAGATAATTAGTACCAGCGGGTCAATATTTTGTAGGATGTCATTGGGTAAAGAGCCTACCATTCATCAAAGGATGATCGTTTATGTCTATTTGAAATGATAACTCTTACCAACATTCATTTGTGCTGCTTGAGATACTAAGTTGCCCATCAATTGATTATAACATACTGTATAAAATGGATAGAAAGCAAATACTCGGCAGACATGAATTGCTTGTTTTAAGTCATCAATAAATTGATCTGTTTTAGTATCCGCTTCTTCTTTTGCATAGTCTAGGAAATGTTTTATGCGTTCCTGCCGTCCTAGTTTCCAACGTACCCTAAGCGCTGCTCTGATGACATGAAACGCTCGAATAAGCAACGAACCAGTTGGTGATCCTCGAATATATTTATGACGACCCATAAATAGAATGAGAATCGTACCAATGAATACAATCAGTGGAATCAGATATGCTAACCAAAATGAATGATGTTTTTCAATAGTAGTTGTCAAAATTGCTGATAGTGCACCCAAATTAATACCCCAATAGAACCAATTGAATAAGGATTGCATAGTTCTATAGAAAATACAGATAGATAATAATATGAAGGTGTGTGAAACGAAGTTTTTGTTTACATCTTTGGGTCAATGATCTTCTTTTTACCATTGATTTCTAAAACGAGGAAGAATACAATGATGTGCAGTAAGATTTTCTTTAACCTTTAACTATCGGCGTTTTTCTTGTATATTGATCAGCCATTAGCGGACTAACATTACTTTTTACACCACCTGTACCAACACCTATGACAATCATCGCAACGATTAGACCCGGTAATGCCAAACCACTTTGAATTGAAGGTGGGATACTCGTTGACACAAGTATCATAAGACCAATTATATAGACAATGCATGCTACAAATATCGTTTTGTATTTGCCCCAGAACTGATCAGCAACAATCGCACCAGCAATGGGTGTCAGGTAACAGAAGAATTGAAAGAATGTTGTTAACGACGTTGCCACGCGTTGACCGCGACCCAATGCTCCTGGTTGTTTATCATTGGGACCAGGCACAGGAAACTGAATATAATTTTGAAACGGTCCTGACATACCGTAAAATGCAAAACGTTCACAAAATTCGCATACAACAATCATCCATGCCGCTGGTGGAATCCGGTCAGAAATACGTTCTAAAGTATTGAGCTCCTCTGCAGTTGGTTCAATCTCATCAGGAGCTTTCTTCGTACCCATCACTTCCATTACGACTGTGTCAGATGAATTCGATACTTCTGCGCTCATCTTGTTAATAGGCCAAATATTTTCGTACAGAAGAGATACTTTATATACGAGGAGAGAAACGCCTAAATGAAGGATGAATGAACACACACAGGACAACGATCATCATCGCTATCGATGCGCAACGATGAGTCAGAAGTGACCTTGCCAGCCATCTTGATAATCACGAAATGTGAATACACTTTATTTAGATGGCCTTGTCCTCTCACCGATAGACAATCTTGATCATTGATTTCATTAGAGAGATTAGACTTTATATTCGTATTTTCTCTATTCAAATAACTAAAAATATGTTCTACATAACACAAGACGTTTGATTTCCAATGCCACAATCTCTGAGTGACAAAACAAGTGTAATCGTGACCAAGAACTGTGTCCATCATTTACGATTATTTGAATGTCAATCAATTGTATCATTTTCTTAATCATATAGGTTCATGTTTAATACACAATGCTTTAGTGATCGACATCGATCTCGTACATAGTTAGATATAACAAATCCATTCTCGTTCTCTTTACATTGATACTAACGACACTTCAGAAACCTTTTGTCGGCGCGTGTAACAAGCGACATCTATGATGAAACAATAGTTATCTATTGATGTTTCTGAAATGAAATTTCGAACTAATATTTTTGGTATTTACGCAGAAAACATGAACTACACTAAGTTCTGAGTTGTAAATGAAAGTTCGAGCTGAAGAGAAAACCTGCAACTGGAGAAGTCCAGATCTATTTCAAGATGGCTGTTTGTCTGTATGGGAGACGAGAAAAATAATAAGTCACCAAGTTTATTATTTCTGATCAACTAACGATTGATTTTGTTCCAAAGATCTCATATTGATGTTTTAGATAGTTTTACACAATTTTTTAACATTAAGAACTAGTTTTATCCGATGCTTCGTGCAGCTCATTTGCCTCGTGCACAGCCAGCAGCATTGAACTTTCTCCTGGTATCTAAACGATGGCAACAAACACCCGCTTCACCTGGATCTGGTATAACTGCATCGACCAAATCAACACCAGGTTCACATACAACTCAGTATGCAACAAATAATCCAGCATCAGCTTTCAAAACCCAAACAGCTGCATCGAGACCATCATTCAACGCACCAATCGACCGAACCAGTAATCCTTACAAAACAACGACTAGTCCAACATCTACTTACGTACCTCCTTCGTCACAAAGAACGAATCCATCCTCTGGTAATAAAACTGGAGGCGGTGCTGGTACATTAGTCAAAGCTATTGTCTATGGTGTTGCTCTTGGTGTTACAGGAACATTAGCCTATGCGGAATATGAAAATGATTCATTTCGTCGTCAACTTGAATCGACCATTCCATATACTGCAACGATCTTAGGTGGTATTGATCAAGTCATTGATCCAGTATTGGGTCGACAAAAATCAATAACAAAAGGCATAACCGATAAAGTGCCTGATCTAGCTTACGTTAAAGATAAATTACCGGGCAAAGACCAAGTGAAAAAACTTGGCGAACAAGTTAAAGATGCAACTAATCAAGTCGTGGAAAAATTACCCGATAAAAATACATTGAAAAAAGTCGGAGAACAAGCTAAGGATGCAGTCAACAAAGTAACAGATAAAATAACCGATCAGAGCAAGGCTAAAGGTCTTGTTCATCAAACTACTGATCAGGTAAAGAAAAGCCGCCTACAATTTTCATTGATTTATTTGTCTTTCTAGGTGAAAGATGCTGTTAATACAGTTCGTGAGGCATTGCCTGACACAAAAGGATTGAAAAAGAACTTAGATCATATGAAAGAACAAATTCAAGATGCAGCACATACGGTTAAAGAAACTGTAAAGGAGGCAGTGCCAGCATTGCCCAAAGGTCGATCCGGTGATTCATCTGGCAAATTAACTGACCCAGTCTTTATAGAAGAAGCTGGCGAAATGGCTGTTCCACCACCGATACCGCAAGATAAATACAAAAAGTAAGTTCGATGAGTTTTTCTTTTTAAATATAAAACCTACTTCTACATTTAGACTTGAAGAAGAGATTAGCCAGTTATTCGCCCCTTTGTCAACACAAATTGATGAAGCTTTATCGGCTGCTCGTGAACATATTTCACACATGAAAACATTAATTGATAATCCTCATATTTCGACTTCGGATCATGAAACATGGAAAAAAGCCGAACATTTGCAGGAACAAGCAAAAACGTCGTATGAAAAAGCTACTGACAAACTTCGCGAATGGAAGGACAAATTAGTTGAATATTCAACCGCAACGAACGGTCAAATACATCCAGAAGAAAAGAAACTCGATGAAAAATACCAAGAATTACATAAACAGTACACAACATCGACGTTTGTCAAGAATTTTCGAACATATATCGATGAAGCAACAAAATCCTTTCAAAAAGAGATCGAAACCATGTTTCCAAGTTTAGCCGGAAAAAATCCCACACAACTGACACATGAGGATTTACAAGCTCTGTTAGTTCACGCACATCGTCGCGTCGTTAAACTTCAGAATGACATAGCGCGTATGCGAATCAATGAATCGGATTCGATCAAAGCAGGTGTTGAATCAGCGCGCTCGGAAATCGATCGTCTTGTTGAAGAGCGTGTCCAAACTCGTGTAGCGAAAACAACGGAGCAATTAACTGAAGAATTGAAATCTTATGAAAAGAACCTTCGTCAACAATTTGATGAACAATTGAAATATGAAATCGTTTTACAACACCAAGCATTGACACAATATCTAGCCGATGTTCTTTCGCGACAATACCAAGAATGGGCACGTGAATACGAAAAACAACTTGAAAATGAATCGATGAAAATCAATTTGAATTTACAAAACCAATTACGATCAACGCTAGACCGTTTGCATGCAATTGAACAAGCAATCGAGGCCAACTATGATAGTCAACAACGTGGCCGACAAGCACAACAATTATGGATTCAAGCTCAGAATATTCTTAATCAAATCGTTCATGGTACAACCACGGAAAATGATCTCGATGTGATTTCAAAGATAGTTCCCAATGAGAAATTTGTTCACATACTTTTGAATGAGCTAAAAGCTGATGACTCGCCAGTGACCAACGAAGAAATGCTACGTGAACGTTTCACTCATGTCAACAAACTATGCCGTCGTGTAGCGTTAATTGACGATGAACATAATTCTCTATGGAATTATTTTCTTTCCTACTTGCAAAGTTTATTGATTGTCCGACAACGTGATGATACAATCCTAACCGACGATGCTATTGATCTCAACAGACTAAGTACATTCACGATCTTAAACTATGTTCAATCCTACTTAGATCATAATCAATGGTACAATGCATTGCGGTTAATGCAATTACTGTCAGGTGAACCACGGAATGTCGCACAATCATGGATTGCTGACACACGAAATTATTTAGCAAAGAAACAAACATCTGAACTACTTGAAGCCTATTCAAATTCAATTGGTCTTGGGACATTACCGCGAACCGCTTAGATGAAATTCAAACTTCAATCCGATCACTTGTTCTCCTTGTCTTTTTTCTTCGCGCCTGCGTCTCTTTGCATCTTAGTAAAACGTATAATTTATACATATATACTTAGAAAAGAAGAAATCAATAAACAAACGAAACAAGTTTATAAAATTAGATTTCATTTCTTTTTTTCGATGTCTTTTAGATTGAATTGTAGTCGAAATGAATCGAGCGATTGTGAAATTATTTTCATCGTCATCTCGACTCGTGCCAAGAATTTATGCATCGACAGTACCAACGGGAACGAAAGTAACTGGACATCACGGTGCAGGAGACGTTCACCATCATGATGATCATGGACACGGACATGGTCATCATCATGAACCTGAATTGAGAAAAACACACGAATGGCGTCATCATTCAGGAATGCAATCGAAATATGAAAATCAATCAGAGGATCCAAATATAAGTTTCGTACAAGGTAAAAAACGAATTGATTTCTCAATGAACCGGACGAATAAGATACTCATCTGATGTCTTTTAAGAACGACCCAATTATCACGATTATCGTCCATCATATGGTCAAACTCCTCTTACGTTACCCTATCGAAGTCATGCTCATATTTATGAAATGTGGATGTATCATGCAGCTCTCGTCTTTTCCATTTGGTTTTGGTGGTACGTTCTCTGGCGTTTCATGAAAGAACCATTTTGGTTTTTTGGTCACGCTCATTATCCCGACATGTCGAAATTTACAGACGAAGAATTGGGTATTCCAGCCGATGATCTTGATTAAGGAAACAAACCAAATATATCCTATACTGTAGTTGTTATTATTCTTCTCTTTTCTTTCAAATACTTCCTTTTGTATTTTGTTCCTTCTTGGTTTTACGACAAACGGCATGATTTTGTTTTTCTTTTCTCCTTTCTGGATATCCAATCAAACTTCTCTAGCATTGCTGTATTTTCTATCATCACTCAACAAAGAAAACAAACTGAAAAGACCAGACCTATTTTCTTGTTTGCATCTTTCTTTCATATTACTGTTTTAGTCAAGTGGATTTAGATGAAAGAGACAGTGGTTCGAGTCTCAATACCTGTGTTTTTCAATGGAAGAATAACTTATATGTTCAATTCTATTCTATGTGCGTGCGTATCCGATGATGACAACTGTACCCCGAATGAATACTTGTTGATTAATATATCGATTAGTCTTCCTGAGGATATTGCCGCACTCGATTAATTTTAGGAATGAAACTCGTTTGATTAATGTTTTTTCCTTTTCAGATTTAAGTTGAAATCTTCATGGCTCAACAAGTTGGCCGATCAGCAGCATCTGCAGCGTCTCGTTTTGCTGGAAGTAGAGTCGACTGGAGTCGCCTATTAAAATTGAGTGGCTCGAATACGTCGACTGTATCAAATCTTCAAGCTAAATGGAGTCAAGCTGCCATGAAGTAAGTAGCGATATCATTGAGAACTCGATCTAATCGATTTGAATGATTATGTATTAGAATGAATTCTTTATCGGATGCATTACCAAAGATTGACTTCAGCTATTATCGAAAAATGGTATCCGATCCAACACTTGTTGATAAACTTCAAAAAGAAGTGAGTTGAACATGTTCGTTATCCCATCGTACGAATCACGATGTCTGCCTTCCCTAGTATGAAAATGCCCAAATAGCTTTTCCAAAAGACACAGCGAATCGCTTTAAGGAATTAGAAGAATATGCAAAAGGTGAAGAAAAGCGTGCCCAAGAATTTATTCAACTAGCTGAAGGTGAAGTAGAAAAATTACGTCAAGAATTCGACCGATGGGACAATGTACCACCTGCGGATGAGGTTACTTACGAATTAGGTACGTTCGTAAAAAAGAATTTCAACAACGCTAGTCATTATTTTCGAATTTAGCTTCATTTTACATGCCAGAAGCTGTTTATCCACGTGTCTGGGACAAGGATGAACACGATAAATTGAAAGATATTCAGTTTTTACCATACGAAAAACGAGATTCATTACGTTGGTGGGTCGAACAAGGTGGAGAATTATTACCCCATAAACACGAATGGGTCATGCCAGATGAAGCACTTGATCCCATTGGTGCTCCACCACGTCCATCAAAAGCCGTGACCGAAGGCGGACATGGTCACGGACATGATGATACGAAGAAAATAGCGACTGGTGGCAAACATTAATGTGTATCCCGATGACTCGTTTTTCTTTTTCTCTATTAGTGTCAACCCGTAATAAAAACAATGTCTATAAGAGAGAACAACGTATAAGTTTAGTAGAATCGAATGTTTTTACAAAATATGTATTCGATTTTATATAAGACAGTTTAGAGAGTTGCTTTAGTTTTCTTTTCTTTGATTTCAATAAACTAAACTTATCTTCGAAAAAAAGATAAATCAACCGTCATTATTCGAGTTGTGTATCGGATATGCGACCATCGACGTTACCGGCATTGGTCAAGCACATATATCTTTGTTTTAGAGTAATTGATTTATATAGTTTATAAATAACCATAAGATCATTTTTCTCAATCATTTGTTCACATCTGTGACATGAACAAATATGTAATTGTATTTCTAATGAGAAAAAAGATTATTGTCAACTAATTTGTTTAGATTAAACAGCTGTTTCATTTATGTGCCAAGATATTATTTACATCAACCGGACACAATCGTGAACTCATTGTACAGACATAATGTATTTTTATATTGTTCTTCTCTTCTTTAGGATATTTGTAAGAAATCTGTTGAGAACACGAAGAAGAGAGAACTCGTTTGACAATGACATACGTACATGCAAAGTGAAATGTCTTTTCATTCTTATTCGCCAATCCGAATTTGATCATATCAACATTAAACATTGAGAATAATAATAAACAAGATTACAGTCACTCTATATGCATATTTATTTAAAGATGATGCTCGAGGCGGCAATGATTGAGAACACACAATCGAATATGATTTCAATGAGAATGTCTTCACCTCTTTCATTCTAAATCTTACCATATGATCTAAACAGAGCGAAACAGCGAATACACATCCGACTAAAAAAAAACGAGCACATTTTCTTAAAAGCTGATCTGTGTATATGTGTTCAATTGCAATGACAAGCATTACTCGAGGGTAGTATCAATCACATTTGAGAATCATTTGTACTGAGCATGTTTGCTCTATTGCTCATCAATAATAAATCTTTACTCTCTTCTTACGTTACCACATCTTCGTCTCGTCGACTGTATATCTTGTACACATACCGATCAAGATGAATACGTGTGCTGTCCTACGAGACAATATAGCGTGACAGAGTTTCATCTATCTTCGACGTCTTTCAACTGTACCGCATACGTATGTGTATGTCTGCTGAGAGTGAGAGAAACTTTTCTTTCACGGAAATTGTTGTCATACGTCTCATTAGCATCGAATGCCTTTTATGAGTCCATCTTAGTAATCACCTCGTAGTCAGATGGTCTCATTTAAAGCAATTAACACTTATAAAGTAATGTGTCACGAGGGTAAATTTGTCTTTTGCAAAATCGGAAGAGGAAACGGATGCAATGACATAATTTGTTTAGTGTACAAAAAAAAAACTGAAAACTATTCGTAAAAGATAATGATCAAAATTCATTTCTCGTTGTCTACATATTCAATCAGGTGAGACGAAGTCTAGTCAGCCGTTAATGTTTTCTTTGCGATTGTTATGGTAAACAACTTTTTTTGTTGTTATTGTATACACATTTGAATAGAAAGTCAGGGTAATATTGGCAACAAATGTTGACAATAGTAATGGAAAAAAATTCGACAAAAAAAAAACTTCTAGTGCCATTTGAACATATTCGTTTGGTGAGAGAGTTGAGAGTCCTTCATGATTGAAACTTGAAAAAAGAAGCAAATGTGTATGTGTACGCTTATGTCAATCAGTGAGTTGTCCATAAAATATTCCGATTGAATGAAGGAGAGGAAGAGAGAGAGAGAGAGAGAGAGAGAGAGAGAGAGAGAGAGAGAGAAGAGAAAAGGAAAGGAAACCTTTTTTTGTTTATTGTACTGTTCGCGTCATCAGAAAGAACGACGAAAGAAATCAATTATAGTGCATAATGCACAATGAGAAAGTTTAAACGAATATTGAATCTACCGTGATTGATTTCTCGTCCTATTTTCTAGAGATCATCGACGACATTTACACGCAGACAAGATGAAAAAGTTTTATCCATCGAGTAACATCATCACGAGTTAATTGCAATCATTGTTTTACCTATAGATCATAGTTGATGATTTCTATTTAAATAAGTCATGTGGTATATTCGATCATGTTATCATCAATTTCTCTTCTACTTTTATTAATATTCATTTTCATCAATACAATTCACACAAGTCAATTTGGATGCGAATACAATTCGACAACTTATCCGGTAAGTCACTCTGCAATGAGATTAATCATCTCGAGACGTGTTCGTTTTACTTATTTGAGATTAATACTGAATGGACATTAGCTGATTCTTGTCAAACATGTAAATGTTTATCGAATCAAATTATTATTTGCCGAAATCGAACATGTCAATTGACGAGAGATTGTCGAATGGTAACGAAAGACAAAAAATCGATTTGAATTGGAATCGAGTATTTCTCCTAGGGTGAACAACTGACGCTGAAAACAGGTTCCTGTTGTCCAACATGTGCATCTGTTCGACGATCTTGTCTCTACGATGGTACAGCAATTCTCGTATGTAAATACAAGTGATTTTCCATCAACAGAATGTCTTGTTTTATCTAGCATAATACGATATTCTATCCGAAACCATGCCTACAATGTCGTTGCCGAGATGGTCAATTGTTTTGTGATAATATTTGTCGTCCATCAATTTCATCAAGTAATTATCGATTTTTATTTGTTTAAGACGATTGTTTTCTTTTCGTACTTTAAACAAATACGTTTTGTTCATTTTAGTAGACAAATGTTTGTTTGATAATGAATTTCATGAGTTGAATTCTGTCTGGTTGCCGTTACCATGTATCGTATGTCAGTGTCGACAACTCGCATTGAAATCGAATGTGTCGTCGATTTGCTATATTAAACAATGCCCGATAATAAAAACTTGTCGTGAGGTATGACGATGATTTCATTGGAATAGTCGCTTCTGTAGATATATAGTCTATTCTAGTCGCTTCAATTCATTCCCGGTCGTTGTTGTCCAATATGTCGAACAAGTATTTGTCATGATCAATCAGGTCTTATTTATCAAGTGAGATGACAATGAATTCTATCGAGAGAAACAGTGTCTATTCACTTCAGGATGGGGATGTTTGGAGTCGGAAGAATAACTGTACACATTGCCGTTGTCAACATGGTTTAAGTATTTGTACGGAAGAAAAATGTCCAGTACTACAATGCAAATCTGTATGTTCAACGAGATAGTTTATCAAAGAGATGATTCTTGAGGATACGTTTAGGATGAGAAACTGATTCGTTTACCCAATAGTTGCTGCTCGGTATGTAGTAATCGACATATTTGTCGATTCTATGGAAATAAAGGATATCAAATCTATTATGAACATGACATTTGGTACACATCAGCTTGCCAATATTGTACATGTCGACGGTACAATCGAATTCTCTGTAAAAGCATCCAATGTGACCATCAATTTTGCCTGGAAAATGAAATTCAAGAATCACGATCGGATAGTTGCTGTGTCACATGTCGACAACCGAAACAATGCTACTTGAACGGTCATATTCTTAAGGTAGAAAATTAATCATTGCAAATCGATGGCGAATAGTTGAATGCCTGCTTGTAGGAAGGATCATATCTTGCATTGAATAACTGCACATTATGTACGTGTACATCGAAACGTCAACCGGAATGTTATTCAAATTGCCGTCAAAATGGCTATGAAATAATGAAATTTATCGCATCAGGACAACAACGTAATCATACTATTACCATCACCGATAGTCTAGCAACCATTATCTCTTGTATGATGTCTATCTATGATGTTCAAATTTCGAATCTCTATCACTGTTTTTCGATAATTGTAGACTCAAAATTTGGATCGATGTTATCTGCGATTGATTCTCGTTCTCTTCTATTCCAATTCCTACCTTCGACAAGTGCAACACCAATTTCCAATGCGGCTATTCTATTAGGTCTCATTCACAATCTCACTGGTCAAATCTCCTATCGTTTAATCCTTATCGATTTCGATGCAACAACAGATCGTACTACGACAAATCGTCGTGTTTCTGACGAACTACGCCTCTGGATGCCTCAGTCCATATCGACCCCACGAATGATTCAATCATCGATAGCTTTAGTTGAAGAAGAGAAATATTCAGAGCAGATTGTTTTAATAATTTTGATCATTATTCTCTCGTTTATATGTTTTATCTTAGTTTTAATCATTATTTTCTTATGTTACCGACGAAAACAGAAATCAGTCGATTCAACTATTGATATAGACCGACCGCGATCATCATTATCTACTGTCGAAAAATTTCATGCGCCCGAACTAACAACGAAAGTAACATTATTACCACATTTTCATGCTGTGAAGTCGGATCTTGGTACTGATGTTTAGATTTTATTGTGGTGTTTTCTTATTGATATAAAAAAGATTTCGGAATCAGAAGAGCATAGGAAAGAAAGAAAGAAAAAAAAACAGAGTTTATTGTCGGTCGACGAGTGTTTCGATAGCTGGAACTTGTTCTGGTAAAGCTTTTCGTTGTCGGATTTCGCTGACGACTTGACCACATTTTGTATTCAATTCGAATGGTTCGCCAGGTAACAAAGCCCAGTGGTCAAATTGGCATTGAGGAAATGCTGTGCCACTTGTTGCATGACGTAATTCTTCTGTATAACCAAAAGACTCGTTGACTGGTAAGAAAGCTTTGATACGAGTTAAAGTAGTGCCATGCAGTTCATTTTCTTCGTTGATTTGACCACGACGTTTGTTCAATGTCGAGTAGACCTTACCGATCATGCGTGTTGGACATTCGATGTCAACTAAGAAGATAGGTTCGAGCAGACGAGGTTGTGCCATGTGCATACTAGCCAAGAGACATCGACGAATAGCTGGAATTAATTGATCAGGTCGACGGTGAGCTAAACAAAAAGACATTGCATTGTTATTTTTGAACGCGAGTTTTAAGTCTGATTTAACATACCTGAGTCACGGTGNACCTTGCTACAACAAATTTCTCTTCTGAATCTGCATATACAAATCGTAGAATTAATCCAATGTAGAAAAGTATAAATGCTAGTAGTGTCATAAGTTTAAATAAGTCGCGAAAATAATTCTTTGATTTGCCGATCAAGGTAAGATTATCTTGAACCAGAAACTAAAATTTATCCACACAGCCAGCAATCGCGAAATATAGTTCCACATAAGAATTCTTACAAATCGTATTTCTTCAATTAGCATTCCACTAACAAGGAGAATAGTCGTGACTTCAGTCCAATGAATCGATAGTGTGCGGTTAGTTGGTGGCGAAAAGTCAAATAGAAGAACATACGAGAAGAGTAAAAGAAAGAAGCAATAAAATACCTGAAAAACAAAATTTTTATACTATTGTACGTATTCATGTATCAAGTACACGTACAAAATCGTAACAGAACTTTACCATTGGTGATAAATGAAAATTTTTCCACCGATGTAGATACCGATTCAATCCAGAATTGGAATCCGATATCCGTGGATATTGAAGTGGATACGAATCACAGTAAGTAATTCCATTCGAGCTTACGCTAAACAAGAAACAAAACTTATTGTGTCTATTGTTCGACTTGCACGCATACATCTTTGTTAAAGATTCGCCATGTCGACACTATGAAAGCATATTTCAGAAAACTAATTTTCAACCAAGTAGAGTAATCTTACTTCTACAACTTCTCTATAACATACAGTTACAGGTGCAGTCAATCCGAAAGTCACAAATCCCAACAGCAATGCTAGTATATCACGCTTTCTCGACTGTTCAGGAAATAACTTATCGTACCAAATATTATTCAAAGCTTCAACACAACATGGCAAAGCAATGAAAGACTTGTCGTCTGCTTCAGCAGCCACCTAAAAATATATCCCACAAGAAATTTTAACTTGAAAAACAACATCTAGATCTACTTTACTTGTAAACAAGTGACAAAGCCATATAGCTTGTTTTGTTGTAAGATTATTAAACATGCGCGATCTGCATTATTTTCAACGCATTCGCGTAGGCAATCAATTGCATATTGTTCGAAGTATGTTGCACTTGTCTTGTAGTCAGTTTTCAGATCTTCGTGAATAGCTTTTGTATGATATTCTTTGAAGATTTTCGTGGCAATCAATGCTGGACAAATGCGATATTTCGTATGCGATAGAAGAACTTTGGCCATTCCGACATAATTCATTAGAATCGCCCATAAAAACAGATCACGCATGATATAATCTTGAGCAAGTTCTTTGGCTGTCTCATTGTTTGGTAGTGAGATATCAGTCGATCCTTTCGTATTTCGTTTTGTCAATTCAAATTCCATACGCTTCTCGTATTCGCTTTTATACGTATCGAAATACAGATTATGCATATAGTCACCGATAAGAACACGAAAAATAACATTAAGCGCGTCGATTGAATCAATCTTTCTGTTGGCTAATTTTTCATTCGCATCAATAAATGTTTGTATCGGTGATGAAGTTGTGTTCTATGAACATATATAACAGATTTCGCCATCTGTGCCAGTATGTATTTACTTACAATCTGTTCAGTTAAATAAAGATCTTTTAGAAACTTATCGTATCGTTCATTTGATCCTAGAAATGTATTTCGTGGAAAGAAAATTTCACCTGGATCAACGCCTAATTTGAGAAATTCATCGATGAAAGCGGGTAGATTTCTTTGCAGAGCTTCGATAAATATCTTTTCTGGATTCTAAATATAAAATTAGATGCATGTAGACACCAATTATGTCGAAAACTAGTACCAATATGTTGTCTAAGCAATTTTGTAGAACAAACTCTTTCGCTACGTCAATACAATTCCAATCCATCGCCAATTGCAGTAGTTTGGACTTTCCATCGTTTTGTTTTTCGTAGGCAGGAATATTTCGTTCTTCGCTGATCATTTTGCGTCGCTTTTCTTTCATACTCAAGGATGTTTCATAAGCTAGAAACGTAATAGTGAACACACCGCTCCTATTTGACTTTTTGCATCAACTTACACCTGCAAATACTTCCAAACAATGTATCGGAAAAACTGCTTTCTAAGTTCAAATTGAATATCGTAATATTTCGGCGAATAGACGGTTGAAGACAAAATAGAACTTGTCGTACTGTTCTTTCTAACAACTCATCTTGCTTTGCATCAGTTGAAACATCTGCATTTCGTAATCTCAAGTCATCGAGATCAACCTGTGCAAAAAATGTACACCGTAAGTCATTTTTCAATCGTGTCTTGTAGTCCTTAAACAGATCTTCAAGTCTTGAAAAGAAATTTGTTCATCAATTAACAAAAAAAACAACACTTTTTGTTTTTACTTTGTTACTGAGTAATCGAGATGCAACGAAGTATAAAGAATGGTTCTGCGATCATCAATCATCGTATAATGTGATTGTAAACGTAAAGATTTCTTTTTATTATCATGCAATTCATTAATACTAAATAAGATGTCACTTTCACTCGACGGATAATCGAATTGTTTTGTATATAGCAGCCAACGAGTGAAGAAATCACATGCTCTTCCGCTACCCTGCACGTTATTCAGATTCGAATTTTCAAAAATTTAATCCACTTATCTTACGGCAGTGATGACAACAGGAACGTTTTTGCTTAAATCGTAGAAAATATTTGCGATAGTGTCAAGATCTCCTCCGACTGCAACCGTAACGACTGGTGCTAAATAAAAATCATGTGGAAACATAAAACTTCTTTAGACAATGCGTACTGTATGGCTCATCGTATTTTTCTAGATTCGCCATGTTCAGACATAATCGTGTTCGGAAATCTTCCGTATCGGGGTACCCATATCTTCCATCGTCTAGCATTAGATAGTGGCTGTGATTCACTTCAAGTTCGTATTGATCAATTTTTGAAAATCTCTGCTCTTCATCTTCCTGTTCATATACAGATCTATTTCCGTTATTCGACTAGATCAATATTCGAGTGTCGATGGAAGAATCTCAGATGACACGGCGCTCTACCTGTTTTATTGTTTCCGTTCCATCAGAGTCTATTAAATTTTGCACATTTTTAACTGATCCCCATTTACATATACCAATAGCAATTATTTCATTGTTTGCGTGTTGTAATTTAAGCTTTTTGATCGCTTGTCCCACGAGTCGTACGATACGATTATTGTATCCATTTGTTATTATCCATACATCTATTTAGAGAAACTTATAGGTCTATTTGATTGGTTGCTGAAGTAGAAATCAGACTTGATTTGCTCGCGACATTAGCAATGCCTCGCATTAAATTTGATTCTACTCGGTCAGTGAAATTCGAATAGGTTGTGCTGCCAATAATCGACATAATTAGTTTAGATTTCGGGATTTGCCACACACAAAGTAATAATGATTTGATTTTACTCATTCTTGTATCAGGAGCGATACGGACAAACTAAATTTTTAGGCTAACATAATAAAACTTCAATAAATGTTATCTTACGAAAGCAGTCTTGTTTATCAGTGAATTTTGATGTTCGAACAAAACAGGTTTAGTATGAGTTTGCATATTCCAGTTTTCGTCATCTTCTCCTTTTCGGTGATCATGTCGCTCCGGTCGATTGCATACACAAACCTTCTTGTTTTGACTGGAAAAAAAGAAAGATTCATGAATCGAATTTATCTACATTGTACTTATGAAAGCGTGCAAACCTGCTTGGAACAAATTTTATGCAAACTCTGTAGTACAGTTTAAGTCTGGCGACATGCTCTGCTAATGAAGACTCTTGATTAGTCTAGAATAAGTCAAATATCTTATTTGTCTTCTTTGTGTGGCATCCTTTTTCACCTGATACGAGATCGAGTGAATACTGGAAGACATGAGTTGTATGATTGCTCTATCTAGAAGAGAAAAACATTCAATAGATAAGTTTTTTTTAGATCAATCGGCAAATGTTAGTGATAATTAAAGTCAACAAAAAAGCATATGGAATTTAAAATTTGGCATTAAGAGTCTCCAGAGATCTTGGTTTACTAAAACAATAGAACATGTATACGTCGGGTGTGATTATCTACGGATTATAGATAATTACTTTTTTCGGAAGTCCATTATTTTTTAGCTGTGTCATAACACCGTTGATCGCAAAATCCAAGTTCAATAAATCATCTTGCACTTGTGAGTTTACGTTTTCTTCGTTAGAAGTTTCAATCCCATGAAATTGTCTAAAGTCAATAAAAATCTACCATTGGTGAAATAGCTGCGCTCTTTCGTACTCAATTGAATCAGATTTCTTCACTTCAGCATGGGCATATTCGAATGTGGACAGCTCTTCAAACAGCTGCCATTCTCTTACGAGACTTTCATCTTTAGCAATCATTTCTAAAATTATTTCATTGAGATACACTGTCAAGGTATTGGTTGAATAAGTTTACTGAATATTTTCTTGTGATTCTGTCCGGAGTTTTTGCTAGAGCAATTTCGGCGCAAAAAATATGAGAACATGCGACAGAAATCCCAAATATTGTAGGCAAAACTGATCGGGGCCACAAATGGTGATCGTGTAAAGTAATCACGAACAAGGAAATATTGTTGATAGTGCCAAATCTTCTTCGTCTCATCATACACTTCCTCGTATCGTTTGCTACAACATCCACCATATCACTCATCACTGTCAAACGACACACTCCTACCTGAAGATGGCAATGAGAAGATTCGTCAGAAGAATATTCACAAAGATCAGATGAACAGCAAGTAGCACATGAGTAGAGATCGACCATCCAGCATCTGCATGTCCTGTTCAATCACAAGTATTCAGCCTATCAATCGATCGCGGTCTTGTGATCAATACATACCNATTTGATTGTTATACCTTTTTCTTGTTCCGCTTCCAGCGAATCAGTAAATCGACGTTGACCAGCTTGTTGTTCGGTAATAATACCGGCTTTGTACACCAACGCATCGGTCAATGTTGATTTACCATGATCGACATGTGCGATGACGCACATATTACGAATATTATGCGCCTTGGACATAGCCTCGGCTACAGCTTCAGAACGTTGTCTTGCCATAATAAACGGTAATTGAGTACGCTTTGATAAGCAATGGAAAGAGTTGGTTGATAGATAGAATGAACTACTACCTTCGTATCAGCATAGACTGTGACAGAATAAGGATTGGAGAGAGTCTGATGTGCCTTTTATACGTGTATTATAACGCGCAGATGTAATTGCGAAAGTTTCTTTTTGATAGCCATAAGAATGAAATTGCGAAATAACAGTGAATATGTACTTTCGCAATAACGTATCGAGAACTCGATGACTTGTTATTCTGTCAATATTATTAAAGTAGTCATTTTATTGATGTGAGTCAAAATGAAAAAGTATCATATCTGTTGTGCAATGATTTTGTTTTTAGTAATAAAAAAAAGAACGTTCGCAATTCACGCTTTTTGAGCTTCCGTAACTAATTCACATATTTCCTTGGTTGAAGAATGTAATCTTATCAAGCAATCTTGGATTTCTTTGACACTGTTCTCAGTTACATTTGCATTAGCTTCTGTATTAGCTACATCTTTTCCTTTATCAATCTTCGTTGAATTTGTCGTAGAAGATAATCTAAATAGCACATTTTGCTTTCCGAGAATCTGAACTTGTTCGTCAATTTACCCTGTTGTAGTCGATTTGGATGATTTCACTACATCATGTGCATATTTATACGTAGATGCACCTTCGAATTGACACCATTTTTTGACATGCGATTCGTTTCTAGGAATTATTTCTAAAAAGAAATCACTCGTTCTTCATCAATCCATAGGTTTAATTCAACTTACTGAAAATTTTCTTCGTAAATCTTGCACTTTTGCCTTGAATTTGTTCTTTTATAACAAAGAGATACGCCATTCGAAGTAGTGAAGCTAAATTCATCACCAGACTTATGGGAGGTACAAATGGTGATCGTGTAAAGTAATCACGAACAAGGAAATATTGTTGATAGTGCCAAATCTTCTTCGTCTCATCATACACTTCATCATATCGTTTGCTACAACATCCACCATATCACTCATCACTGTCAAACGACACACTCCTACCTGAAGATGGCAATGAGAAGATTCGTCAGAAGAATATTCACAAAGATCAGATGAACAGCAAGTAGCACATGAGTAGAGATCGACCATCCAGCATCTGCATGTCCTGTTCAATCACAAGTATTCAACCTATCAATTGATTGCGGTCTTGTGATCAATACATACCATCGAGACTCATGAGTTCGTTGTCGAATTCACCATAGAGAAAGTAGTAGACAGGATAGATGACGTTGCGAAAGATGCTTCGACCATCGAATCGAGTATCGATAGGACCACCTGTGTCGGTGGTGAAACCGTTGACTTTGGGGTAGTAAACCATGGAACGGGAAGCGACACCATAGGCAATCATGACAATGGCAATGATGCAGAGAAAGAATAAGAGATCTTTGAGCTAGAAAAGAAGAAAGATGTTGACGAGGAGTGTAGGTGTGTAGAGTACCATTTTCCAAATAGCGACAAGTTGTGGTCCAAGGAATGGTACTACGATGATGAACGATAAGGACCGAAGCCACCAGAGTTCCAGATCAATAGCCATGATTACTCTGCAGAGTACAATGTATATAACTATATTCATATATAGGAAACAAACCGTGCGGAAACGAAATCTTGCTCCGAATCAGTACTTGTAAACCGTAGGATTAATCCAATATAAAAGAGTAGAAATGAAAGGAGTGTCATTAGTTTTAGAAAACTTCCAAAATAGTTCGTTAATTTTCCTTGCCAACTGAGACTATCTTGGCTGAAAAACTAAAATAAAGTTCAATAATGAATTACTAGCGAAGTAGAAACGAAAACCAAGCACTCACATAGTGGATTTCTTCTACTACCATGAAAGTAACTAGAATAATTGTGGCAATTTCAGTCCAATGAATGGATGGCGAACTACCAGTTGGTGGTGAAAATTTAAATAGAAGGAAGTATGAAAAGAATAGGAGAAACACAATGTAAGACACCTATAAAAAATTTAGCAAATAGCAAAGCCTATGTTAGTAGAGCCCGTGTACAAACCAGATGGTAGGCGTATTTAATCGGGAGTGATTGATGAAATTTAATTAGTTTAGGTAAGTACCGTTCGTATGCTGGTTTAGGTACAGATTCGCGAGGATATTCCAGTAGAAGCGAATCGTGATAGTTCAGTCCATTCGATTTCAGTCGATACTGATACCTTCAATGAATATCTCTAGTATCGCTTCGTTTCACAATTGAAGAAATTACCTGCTATCCGTAGGCTCAGGTGTTTTGGGTTTCTAAAGTGCAATTCCTATATTTCTTCTTATCTCCTTCTATTTTTTGTCTAACCTGTTCACCTTCTCGATATCTAACGCATAGAGGAGCTGCCAAACCACATGTTAGAAATCCTAACGCCAAGCCCAGTACATCACGTTTTCTTCCTTGCTCAGGGTACAGTTTATCGTACCAGATATTATTCAGAGCTTGAACACAACAAGGTGTAGAGAGAAAGTTTTTATCATCAGCGACTGCTGCAATCTACAAACATATTTCAGCACAACTGATTATCCGGAAAATAACATTCAGATATACTTTACTTGTAAACAAGTAGCGTAGCCATATAGCTCGTTTTGTTGTAAAATGATCGCACATGCTTTCTCACGATCATGGTCGTCACATTTGTCTATACAATCAATGGCATATTGTTCGAAGTATGTTGCACTTGTCTTGTAGTCAATTTTCAGATCTTCATGAATAGCTTTTGTATGATATTCTTTGAAGATTTTCGTGGCAATCAATGCTGGACAAATGCGATATTTCATATGCGATAGAAAAACTTTGGCCATTTCGACATAATTCATCAGAATCGCCCATAGAAACAGATCGCGCATGATATAATCTCGAGCTTTTTGGTCGGAATACATAGACTTTTTGTCTTCGATTGTATCTGAATCTTCATCAATAACTGAGAGACTGTATGCTTTACGGTACGCATGTTCGTCTTCAAATGAATCAAAATATAGTTTGTGCATTTTATCACCAATCAGCTGCAGAAGAATTATATTTAACTTTTCCACAGATTCGATCTTCTTTTCTTTCACTGAGCTATCTTCATCAATGAAATGCTTTAATTGTCGACGTTTATCGTTCTAAACATACAAGCATAGCAATATTTCCTTTCGAATCAACAGCTCTCATACCACTTCCTTGGATGTATACAAATTGAGAAGGAATCTTTTATACCGATACTTTTGTAACAGTCCTTTTTGTCCAAAGAATGTTTCACTTGGATCAATTCCTAAGTTGAGAAATTCATCAACAAAGGAAGGTAATTTGTTTTTTAGAGCATCGATGAAAGCTTGATGTTTATCCTAAAGAAATGTATGATTGTTTAGCAAATAATATTAAAATAGAAATCTTACTAAGATATGATTCAATGAACCTCGAAAAATCCATTCTTTTGCTGCTTCAATACAATTCCAAGCCATTGCGATGCGAAGTAATTTGGATCTCTCTGCATTCTGCTCTTTTCGATCAATGAAGTATTGAGATTCAACTTCAATGTTTTCTTCTGGAGGTCCTGATCGATCGATTTGTTTCGTTTTCGATAATGTTTGCCGTGCTAAAAGTTTGTCTCTCGTCACAGAATCGAAAAGGTATTTTAACTTACATAAGCAAAGACTTCGAAAAATCGTTTCCAATAAATTCATATCCGAACTTAAGTTGCACACGGTAAGGTTCGATCGAACAGCTGGTTGTAAACAATATATCGCTTGCTTAACCAGAGTTTCGCATTCTGGTTTATCTTCATCAGACAAGTCTTGACTTTGACTTCCTTGATAGCTTTCGGTTCGATTGAAAAAAAGGATATTTTTCAAATCTTTCTCCAAGAGCTCTCGATAACTTTCGAAAAGTCTAAAAATAATATTAAAATGCAAACGAAATCGTATCTCATATTTACCGTTCGACAGGGTTCGAATCGTTAGTTCCCGATTGCGTATCACTATACAACAAAAATGTGTAATTCCCACGACTGGAGAGAAAACAACATTACGCTGTATTAGTGTCCAAATTGATATTATCAATGTCATAAACTTTTAGTCGATTTTTAACATCATTGTCAAGGTCTTTCGTGCGTAGCAACCATCGATGCAAAAAATCTGCCACTCCACCACTGCCCTACATATGCGTATCGGAAGATTTACATAAAATATCATGCTATCTCCTGTAATCTTACGTTAACAATTACAACAGGAACATTGGATTTTAAGTCATAATACACATTTCTTAGAGTATCCTTTCCTCCTTCAACAACTAGTGTAACAACTGGAACTAGATATCGAACAAACAGAAGAAACTTTATGCAGTAGTAAGATGCATATAAATCAAAACAAATACGTACCGAAAACATCGTTTTTATGTTGTAACCTTCCAAGATGTACTACTAAGCGTGTTCGATAATCTCCTATATCATATTTACGAATAGTCCCATCATCTAGCATAACATAATGAGTGTGATTCATTTCTAAATCACGTTCGCCACTGAATCGTTGCCTTTTTTCCTTTTCAATCGAGAGTGTTGATTTGTCCGCAAATTTCTGTCGTAATCAAAATACGTATTTCGATTTAGTTATTCAATTCAATTCAATTCAACCTCATCTAAATCTTCTGTTCTAGAACGTAAAGCTTGTTTTTTATTGCTGACACAACCCCATTTACATAAACCAATAACAGTGAGTTGTTTTGTCTTTAAATGTGTCAATCTAACTTGACTAATCGCTTCACCAACTAGTTGAGCAACACCAACTTGATATCCCGTCGTAATTAACCATGCGTCTAAATTTAGCTCTTTGAAAATAGCATCGAGTTTTGATGAAGCATACTGGATTTCAAAGCGATATTATTAATGCCGTTGATGAAATTCATTACAAGCCGATCACTTAGCTTGAAATATTTAGCACCGCCGACAATTGATATGATGAAATCAGGCTGAGGAATTTTCCACGCCTCGAGAAGGATCCTCTCAAGCGTTTCCACGGGTGTATCCAAAGCAAGTTGAACATACTAAATTCAAAATATACTATGCTGATGAACACGAACCTCTCGCTTCATGTACATACAACTCCATTGTTCACAACTGGCCCATGTTTGGCATTTGGCATTAGTACTGTATTGTTTGTCATACTCCATTTTGTTGTATGCGAAGAATTGGATTTGTGTTGATGATGTGCTTGTAGATGATTACATTCACAAATATTCTGATCGAATCCACTACAAGAATGAAATTTCACCGCTAACACATGTAAGTGTCGAAACGAATATTACTTTTGTTCTTTGGGAGTATATTTACAGCATACTCGATAACAAATGTTCAATTGATCAATGATCTGGTCTCGACTCAACTCTTGATTTGCCTAAATTCAGTCACATCACGGCAAGTAAAGTTTTCTTCTCAACTATACCTTGTAATGTTCTTCACGACTGCTAGCATGCATTTTCGAAAGTAATAAGTTGTACAACACTGTGTAGGTGCACCGACAACCTCATTAAAAAAATTATATAAACAGCACACAAGAAAAGGTTTCATGACTACGTGAGTATGACGACCTGGAAATTTACTTGGAAAGGGAACTGTGAAGCCAAAAAAATAGTAAGTTTGCAACATTTGCCAGTTTTCTTTCTTAAATTAATCATACTATGTAAATGAAATCACGATTGATGCAAACTATTACGATAGACGATATGATGTGAGTAATATTTCACATTTCATACTTCATTATCGTACCATCATAGGATGATAAAAGATTATGTTTTCAGAAGGGACTATTGAGTGTATTGGTCATGTCTGGTAGTGTGAAAAAGAAGAAAGAGAGGAGTTCTAAATTTCTTCCCTTAAACACTTCAGCGCTCTCTTTAAGGTCGTTTGCGGCAAAGAGTACATTCTATTTTGTAGTGTTGCACGTTGCACGAACCAGTTCCGTAGACATTCACTCTCAACAAAACTTTTTAAACGTACTCCAAAACCTCTGAAGCGCTCTTGGTAAGAATTTTACATCTATCATCAATTAAAATAATAAAATTTACGCTACGTACTTGGTCAAGATCGACTTATTATTGCTGATTCAGCGTCTCCTAAAAAAGTTCTCTACAAAATTATCCGTTAAAACAAAGACTATGGTTATATTCTTGGTTGGACAAGAAACCGAACTAATATAGCGGTCATAGCTACTCTCGATAATACAATAGTGTGGTATCCATATCCAATGAAAGATGATCCGCAATTTTACTCAGAACAAGAGCGCAATGAAAACTAATGACGGAATGAATTGCAACAATCTTTATTAATTTCACGTGAACTATTTGATGATGTATTGAATGTGACTTTTTTCATTTACAAAGAACATATACAATTTGCTTATAGTACCGATGAGATTGTAGCGAATACGAGTCATTTTCATCGTAGCACATCACGTGATGATAAGTCTGTCTGTTCTTTACGAATTGCCGAAGATGTTAATTCGAAAATTGATCCTGACTTTCTCATTACCATTTGTATTTCGATAGATTACATAGAATGACTATATTATTTTTCACTCCCTTATTCGACATATGTCTAATCTCGTTTATTAGAATACAGAGCAAACGAATACATTTAATAATATTTATCTGATTAATAAAATTTGTAAAACTAGCGATTTACTTTCGAATATTAAAGTGCTCAAAACGATGAATTTCTAGCATGATCTTTCTTGAAACTCACCAATCATATGCTGAAACTAGTCGAAAAATGTCAAAAGTGTGGCATAACACTCCGATGGCTGGCTCCTGGCTGTTCCGAGCAGAACCGGATAAATCAGATCTCCGACTTCGTATCCTGGAATAATACTTCCATGAAATCTCTGGAATGTTGTCGACATTAAATGGGAGCATATTGACGATCGTAGAACTTAACGGTATGTTGTTTATGTAGACGAACGAAGAATTCAATATGAATGTTTATCTACTTACATAGATATAAAGATATGAAAAACATATTCTCTGCAAGTCGTAGAAGCACTGGTAAGTATATTTTGACCTTTTGTGTAGCGGCTAGATTATTTCTAAGTGTTGGTTTTTGTCGATGGAATACAAATATGTCAATCAGATTTTAATGAGCTATCTGTACCAATAACTAAACCTGAAGACCCAAAAGTAAGTATGAATTTTCGATTGAAAATGAATCCGAAGCATTTGATTTATCAAGTTTGTAAACTAATTCTAAAAACCTCTACATGTGAATATTATCTTCGATGATTTCTAAAGTATTCGCAATGAAGAACGAAAAAGAACTCCAAGGATTACTGAATATTCAAAAAAAGCAAAAGAACTTTATCTAAAGCTTCAAGATCAAATGAATAGCATTCAACGTTCATGCCCTTATATACTACACAAGTTTTTTTCATGAAACAGATCATCATCCTGCATAATCAACGATATTGAGCAAGCAAAATAACAGTTAAAACTACTAAATATGCATTGATGAAAACATAAATATGTACTTGACTTCGATTGTCGTGATAAACAAGATTAAAAGGACAACGAATGTTAATCCTATAAAAGGATTTTACTCTGTTCAAATAGATATTTTTCATTCATAATCGGGTAATAACTCTCTGTATTTTGATTTAAAATAAGATACTCTTGTTTTGCTGGAATCCGTTTCGAAATGATGAAAAAGAAACTTTGATTTAAGGAAAAAGATCCATACTTTTGTCATGAAAACAATGAATCATTTCGTTTTTCTCGTTAATCTTTGAAAAGGCTGAGATTAACATTTGAATCATTTCAATTCTTTTGCTAAAATATATAACACATCACAGAAACTTATTATTCGTAACATAATAAAACAAAAGATTAGCAATGTATTTCGAACAGCCTTATAGTGCATCCCAATCACTCCCACCGCCGCCTCCAGCTCCATTTAGGCCGGCATCTGGACTCAGAGTACGACAAAGATCCTTTCGTTGCCTACTATTTTGCGCTGCTGGAATCTGTGCTTTAATTATACTGGCTGTATTGATTACATTGCTCGTACTTTATTTTATTCGTTATCGACATACAGTTTCAACACTCTTATCCTATCCAGATTTTGTTTGTGGACCACGACCATGTGGCTGTCCAAATTTCCATAAACAAAAATCATCGATTGGCAAAATAGTCGGTGGAAAAGATACTCTTCCATTTACGTATCCATGGTTAGTTGCACTAGCTGAGCGATCTTCAACAGATCCATTCTGTACGGGATTTATCATATCTTCCAATGCAATTTTAACTGCAGCACACTGTCTCAATGGACGTACCCCTAATCAAATTCAACTCTTAGCTAAAGCTCATGACCTTCGTCAATTTCGTGGTGAACGATACAATGTTGCTCGATGGTTCAATCATCCCGAATATCAACACAATAGCAGTATGTTCGTCAACGATATAGCCATACTTAAAATCACAACTACATTTGCTCCGGATTTGCAACCTTGTTGTCTGCCAACGATGCAATCATCGATCTATCCTCGTGCACAAACCACAGCTGTTGTTAGTGGATGGGGCAAACTGACATCCAGGCCAAGTACTCGGAATTCGCCAGTCCTGCAACATGTCGTCATGCCTATTGTTGATGAGCGAAACGGGAAATGTCAAGAATCGATTATCGATTCCACTCGGCAAATGTGTGCAGGCTACAATCATCTACCAATCGATACATGCTCAGGTGATAGTGGTAGTCCTTTACTAGTTGTAGAATATAATAATCAAAACCAAGGCCATTTTGTTGCAACGGGCATCGTTAGTTACGGTAATAGTCAATGTGACGCATCTATNAACGGTTTTTATTGGTCCAGATACTTGCATAGCTAAGCCGAAATCTGTTAGCTTGATTGTGATACGTGCGTCTCTTCTTTGCATTACTAATAAATTCTCCGGTTTTAAATCTCGATGAACGATCTTTTTCGCATGTAAATACAATAGTGCTTCACCAACATCTTTAATCATCAACGAAGCCGTTGGCTCATCAAAACGACGATGTTTGGTAATATAATCAAACAGATCTCCACCTTTAATCAGTTCCATCACGAGGTATATTTCATCCGGTGTTTCATAATCTTCGAATAATCGAATGATATTCGGATGATTACACATGTACATAATATTGATTTCATGATCCAACATATATTCTTTTCCCTACAATTGCAAAAGACAAATAATTACCAATTGGACATTTGCTCGAGCAAATTTCATTTACTTTCATTTTGGATTTATCGACAATTTTAATCGCGTACTCACGATCACTACCGCGTAATTTCGATCTGTGAACAACAGCAAAGTTCCCGTCGCCCATCTTTTTTCCAAGTTCATATCGATCTGTGACAACAGTGGATGACGTATGCTAGACGAGAAAGAAAAGAGGATTAGTTTCTGAAGGATGCTCAGGATATTCATCTTACTAAGACAGATGAACGTTTCTTTAGTACAGTTTTTTTCGGAATAGTCTCTGCTGACGCTCCGGCAGCGTTTACGTCTGTAGTAATTGGATTATTCTCATCATGATGATTGACACGAGTTGATGACGTTATAGAAGTGGGTTTATTGTTGGACACTTTGGTTATAGCACCATTGTTTGAAGGAAAATTCGGAGAAAATGCACTGGTACCTGCTATCGGTGTCTTCGATTTATGACCACGAACATCATCATTGTTCATGTCGACTGCTAATGGTTCGAATTTCTGTGTTGCTGGCTGATCTTTTCGAGTTACCAGTTTCTTTCGACGTTCATCATCGTCTTCTTTTAAACGTTGACGTTCACGCTCACGTTGTTGATCAATTATCTTAGTGTCTGCTGGTTTAAGTGTCGTTCCTTTTTAGAAAAAAGAAGATAATGTGACATTTCTTTCCTGATGAAAAGGTTCAAAGAAAGTGAATTAATAATTCTTCGACTGTAGACATAAAAACGTCATAATTAACGACTATATTCGATGTGTTTTCTTACTTTTCTGTCTGCGTCCAATAAGATCATTAGGGGTTGGTGCGTCTTCGGAAACAAGTTCATGTTGTTTGCTCGTTGCATTTACAGGCCGTGATGGTGTTTTACGTGATGTTGTCAGCTCGCTATCTCTACCTGATAGTCCATCTTCATCGTCGAGGAAACCACTGTCACGTATACTAATCACTTTTTTACTCTCGTTTGTCGTGACACCTATTTGTGTGTTCGGTGTTTCACGATCGCGAAGTGGTTGCAAATTTTGTTTAAAATGATTTCTACTAACACCAGCATTACGTGATGTTGAACGTTGAGGATCATTCATTATTTCTACGCTAATTTCTTGCAAATCCGTCAATGAAAGATCAGCGGAATTGGTTGATGCAACGAAAACATCATCTAAAGATTAAGTCTTGAATAAAAGAAAAGAGCAATGCAAGCTGATAATACGATTACCTTCACGAAAAATATCATTAATACCATTCACTTGTTTACCTTTGAGAGTGAATAATCGTCTGATCTAGAGAAGTAAAGTATTTTTCTTCAAAAAGAATCCATTCAATAGACAAGGGATGCCAGCAAAAAAAGAAAATTACCTACGCATGAGAGATAGAGATGAAAGAGAAGTTCTCATCCTGTTTATTGTAGCTAGAAGTTTTGCTTTCTAATAATGCATTACTGACAGGAAAAGGGTGATGCGGAAAAACTCTCCTCGAGAAAAAGAAATGAGATTTTCTCCTTACCTGATCTTCAATAAAATAAGACGTATTTTGATGTTTTTTTTTCTGTCTGTCTGACGACTATCCATCTATCTTATTCGATATATGTTGCTTACTTTATCGGCTCGATTCTTTTGATAACCAAACGATTCGGATACATCCGATAGGAGTTGTTCGTAACTTTGAACGGTTCGGCGACTAACGAAAATAGTAATGGATTTATGCGGCTTTTCGCTTCCTTGTTTGACAATTGTGATTTGACGTGATTTGTTTTGTGTACCATCGTATGAATATCTAGTTGATTTGAAAAGAATTTTCTTCTGTGTTTGTTGATTGGAATTAGTTATCGAAGGACTGATCGATTGTAGAAGATTATTTGCTGGAAAGCGATTCACTGTTGAGTTCACATTTGAGTTCGTCGGAGACGTACTCAGAGGAGCAGGTTTAGCGTTCGGTAATGTCGGTAGATGACGTATATTCAGTCGATGCGACGGTTGTACCTCGTGCGTTGGATGCCGAACTTTAAATTAAATAGAAAAATAAATTAATTGTCAATTTTCGTCTCACTTAACTATTTTAATCTGTTATTTCATTCAAGTTGAATGCTCAAAGCGCTATTCGATCATTAATTAGTTTTGTATATCTCATTTATTTCGATTTCCTTGCGCCTCAAAAATTATCAACACCTACGTCAAAGATAAGATGACAAGTTTGCAAAATTAAAAGGACTAAACTTTTATTGTACCTATACGAGAACAAAATTGATAGGATTATCAAAATAGAATGTCAACTAGTTTCTATAAGCATCATGCCTGGAACCTGAAAAATGATAATAGCTTTTTTTTTCTTTTTGTTCCTTTCGGTTTCAGCCGGTTTTTACTCTTTCTTTCCCTCGTCCTCTTCTCTGCTGATTTTCAATTAGTACATTTTTATAATAATAAGTAAAAATTTATGGAAGATGAAGAAGCAGAAGAAAAACATTGTGGAGTACTTAAACATGCAACAATACATAGAGAAATCTCATAAATATCCCAAGAAGAATAATTATAATCTGCTTGCATGAAGAAAGATCGCCCATTAAGTTATGGATCAACATGAATAAAACAGAAAAAGAAGGCTTACGTTGCTCGATATTGAATGTCAAACGTGGCACGGATATTGTAGCATAATCAATTCGTTGAAACGGTTCGAATGAAGCACAGACATACGAAGCACCATCTTTAATAATAGTAACATCTGTTACTTCTGATCCTTGATTAGGTGTAAATAAGCGTCGTACACCATAAGGCAAATCGATTGTTGTGGATAGTTCTTGTAATAGTTGTCCAAGATTGGAATAGTTCTGTGGAATGATCGCCGTTTGCTTGCCAGGGAAATACCGATCGCCATTGCGGAAGAGAGTGACTTTACGCGGTGTTGCTTGTGGTGACAGATCATTTTTTAATTTAGGTAAAGCGCGACGTGTGTTTTTTTGGAAGGCTTGTTCTTGCTGCTGCGATTGATGTTGCTGTTGAGACACATTTGGGATAGGACTGCGTGACCATCCAATATGTGATGACAGGATATCCGTCATTTAAAAAAACAAGATTGATCAAGAAATAATCGAGAGAAGAGAAGAATACGGGAAGACTTAGTAATGAGCAGCACCGGATTTGTTGATCAGTAAGGAAAAATCAGTTTTTTTTGACATGCAAACACACACAACAGATCTTCTTGTGGACCGAAAGATCGACAAATAAAATAGCTTAATTTTTCCTTTCGTTGTCATGGCAATAACATCAACTAATGGTTGACCGAAACTTCTATTTGGACAAGAATTCAATCACGACACCTAACGACATCTTTGATTTTCGATTCGGATTAAAATATCAATCATCGTGGATTATTTTTCGCTTCATTTAATTTCAAACTCTTGAATTTTCCTGAAAAGAAATCACATGCGAATCAGTTCGTATATCTTAGTCATAGAACCAAACGTAGCGGTAGATATCAAAGGAAAAGATCAAACTATTTGATTGATGTAATTGAAAGGTATGTCATCTTTTCCGGTTGACAGTCTTTTCCTGACTAATTTCTTTCTTTTTTTCGACACATGCGTGTATGAGCGAAAAAGAACAAACATTCCATGATGGTACCGCATCGATAATTACACTTATTTGTCTGGACGACAAATGATTGACAGAACAAACACAGCATGAAAACTAAATCGAATATTCAAATTCATTTTGATATGTGTATGCCCATTGGCAACTCAGTTATTCAAACGTCAAATTCAAGTATTACTCTAGAAAGGGAGATGTGATCGACCTCCTGATGATTTTAACAACTAGAAGAATTCGATTAACTAGACACGTGTTCAATATAGTGTTAAGAAACAGAAACGGAAACAACTAAATCAAGATCGATACACTTCTCACTTACCCTTGCGAATATTTGTCGATCACGCTTTCAACATATTTGCTTCTCGACATCTACATTTCAACAAAAGTATATGTAAATGGGAAATTACTAGTTTCTTTGAAGTTATTGTCATCGTTCTATCTATGATACAAGCAATTTCATTTGACAACTTCCTTTCGTTCTCCGCCTTTTTAAACAATTGTTGTTTGAGAAAAATAAGGTGAGCAAGTGCGACGCACATGAACGGCAGCGTGCTGTGTGAAGATAATTATATATAGAAACGATCTATCGATCGCGGATTCCTGCTGTGCAACGATAGAAATTCCTCGATTGGATAAATCATCGCTTTACTGACCAATCGTCTATTTTTTTGAACGAAAAAAAAAGAACATTCAACAGAGATATATGGTACTATTCATATATATATACATATATCCATATACTTCGAGAACATTACTTCATTTAGTTGAACAACTAGATCTCAAAACAGAAATGAATTCTTCAATAGATAAGAGCACAGAAGATAGTTCATCAGTATCCGTACCCAATCCTCCAACGAAATCTCGTCGTGGTCGCAAACGTGTTACTGATCCGGTCCTAGCTACACAATTAAAACAACATCGTCGTTCACGTGCGAACGATCGTGAACGAACACGCATGCGCTTGCTCAATGAAGCTCTTGAACATTTACGGACCATACTACCTATGGATTCATCTGGCTACTATTCTTCAACGGATCTATCGGCGCATCATAGTCCAATGATGGAAGACAAGCTAACTAAAATTGAAACACTCCGAACAGCTTCAGCATATATTCGCCTTTTAACTGATCTACTCGATGATAGCGACCATTCATCAACAACATCAAATCAATGTTCGTATCATTCGTCTGATCATTCACAACAAATATACCAACATTCACCACACTTCGCGTATCCACCAGCATATTCTTATTATCATTCCTATTACTAATTTATTTGGCGAAGAGACATGTAACATAGACATTCTTTTCTTTTTTCATGTTTTTCTTTATTTTGAAATATCACAAATAGAATAACTGTTCTCTCCTAAAACTCTTAGATAATCACTAAACGGTATTGAACATGACACAGTACGTAGGCCAATATTGAAATTAATACAATCATTTCGTTCATGGTCGGTAAATTCTGGTAAAGTAACGTGTGCCAAATCATTCGGCCATTCAGGATCATTCGTCGAAAATAATTTCACTTGAGGATTGAAAGTTAATGGTGGGGGATGCGCTGTCGATTGAGACATTTTCCCGTCAATCAGTGTTTGCACATTCTGAGGAAAGAGTGAGCCAAATGGAGGAACAGCACCAGGTATACAACCAGTGATTCGTCGAACTTCATCCTCTGTAGCCATGCGTATTTTTGATGATGGTACTCCGAGAGCCGCTGCAATCTTCTTAGTATCGCAAGATAAATGAGCTGGAAGAACAATTAGGGTGAATTGATCTGTATTTTTCTGACAAACAAGCATCGCTTTCGCTCCACTATGCAAGGGGACTTGTCGTTGATTCGACGCTTCAACACTTGTGCGTACAGGCGGATGACGAATGAGAAGAATAGAAACCAATGGGTCTTTCAAAGACATGACATGTCGCATGATACTTTGAAATGTACTGTAGTCTTCTACTGGACTTTCATTTTCTAAGGGAACGCTAGCAGAAGCCATCTGCAAAGACAGAGAAGAAGAGAAGTAACTATTCATCGTTCTTTGCTTGTAATAAACTTTTATTATTCATACTATGAAAAAGAATTGTCATGATTCAATTCGCAGAAAGAAGAAGAACTTGAACATCAAAGAATTCATAGCAAAGTGAATAGAATGGAATACATAATGAAATACAAAAAAAAAGAAAGCAAAAAAAAGACAAATCTTGATATCAGAAAAACACGTGCAAGTTTTTATTCGAATTCGATTTTCATATGTGCAAAAACAAACACAAAAGACGATATCAAAGATCCAAAATGACTACTACTGTTTATTTTGTTTTTTTTTTGTCTTTCTTACAAAAACAAATCTCTTCTGCTTGGGATCATTTTATTAAAAAATATTTGCCAAAGATTCGGTGAGTATTAGCGAGCGAAAGGTGAGAACGTGTATGATTGTATATACAGGAGGGGAGACTACATGTTATATGCAACAAATATAGGATCAAGTTGATCTGATACAAAACCATCGCGTAAGTGCATACGTTGTTTTTCACCACGTGAATTGACCGGTACAACGCCCGGATCAACGATGACAAGAACGCCAACGATCACATAATGTTCTTCAAGAATCGCGCTTGTTATTAATGGAACAAGATCGAGTGAGTGTTGTTCAAGCCCGTCATATTCGACAACAACGACCAATAAATTTGTCCATGTGAAACAAGCACATTCACAGATACGTTTATGTGTGCGCATAACTGTATTCTCAATATCAATCGGGTGATAACGCATACCACGAATGAGAAGTGTTTCATCCAAAGAGCCGACTATGTAGACGGCATCGTGATTTTCTAAAATAGAAAGTATTCGTTTGCTGCACACTGCTTTCCACTTCATTTAATTAAAAGACATACTTCCATCTGCTGCAATCGAATCTGTTCGACGAACAAAGCCAAGATAACCTGTTCGAGCATATAACTGTCGCGTATCACCCGTTGCCAAGTGTGAATAAAATTGATCTGAATTCTGATTTGATCCTTGTTGTTGATTGTTATCACCATAGCTAATTATCTGACAACCAAGTGAATTATGGCCACTTTGAACCCATAACTACATGATAGGATGGCGAAATTTTAGAAATGGGACAAGAACAGAATCAATCGGATACTTACTTCGCCTAAGTGTGCATCAGCACATTGTCCTTTACTTTCCGGATTCGCAATAACAACTTTTACGCCCGGTAAAAGCTAAAATATCGACATAGACCAATGCGATTCGAATAGACGTGCTTCTTACCTTTCCTGATTCTAATAAACATAAACTATGCGGACTACCCTTTTCGACTAGAGTTACACGATCATTTCTCAATGCTCGCTGATCAACGTAGGCAGGTGCTGGATCAGGATCACTTGCACCTCGTAGACAAATGGCGATATTGACTCGACAGCCAAATGTTGTGCTCACACTTCGAGGATTAAGACCTAATGTTTGAAATAGTTTTACAAAAGAATTCAATAATTGTAAACGTGGTCGTTCTTCGGCGACAACAGCACATGTGCGTACACATGATAATGATAAGCCACGATTCTAAAACATATGTATGATATTCATTAATTTGAAGATTTCAACAGAAAACTCACTTTGAGATCAACAATGGATGTGCTCAATCCTTTTGTACAAAGTTCCATCACCGAGTAGGAACAGAAAGTATCACGAACTAGAAAAGATATAATTAGCGATCAGAAAACCGTGCAATAGTAAAGAGTTACTTTTGTAATGACTAATTGTGTTCATCCATACTGATGGATTGAGTTCCACTTCAGCTGGATCGATCAGAATTGAATGATGACCAGCATAGATGCTGAAAATAACCACAGGTAATTGTTAGCTTAGTACAACTAAAGAATTGACATTTACCTAATTATACACCAGAGTACTAATCCAAGCCCATTATAGGGATCCAAACAGAGCACAAGTTCTCGACTTGGATACAGCTCACAAGCTAATTTAATTGAGCGACATAAATTACCAATAGCACCATATGATAGCTAGATTATAAAATCATTCGTATAGATAACATCTCAGTACAACTTCTCATTTACTTTCACAGCAGTTAATGATCCAGTGGTTGAGATACTGAAATCCAAATAACAAAGTGATTGAGCTTGTGTGGATGTTGACTTTTTTGGAAGAATTTGATTTTTCTTTTGTTTGGGTAAATCATCTGTATCAATAATTAATGGCCATAGTTTTGGATCGAGTAATGTTGCTGCTTCCTTGAAAACAAAACGAGATGAATTACAAACGAAGACTGTGAACATTGACACTAAACTTACTTTACACCGAAGCAATTTGGCTATCGAACTCGTTGTTAGGATAACTTTTGCTTGACTTAATTCAATCATCATTTTTACAGTTGATAATGTATTCAAAAGATTTTGAGCATGTGGTGGTCGAATTGACACTGGTACAGCATCTAAATGGTAGAAGAACAAGTTTATTTGCCTAAGATGTATCATTTTCCTATTACCAATATATAAACAAGCATAAAATGCTGAAACAAGATCTACACATGGTGGATACAGTAACGCAACGTGATCGGATGATTTCAATTCAATTCGATCTAGCATTGTCAATGCAATACGTTCGCTACGTTTATGCATAGCTGAACAGGTGATGTGGGCAGATTCTTGACCCTAAATATAATAATACAAAATTTCGATCGAATAGTTCAATATGCAAGAAATGATCTGACTTTAGCATTGATAACTGAATAGAGAACATGATCGGACATTGTCATCGAACGCCATCGAAGAATGTCATCAATGTATTGAAACTAATTTGCAAAGACGAATTATAATGATGAACTTAGTTTTGAATTAGAATCTACTTTTTTTCCTTGTTCCATGGCTTCTTGCTCGTCGTTGAATGTCATATCTGCACCTTTTGCCTCAGCTAAACGCATACCTTGAATAATCGTACCGGCTAGGATCGCACCTGGGCCCACTTCTCGTTCAGGATGATGTTCGCGTGGTTTGGGCAAATTCAAAATGCATGAATGTGGGCACATCAATACTCTAAAGAACCAAAATCAAATGACGCCTATTCTCCTCTGTTTATCATACGAGCACGGGTGTAAATTGCCTTCCAATAAGCGTCGGCGCGTTTCTTGAACATGAATTAGACCCGAATGACTCTGCAAACATAAATCAAACGTTTTCTCACTTCAAATCGGCACTTGTGGGCTTTCATACTTTAGGTAATGTATTTGCTGGACATAGAGCAAGACAGTAGACGCCCACTTGATGTATGGAATCAATTGCTTGAAGGACACGACTCATCCATTGAAAGCATTCATCTTCGCCGATATCAGGTCGTTGTTCGGCAACAATAACTATTCTTTCGTCACGTAGAACACGTATGGAAAAGATCACCACGCGTGCACGATAGACAACCTTCATCGGTTCAACAGCCAAAGCTGTAGCAATTAAATCATCGCTATTATGTTTTCGGCCAGCCACTTGCATCAGACCTTCGCGGCTGCCTGTGACAAATAGAAGACCACCCTAGAAAGAAAAGAATTGACTCCGATTTGAGAACTGCTTTGTCGACTTACAGGACCAAGAAATCCAAGTAAACCAGATCGAACAAATTCCTGAGTACCAATAGGTCGTTCATCCGATCCTAATGGTATAACTTTAAATGCGTTTGTTGATAGTCCAGGTAAGGCCCAATAACCATTCGGTGTTGCTTTTGATGAGATGACAACTTCGCCAATTTCATCTGTTTGACAAAGCAATGGTGGCCCATCGATCTTGATAATGCCAATAATAGCACCAGGTAATACATGCCCAACATCTTGAATTGTTAATGATGTTAAACTATTATCTTGATCAACGCGCACAACGCCATAACTTAACGCGTGCATAGAAAGTATTCCACGACCTGATTGATGTGTTGACAAAGATGAATGATACTGTCGCCGAATGGATAGTGTTAATGTTTCAGATGAGTATGAACAAGGACAACAACAATCGGAACGAAGACCTCGGGAAACAAACGTTGAAAGAAATGTATCGACAGCAGTTAATGACCATGGATTAGAGCCATCACTTATTAATAATAATCGTAATGATGATAAATTTATTGTCGGCGATGCATTTGTCATTTCACGTATAGCTAATACAGCCCAATGCATATCCCGTGAACGTACAATAGCAGTTGTGATGTGATATTTCGTGATTGACAATAACCAGGACGATGGCTGAGATTTTAATATTGATGTTGGAATAAATATAACTTGCATACCCGAAAGAATATTGGCATGAATCGTATGCCACAAGCCAATTTGCCGTTTATAATCCACACAGCATAAGCATATGTCCGTGGATGTATATTTACATGCATTCACAAGTGTTTGAGTATGTACAAATAATTGTTCGTAATTAATGGTGACGCCAACAATGCTACCATCTTTGACAGATGTGTACTCAATGTACGCTGGTGTCGTTTCGTAAGATGATCGTGGTATATCAGTGATGGTCCAGTCTTTTGGCGGTTTGGTTAAGTGTTCGGTTATGAACCAAATCAAATTGGGCCAGCCTTTGAATGAAACGATCTCATTTAGATTTGCTGCCGAAGACGTTGCTGTGTGCTGTTGCACTTTTGGCAATTGGCGATAGCATGAATCCGATGTTAGTGCAACTTTTATGGATAGTTGACCAAGGAGAATACCGATACGTTGAGAAAGCCAATCCTGAAACGTAGTTCGTATAGATTTCTTTGTTTTTATACAAATTTCTATTTACTCGGCGTGCTAACGGTACATCAATAGGCAAGGGAACGATGCCGGCAAGTAGACACCCATAGAAAGCGCAAATGAAACTAATCGGATCATTACTTGAATAAACCAGAGCCACCTAAAGAAAATAATTACCATGAACAATAATTGTATGTCACTTTTCTTTACGTACACGATCGCCTGGTTTGAGTAAATTTTCTCGTGAATTACTGCCGGTATTACCGTGTGAATGAACTTTGTGAAGAAGATTATACGCGATCTTTTGTGAACGCGTCAATAATTTAACTGAAAGAGAAAGATTCATTCATGTAGAAATCATGCTATAGATTGATCTCTGGTGATAAGTAATGAAGTGAAATCGATTGATATTCTTTAAACATGAAGAAAGAAAAATGTCGAACTTGATCGACTTACGAAATGTAAGTGTTTGTGAGGGTTTTGTTTGTTCATCGAGTATGGTAACAGCATTGGTGCGAGGTTGTTGAAGAGCATGTTGTTGTAATGCAGCTAGAAAGGTTTTGGGCCACTGGGATGAAACAACTAATTGTTCACCACACGACGGAACCGATATTCCACCTTCTGGCCTTGGAGCAAGAGGATCGATGGGTGGCACTACATCGAAATGGAAGACACAGTTCGCAATAATTGTATGGAGGTCAACTTACTTGCTAATTCTTCTTCATTATCCTCGTAATATTCTTTCATTGGTTTACGTTTCGGACGCTAATCAAGTATTAAAAAAAGATTAAAAAGTCATTTGCTTCTTTCATTTATCTTGAATATGAGACGACATACTTTTAATGTATTGACAAGTGCAAGAATTTTCGATGAAACACGTAAGCTTGGTTTACGTTCTAAATATACATAATAAGCATCGGATGATTCGATCCTATCATACAATAATAATACCGAGGGCGGTTCGTCTGGTGCAAGATATTATAACGTCTTGATCGTCTGTCACCTTATGGTATTTCTCCCGTCCGCTCATCGTCATCATCGTCAAAACTGTCTTTAGGGCTCAGATGAATGGTGAAACGTTGATTACTCTTTCCTTCTTTACATTCTTTTTTTTTTGTATTTTGCTCGTGAAACGATAAGGTCTCCTATGTATGTATACATATACGACAATCAACCACATAAAAGGAGAAAGAAAAGAAGTGAATTGAAATGTCAACTGAGTCTACATATGCGATGTCTTTCAAAGAACGATGTTAATGTGTGCGTTCGTGTGTGTGTGTGTGTGTTTGCGTGAGAGCGAGAGAGGGAGGGAGGGAGGGAGGAAAGAGAAGACTTGTCTTTTTCACTTTTCGTTCATGGACATAGTTTCTCTCGTTGTTACTACTGTAAATACAACGAACATTCATCTATGATTCAAATTAATAGATATTGTTAATCGATCATTGCTGATTTATTGATTATACCTTCGCTTTGATTGATTGAGTTTGAAATAGATATCGATGAATCAGCCGACACATTGCGATCTCCATATAAAACATAATGTTGTTGACTTGTATTAACATAATCCGAATTCGAATCTCGATAACGTGCGCCGGCACTTCGTGTTAGATCACATTCAATATTCGATACTACGAGAGAAGAAAAAACTTTTTTTTTCTATGATGAATGAGAATTATACACGAAAGAAATCCACAATTCTCATGAGATTTCAATCGATAATAACAAGAAAAAGTTTAGCTGTCTCGATATTTACATGATGGTTCTTGACTGCGATGAATGAAATCGGATAAGAATGTTGATGAGCAAAGAAGAGGAGGTGGTGGTGCTGTTGGTGCTTGTATATCTTAGAAGCAGACGGAAAAGAGTATGATGATCATGATGAATTTAGCAATTCCTACTTTTTATAATAGCTTCAACTGTAGGAGGACTTTGATAATGATGGTTTTGTATCGGAATAGGAACGGGTGAAATCGATGATTCTTTATTTTGTTGATCATCAGTAGTCGCATATGTGGAACTACTTTGGTCATCATCATCAATGTCATCGTCATCTGACGATTCGTCTACATGAAAATCAATCATTTGCTGAACGGAACGTACTTTTCCGAAAAACTTTACTTTTCGTTTGAGGATTGACAGCTCGTTTTGATGATGGAATAGGACGAGCTCCATATTGTTCCAATGCTTGTTTGACTGCTTCTTGACGAACATCTAAACGAGCCAATAGAACATAAGATATAATTCAAGGTGAAGAGTGTACCTGAATGATATCGATTGTATCCATCACGTTTTTGACGGCGGCATTGAATTTTTGATGGTCGATGGGCGGATTTTTCATGTTGATGATGAGTGTTATTATTATTGTTGTTGTTAATATTATTCACATAAACTGGATTTTGTGCTGAAATGAGAAAGTGTTTTTCTAGGCTTTGTCCAAAATGAATGTTGTACGTTTTACCTGATTGTTGTTGGTGTGAAGCAAGCAATTTAAGACGTTTCTTTTCGAAACCTTTTTGTGTAATATCACCTAGAAAACGCAAAGTTGTATTTTCATGGCTGAAATCACACATCAGTCGTACCTTCGGCTAGTTCAAGTTCGAGTTCTTGAAGTTTTTGTTGAATATCCAAAGGTAACGCGAGATTAGTCGATTGAGCTGTGGTCGCCATTAATATTTGTTGTATGTCGATATGTTAGAGAATAATGAAAAGAACAGTATCGCTTAGATATACGGAATAATTGGTTTGCCTTGTAATCTTGTCAATGATTATTCAATCGGTTGAAGAAGAAGCATGACAGTAGTTGAAGAATCTTCTTTCGTTTCTTTCCGAGGTCAATTTATGAACATGGACGAGCAAACTATCTCTTTCCTATCTGAGTATATGCAGAGATGAATGTGGCAACGCAATACATTATGCTAGAAGCAAAGGATAACCCTGTCAATCAATCAGCAGGAAGCGCTTTTTTTCTTCTAGAATGTATGAGTGAACGAACGAAGAAATTGGTTGCGTATTTGCCGTTCTCTATAACGTTCATTTTATTCTCATTCGATGAGCATTTACACCATAGATTTGTCAACAATGACCTCTAGGTACAGTCGAATTTCTCCATATTTTCTTGAATAATCTACTCGACAAAGTCAAAAATTTGATTGCAAGTTTTTGAAAAAAAGAAGATTTGATTATTTGAAAATCCGATCGACAAGTGGCGCCATCGTCCATCATAAGCATTATTCTTTTTTACGATTTCTCGTTTTGGCTTCTAATGAAGAAACATACGGCTGCCTGAGTAAGTGAAAGGTACCAAGTATTTATAGCCTCCATTAAAACTTTTTATATCATTGAAAAGGTAGAATGTGTGTAAAGTACACTTTACTCTTTGAATATCAAAAATGATTTCCAAGGTCAACAGACAAGAACCCTCAAATATTTTATATGCATTCACTATTTACTCAAAAGATATTTTATAAAACGCTAATTTTCATGCATATAAACAGCATTCAACAATGTCTCTTTTGCCCTACATTTATTCATAAAAAGACTCATTAACTTGAAGTAGAGAACTAGTATGGATTCAAATGAACGTTTTGTTTGTCTATCATTTTATTACATCGTTAGTGCAAAAAAGATTCATGAACATGACAAAGTATACGGTATGTAAAGAGACATGTTAGAAGAATGACAAGTCAGCATTAGCCTAAGCTTTGGATTTGACTGACAGTACAATAGTAACTAGAACGAATCAAATGGGTGTTCTTATCCAATGAAAACAAAAAAAAAAGAACATTTATATACCTATAATAGCTGTTATTATGACGATGACAATAATAGCTAGAATAATAGTCATCTATAAAAGATGTAAAAGGTTATTATCGAACGGTGAAGGTTATAGACATATTTACCTTAAAGTTCTTGATTTGATACCGTTTTTTGAGCTTTCCTGTGGTGATAGTGAACATATCTGAAGCTCGGGCCATTTCATCTAAATGAATGTGAGAAAGTCTCTTTTTTTCCTTTTCGACAAACTTCTTCCACTAACCTGCTTTATATTCTAAATCATCAAGTTTAGCTCCACGATCGAGTAATCCTGATAAAGTTTTCTTCTGTATACTTACAATCTAAATCAATCAATTGAACATGTGTGCGACACCAGAATCGAACTCTCTTCGAAACTGACTTCGTTTGTTTGATCCTGCAATTGTTGAATATGTGTCGATGGAGTATAACGAACGCTAGTCGGTTGATAATTTGGGTTGTTAAATGTCGCTGTCCTAGAGTAACACGGAAAACGAACTCTGAGAAACGTAGGCTAGTGAAAGTTCTTACATAGTTGTTTCTGAAAAAATAAGAATCGAAAATGAAACCGAAACAAATGCTTACATATCTCAATATCAGTTTGTTGGTTAGTCACAGGAGTTTTTATCAGTTGATGATATGATTCAATGAAAGACAAATTGCATTATCTACAAGCGCGTTAATGACGTATCGTCATTTTCGAAAAACAACTTCACTCACTATTGTCATATCCACAATGCGCAATTACAAGATTTACTTAATGTTTGTATGTGATATACTCACATGGTTTTGATATTTTCTAGCAAATATTCTGTGGTTTGTTTATTTAGAAAAAAAAAGACATACAGATTGATTACAAACATATAATTATGACCAAAAACGAGAAAATGAAAGACATTGACTGCTTGTGTTGAGTTAAAATTTCAAATTAAATTTTCTTCTGTGCGGCAAGGACAGAAAGCACTAGAAATAATCGAATAATGAAAATAATTCGAGATAGAACTATGTTCATCTTACCAACGATGATAACAATAAGAACAATAACGATTACACCAATGAGAATCCACATCTATCATAAAACGAGGAGAATATTGATAAACTAGATGTATGTGGATCTACCTGCACATTTTGCCACCAGAACTTTTGTCGAACTCGGTGTGCATTGTTGGCAAATTGATTGGAACTGTTACTCAAATCCTCTGAAGAGTTTACAATCAATAAAATTCATCTCAATTGGAATGTTTTACCTGCTTTAATTTCCAGATCATCAAGATTTGCACCACGTTCCAATCCTAATCGAACGTTATTTCTCATGATTTCCGTCACCTATAATCAATTTAATCATTAGCAAGAAGCAAATGTGTTTTATCCTATATACGTCATTGACTTGTCCTTGCAAATGTTGAAATTGTCCTGGTGATGTATAATAAACATTGCCGGGTTGATAATTTGGATTAGCGATACCTCCTTCCCTAGACAAAAATTCATTATTTGAATATTTGATTTAATTACAAAATAGATGCTTACATTGCTGAATGTTAGACGAAAGATTGTCTTGTGAATAGCAAACCGAAACGAGTGAAAATGTGATCAAATGAAACAGAATAACCTTGTAACTACCTGACAAGTCGTTATTTGATTTTTTTTCTCTCTCATTGTATTACAATGTGACTCATTGATAGAAAACATTCACCATATCAGTGATTGGTTCGTATATTGTAGTAACTGTAGCATTTCGAAACTCAATTAACGCATGTTTTCATTTATGGAGAATTTTCAAATGGAAGTGTGTGACACGTATTATATTTTCAGAACGAAGAACGAAAACAAACTGAATAATTCCTGCGAAAGATCGCAAGTATTGATAAAAAATCGATTAATCATCGTATTATTCATTCGCTTCAATGTATATGTTGATAAACGACAGAGAATGAGTGTTGGTTACGTTGGTCAATTGAACGTGTATAAAATGATGAGAATGTATTCGTTCGAAATGATGCAATAATTTACATTAGAACATTATATGATGACCTCATATTTTTCTATCACAACATGTTTTTTTTTGTCGAAGTGTCCTGATGTAAAACTGTAAAGTGTTTTTCAACCGAAACTAGTAGCGTAACCGAGACAGGAAACGCATAGATGTATACCGACCGGCGGTAGTTGTCGAAAAAGCGAACATTCCCAACCACTTTCACAGAAAACGATATATTGTAATAAGACTTCACTGCAAAGTAAGGAGCTTATCGACTAAACTCGCTCGCTACACCATTTATGGATACGTCATTAGTTGAAATTTAATTACTGATGTAATTAAATGCAGAATGATGACATATATGTTGATAAAAAGTAATAATTATATGAAAAAACTTTGTTAAAATACAATAGCTATGTTGAGAAAAAGGCCTATCTATCGTGTTTGTGGTAGTGAGCAAGAGTTTTGTCGAGAAAATTGATCAAACGGACGAGATTGTTGCATCACATAGACCTAAAATAACCAAAGTCTTTCATAAGATGATAATCCACAAACTACGAACCATATCCGACGGATCCATATGATAATTGTATGGTGGATAGCAAAGAACAATTCGCTTGTGACCACCGGTAAATTGACTCATGCTAATCTTAGGATCATTTCGAAGTAATACATCTAACAAACGATATATACCCATGACAATCATATGGTGACGTTGAATAGCTTCACAAAATAGTACACTGAAGGTAACTGGATCTGTCTGAAAAGTGAGCGAGTACAGATAATGGATAAAAGATAAGCAAAAGTTTAGTTTCATACTCGAATATCAATGTCTGGTATTAATTCTCGGATTTCGAGAATAGCAACACGAGCACGATTTCGTTTTTTTAGTATATCAAATGATTCACAACGGTTGAAACCGCCACCTTCAGCGAGAATTTCTTCTAATTGTAAATCGACACCGCCCGTTAAAATATTACGAAGTAAATTGACTGCATTGTCATTGTAATAAGCCTTAAAATTGAGATTATTGATAGGAGGAATTGGTATAGAGCAAGCTCGACTTACACAACTTAAAATGCAATCGAGAACACTATCCGCAAATGCCGCACCTTCAACAAATCAAAATAAGTTGAATTTCTTCGAAATGAAAACTACGTACCAGATGCAAACGGTGTTGTTAAATAGAACTCCAGGTCAACTTCGTCAGTATCTCCTTGAAAAAACCTCAATAATTCAATAACCATTGTGAAAGAAAAACATCTATACCTTGTTCAACGTATTGAACATTAGAATCAATAGCTGAAATGAAAACATAAGAGAGTGAGAGAGATCAACACTCAAATAATTTTACTTAATGTTGTTAATGTTCGAATTGTATTCTGAAGCAATGCTTTTGTTTGATTCGCTGTCATATCCGATGTACTTTGTCCAGTTAAGTTCATCACGGAAACATAGCCAGCTGATTTCATTTCAATTTGTCGGATATTCAATGTACAAAGTACAGATGATTTATCGACGAGATATGTGTCTTGATTTTCTCGATCTAATGTCGATATGATCACACACTGACGACAATCCTGGATGCATATCAATTGCAAATTGTATGGATTACTTGGTGAGCCCTGACAATGACAAACAGATAGTTTTATAAAAGACAAATTCCTTTTTTTTCTTTGCCAAAGCTTTACATTGAGAATATAGATATCAGGAAATGTACAGATCATATCCCATTCATTTTTGATATAGTCAAGATCGGTAACAAGTATAATTGTTGGTAATTCGTGGCGATGAAATGAACTAGCACGAAGTGGCATGACAAAATTACGTAGACCAATGGTCGGTGATGCTTTATCAGCATGAAGACAAACGATAACATCTAGAGAGAACCAGAGAGATTAACCGCAATCAAATGAATCGTTCCGGATTGCAACGTACGATCTTGAAAATGGATTGGATGTAAAGGGGGTGCGAGATGTGTTTGTTGAAAACCTATTGTTTTGCCATCTCTCATCGTATTCTGTCGACGGAATGCCAGACGACGTTCACGTAACGATTCCACATGCTATCAATCAATCAATGAAAAGTTCGAACTGATTTCAAACTACATACTAGAACAGCTTCTTCAATACGTCGTGGTGGAGTGAAATAAAACATCCCAGTGGAGTCAAAGCTCGATATATTTTCGTCCATCAGTCTATTTCAAGATTTAGAGAACAAATTTTAATTCGATTCATTGAGAAAGACAGTTGTAATTAGGCGGAATAACAAACAATTGAACTTACATGCGGTGCAATGAATAAGAAAACAAAGCAGGTAAGAATATACACAGAAGCAACACGAATACACATTCATCTATGATACGCACGGTTCACTGTGTGTCAGTGATGCTGAATCAGTTTGTTCGGGTTGACAGATCAGTAATGGGCGCTGAACGTCGCCTTCCAACAAACGTCTAAATATAATGAAGGGACGTGTTTTCTTTTGTTGTCTCAAAATATTCTATGTACACAATAGGATTTTTCGATTTTTCCTTGCCAATGGAAGCTTGACTTTCCGAACGTGCTTGGAATGGTAACATTTCTCCTGGGGAAACTGCTAGAATGGTACCAAAGGTGAGAAGAAACAAATCTTTTGAAATTAAATTACTGTGTCGACATTTTCTCATTCGCTTCAATTGTGCAGGTTTGAGTTGGTCAACATCGGGATAACAAGTGGAACAATAATATTTCACTCTGAATATGAAAACGAAATCCAGAATTCAACTGACAAAAAAACTTTGAAGTGTTTCATTACCTTTTTGCATCTTCACTCGAACTGCAAACCATAAAAGCTCGAGTACCAGGAAGGATAATACAATCATTCTTCGGTGCAACTTCGACAACCTGTCGTGTGTTTCCATTTTCATCCGTATGCTTCATTTCAACAGCTAGGATCATGACTCGAAGTTTAAAGCAAATTCTAAACGAGCATAAAGAAAACTGCAAGGTTTCTTCTTGCTAGAGGTTATCTTACAGTGTCATTTCAGTAAATGTCTTTCCAAAAAATGAATGTGGTAGTTCTTCCAAGTACATCTCCATAGCTGCACCGCGATGGTACAGCTCTCGCCAATGCCAAGCTTGCGTCTATTAAACACTTAAATCCGTTAAATACTCTTACAAGAGATCAATGAAGAATAAATGTTGGATGTGAGAAGCATAATTGTGAATAATCAATGAAAATATGAAATGATCTTTATGCCAATGATTTAGCGTCATTGAATCACTTGACCGTTCTTCGATATCTTCATTGATGAAAAAAAATATATATATATCCCTGTAGTAGTTTAAATTATATACACACATCAAAAGCACACAATAACACCCCCACAAATAAGATAAGAACTTACATTCTCATCATCAAAACTTGAATCTTTACAACAGACGTAGAACTACGAGAACAAGGGTTATTCAACTGTGTATTTTAAACCTTTCGGACTGGTATCCTCCAAGCTTTTCTTTTCTAATGGTATTTTCTGTGCAACAAATCGAACTACATCGATTGAAATACATTCAACATCGAACAGAACCGAGACAACCAATGTTTAGATAAGATTATCTGATTTACATACCACTTCTTGTACTGAACGTGTCTTGTAGGCTGACATGCGAAAGATATTGGTCATCTAAGAAAGTCAAATAATCGGACATCGAGGCTGAATTGTTTCCATACCATTGTGCAGAATCCAGGTACTGTACACGACATGCCAATTAAACCGAGTTTTAATTCGGCAATGCATATGATTTCATCTCCATCTTTCGCGCTCCATCCCGGTATAGATGCGACATTCATCTGAAAATTTCACATTTACCTGTACAAACGAAAAGCCACACTTCTTCTCTCAACAATCCGTTACTTTGTTCTTGTAATGTAAAAGTTGTAAAAGAACTCGAATACGTTGATTGAAATTTTTCAAACTGATTACGCGCATGATATTTGCTGAATCGTCTCCATCTGGATCGGGACATTCTTTATCCGCGATGATTAAACAAGCTGTTGCTTTATCAACCTGAATAAGTTTCACACTTAAATATTAAACAGTTCTCCATTTATTTTACTTGGATTCGATGCAAATCAGCGACATTCATAACCGTTCCAACGAAATATTGAACTTTAGTGTAATACCGTTTCAACAGCGCTTCCATTTCAATCTCTGGTGTTTTCCTTCGAATGAAAGTAGGGAAACCATTGACTACTTTGACTTTCCTGCATTAGGATCATATGCTACTTATTAATAATGACGACATCAAGTTCTTCAGCTTGATCACGATCTTTATGAAGGAAATCACGTAGAAATGTTGTCATCGAATGCGGTGTTATGTGTCCGCAGATGACCACATGGCTAAAACATGACAGCACGTTTAGTTTTTTTTTTCATTGAAACACACATGAGAAAAGTATCGAAACGAGACTTGTTGATTGATAATGAAGTTTATGTCAATAGCAATGAGAGAAAATCGAAACACTTCATTTCTCCAATCAAGTATCTACTACTGTCTAATGTGGATCAATCATACATCTAAATTGTTCTTGTTCTCTCGTCTCAACCGAGTAATTCTATTCAATATTCTAAACACAACCTTGATTGTGCTCTAAACTCCTATTAATTGAATTCTATTAGCACAGAAAATAAACTTTTCCTATCCTTTCATGATTATCTCGCAAGAGTAATGTCAAGAGGTTTCCTTTCTGATAGTAGTGCTGACTCGTATAGACATGACAATATCAATCATGCATAGAATTTCGTAGACCTTGTCGTTGTTTATTCTGTACGACAGCTTGATTATCTCTGCAACTGAGCCGTCTTCAATTACATGAATTAGGCTTTCTATCCAAGTCTCTAGAAAATTTTCTCTCATGTTGAATATTTATATTTTTATATATATAATAATTGCCTGACATTCAAATGAACTCGTCATTCATCAATAAAATCATATCAAGATAGAAGAGAAGAAACTATATTTCCCTCGATAAAACTCCTTTTTCTCCCTTACCGTTTGCCTTTGACGATGCGATAACGGCCTGCATATTGCCCATTAGTTCCGAATAGATTCGAAAATTCCGGAATCATCGTTGCAAAAAATGCCTACAAACAAAAAACAAACTCAACTCAAAAGTCTCATTGTATTTTCTCCCTTACCAATCCACCGATGAGAAACATAAGCATGAAAAATTTTCCGATGTATGTTTTACAATACACATCACCATAACCGACCTAGAATTACCTTGTATTGCACGAGAAGAATACGCAATAAAACGTAAATTACTGTCGTCATTGTAACAATCATGAAGTAGATAGCATTGAAGACATCGATTTCTTGAGCGTTCTCGAAATTACAGAAAAAATCACCTGAATTTTCTGCTAGGTGAACTGCGCCAGCACATGCAATCCAAACAGCAATAAAACGCGATGCAAGCTGAACAATACGTATCGTTCGTGGACGTTCAATTAAGCCCATATATTGTAGAATATCTGGAGTATTCATAATGCGAATAGCTCGAAGAAAACGAAAGCCTACGAGGAGATCAGAAATCATCGAGAAAACAGTGAGTTGAGCTTTGAATTTACCAATCCAATTTCGATTGAGATATAATGCTACGAACGATGGTGGGATAGTAAACATATCAACAATCGAATAGAGACTAAACCAAAATCGCCGTTTGTGTTGTGAAGCAGTGAACTAAATGTGTTTTATCTTTGTCAAGGTAAGATAAGTTCGACATGAAACTAACTCGTAAGAAGAAATAGATCAAAAAGAGAACATTCAAACCAAGATCAGCTTGCATAGTGACCGATCTATTGATATCCGTACAAGATTCAATAAACCTAAAGAAAAGTTTGCAATATTTGGTTTTCAATTATTTACATCGTTTTTCGGTCATTAATATTTTAATATAGTTGTTTTATTCACCATCATGCCATAATTTGAAATTACTGAGTGAAAACAGTCAGGCAAACTTGGCTGAGCATTGTTCTTTCCTGTTCACTACTATTGTCTGACAGTATTTGTGTAAAATGTTAGTTTGTTGAAAGCATGCAACAGGAAGTTCTGTCATTTACGACAGAACCGACGGTAGCTGCTGCTTTTTGTTTTACATCAATCATTCTTCTTGATTATTTCTCAGCTAGCAGATGTTTCACGTTAAATTTCATGATGATAAAACTAATTAAAACTCAATTTCATACTCGTAAGCACTCGGCATAGTGTTACTTTATTCATCAACACTTGCGAAGTTTTCATTTCTAGTACAGAGAGTATGCACCGGAGATTAAACGATCAATTCTCGGAGGGATTAGCAGTGCAACGAACAACTAATTGATTTTATATTTTATAGGAACTTACGCATTTTTTGTATCGACAAAGTAGAGTATCAATGAAGCAATACTACCAATAAAAATGATTCCTACCTATTAACGAGAAAGAAATCGTGAAATATCGTTGAGGAAAGATAAACAAACCAATGTTTTCCCCATTTTTGTTTGGCCCGATATTAAGTTGTTTTCCCACTCTTTAATTGCTTGTAACCAACTGAAATAATCTTCGTTCTCCTCATCATTGCGTCGATTCGATACTGTATACGGTAGGCTTGGTCGTCTTGTCGAAAACTATCGAATATTCACATGTGCGCAAATGAACAATGTTCATGACGGTATCCCTAAACTTACGTCATTTATTCGAAGTAAATGTTTTACTGCCGAAATAAGTCTTAATCGACGTGGTTTTATAGCTAATGCTTTGGTAAAATCGTATATGAGAATAATGAACCACCCGCCAAAAAGCGTGAATAGTGACGAAAATAGAAAAGTTGTCCACATTCGTTCGCCGTTGCATAACGGATCGAGACTTTTCGAAGCGAACTCACTAGGAGTGCTAGGACAGCTACCCATTCTTGAAGGAATTGTCAACAAATAATAAGAAAAACCTACTATTAATCAAGTCTGGAAAGGAAAAAGAGACGCTAACTCGAGCGCATTTGCTATTGGCTCATTTCATCATCAATCAAAACCAATCTTTGGTTCTTCTCATGGAACAAAGGGAAAAACTAAGTCTGTATGCTCAAAACGTTACACAAAATTTCAATTCGCCTTTGAAATCAACTAACGATCGAATCGACCTTACACTTATTTTTTGGCTCCTCTAGTTACATGAGTAGTTTAACCTTTTCAAACATATCAGCAATTGATTGAATAGATTACATTCATGTCAAACTAGTGTGCACGAGTGTATCCGATTGAACTTGCGGGAAAACTACTAGACGCCTGTCAACCTCGACAAGCGACTGTTACTATTTTTGATTTAGCGATAAGTATGTAGTTCGCCTTTGCCTGTCATACTACAGCGAGTAGGAAAACATCTGTTGACATGTCACTGAAACTGTTATCAACATTAATCGTCTGACAAAAGTTAGAAGTACACTATTCAAGCTCGTTCGAGTTTGTCCTTACCACTACATGTAAATAAGCGTTTACTTGAACGTCATCAACATGCCTGTGTGATATGTCGCCAGTATAGTAACCATTCGAGTAATAAAACAAGGCAAATCGCTTCGAACTATTCTCTTTTCTGAAAAAAAAGGAATATACAGCGGCTGAATACTGGGCTCAAATGCTTAAAGTTTGCTTGTCAGTTCTATCCAAGCTAAAATCGGCATCTCTGAAGCCAATGAAATTTATCGATAACTATCAGGAATTTGGATCTGAAGTTAGTTTTCTTTGAAGATGTTTTTTCCCGGCAACATAACCTACATAAGAGTTATTACATCACAAATATGTAAGCTCGAAGAAGGATACGAATGAAAGGAAGAGCGCTTCGCTCTTCTGGTATTCTGAAATGATAGTCAGAGGGGTGTATTTTGGATGATTCTAAAGTAGCCGAAGATTTCCCATAACTTTTTCATTTTGGGATAAATCAGATGAAATCAATAATACACACAAACACAGAAAGGTGAACAGTATGAAATCTTGCAATGAAAACAAATAGAGTCAAACTTATAAATTACGTCTCAAATGTCCTTCTTCTTCACCTAGAAATTCCAAAAACAAGTCCTCTAAAACTGACTTACGTTCTCATTCAGATAAACTGATCAAAAAAAGAATGTTCTTTTTTCCATTATTATCTGATATTCTGAAAAACTAATACTTCCGAAGCCTAGCAGCAAAAGCCAAGGCAAGATTCGGAATCAGGACTATCGATTACCTATGCTCTACCATCTTTGACGTCTAAAGCAATTTGCCAGTTGAGGATCATTCTTCGTTAGTCAAAACTTTCGATCAGCTCAATGACAGGACTCGAGCGCCATCTGAAATGTCAAGTAGATGAATTTTGCATGGTTATTGGAAGAATCGAATCCGATATAACTTTGACTCTCCTTATATTTATAATCAACTCAGCTGATGATTCTTCACTGATAGTTTGAGATTTTAAAAGATAGGTTTGTCTGTTTATTTCAATGCAACAACAAGCCATAGCGTCAGCACGATCTACAACGATAGATATCGATGCTATTATTGCTGTCCTTCGTAGTGGTACACAGACTCAATATAACGCACGAGAACTACATTCAACTGTTCGTTTTACTAATGTTTTTTTCTCTTCTTCTCTCAGCTAATAATCGTTATTCTATGTAGAACGCCACCATTGAATTGAATGTTACTAGTCTTTTCGGACAAGATTTTGATTTTCAGGTATGCAAAATTGTTTATTACTTTTTTCATACTTGTTGATGTTGTTCTTTCAAGTCAATTGCTAATACGAATGGCGAACTGTCTCTATACTATCCTCGACGTATTCTTGTCCCGATAATTGATAAATGGTCAAATGTAACAACACCAAAACTTCAGCCATCAACTGATCTTCGTGATTATTTCGTTCGATCTCGCATTGCTCGATGTCGTTCACGTTTCGTTGTCCCTGTTATTCTAGTTGATGGAAAGGTTCGAAACCATTGCTTTTCGATGGTCTTCAAACTGATCTACTGGTTCTTTTCTAGTACATCTGTCGTTCTTCGACAGTTGCATCGTGGGGTGAAGTGTATTCACGTTCAGGTGTTGATCGGTTGTTGGACACAGGTACTCGAACAACAAATCCAACGATAGTTGATATACCAATGAGTGCATCGGGTATTGCAAATGATTTGGATGGACCACCGGTAATTGCAATAGAAGGTGCTGCTGCTGCATCGAATCTTGAAGTACCCCAACAACAGAATATCTTCGATAAACTCCGTGGTGCTGATATTGACTTGCTGAAGATACTTGATGTTGGATCTATAGTGAATTTAATGGTGGAGAAACGAAAAACCATGTTCGGTGTCAAGTTAGAACTTGTCTTTTGATATTTCCATAAAGATTTGAAAATATTCTTTTCATTGATTTTAGTGTCACGTCATCCGAAAATTCAGATAAAGAAAATCGCTATCGAGACTTTCAACTATTAATTCTTCCATATCCAGGTAAAGAAATTGACTTCTAATCATACATTTTTCATGTTGTTTTCCACAGGTTGTGAACATTTCCGAGATTTTTCAATTCAAAGATATAAAGGTGAACTAATGTTCTACGATTGGTCATTGCCATTGAATGACTCGTCGTTTCACGTACCCGATCATGTATCATCACTTGTCACTACGGATTGGTCTTTCTGGAAGGTAGCACCAATTATTTTTCTGAAATATTCATCGATCCAAGTCAATGTTTTATGTTCATTAGTCTTGGAACTCCATTGACCTAACGAAGAATTATTTTCAATTAATTCTACGTTATTTAGAAACAAGTTTGTATTCGTTTGTTTCTTAGGTTAAACTAAAGTTTTTCAAAATCATTCTTAGATGATCATGGACTCCTCGTGCACTGCATATCAGGCTGGGATCGTACACCTCTATTTATTTCTTTACTTCGTCTGTCACTTTGGGCTGACGGTTGGATTCATCAATCGTTAACCGTCGAGGAAATACTTTATTTAACTTTAGCTTACGATTGGTATTTGTTCGGGTAAAAACTAGCTTTACTTCTGAATAAATAATCAAACTATCATCTTTCTTTCGCAAATAGACATTGTTTACCAGAAAGATTACTTCGTGGTGAAGAAGTAAGTTATATTTATAAAAGTATCGTTCTGAGGAAAACAACTGATTTGCTTCCATAGATTCTGTATTTTTCATTCATGATTCTTCCGTATTTAACTTCAAATGAATTTGTTTATAAACGATCACAGAAGTATGTTTCTTAACTGACATCAATGGTTTTGATTACATATACGTTTTTAGTCCGTCGAAGTCACAGTCAAACATTACAACTTCTCAGTCTGAAAGTATCTATTCAATAAGGTATGATATTAATATTCACAAATAAATTCTCTTTTTCAATCGTTCCGAGTTTCTTTTCAGTGCATTAACACGTGTAAATGAGTCGAATTCTTCGTCTCCAGTCGACATAAACGACGATGCAACGATAAATTTCAATCGTAACGTCGATGAAATATCTTTTGGTCAGAGATCAGATACAAATCCAAATGACACAAATAAGACGACCGACTCCACATGGAAAACCGTTCGTGAAGAAAAACTACTTGCGGTGTCTCATCTTTTCGAGTTATGCTATCGAACTGTGATACCAAATCGACCACCGCCAGTCTCTTCAAATATCAATCTGTTACCACAAGGCTTAAGTGCATTCAATCCACGACCAATCGGTAGGAGAATCATTCTCGCTTGATCGCAACAAACAATTTTCTTGTTTAGGACGAGAAATTGCTCGTTCAATTAATAATTTCATTGGTCAATGGCGAACACAGCCTCGTTCTTCATGAGGTCGATATCTGTGTATTAACACATTTTTCCATGAAGTTTTATTCGTATATCTCTCTTTAAAGTTTTTGATTTTCTTTCAGTACTGTGATTGTCTTAGTTGAACGGCTAGAAACACGAAATTGTATAATTTATTTTCAACCAAAGAGACAAGTTAGAAGAACCGGCAACGATTCATTTTCTTTTTCATTTGAATTCAATAGATAAAAGTTAAAATATATTCAATTGTACAAAGAAAGCAATTGAACCAGAGGCACATAACTTTTTTTTTAACCACAGCTCGAATAGAGATTATTTGCACTCAACTCAAACGTTATATACAGATAAAAATACGACGAAGCATAACAATAGATATTTCTTCTATGACGCAGAGATACTTTTGTTATTTTACGCCTCAGTGATTATGATGCATGACGTCATATTGCAGTTCATTTTCTTCGCAATATTGCAAGTAGATTTGACTGTGATCCGTATGCTCTTTTCTGTTAATTCATGTCGGAACATAACACTCGAAAATTTACACTTGTCTGGTTGGACAGTTCGGTAAATGTTTCGGAAGAAAATCTTGATACTCAAGTTCTGTTTCGGAAAGTTAACGATCAATTACGAACCTTCGACAAAGTTGACCAATGTTTGGAATACATTCGAATGAATCCAAAAGAAAAACTTGTGTTAGTTGTCAGTGGTCGGTTAGGACAAGAAATCTTACCACGTATTCAGCAATTTACCAATCTCATTGCAGTCTATGTCTACTGTTCGGATAAGAAACGAAATGAAGAATGGGCAAACAAGTATCTACTAGTAAGTATGACGTATTCGAAGTGAGATTTTGTGCAAATCTGTTATAATTTCAGATTAAAGATGTCATCGTTGATCTCAAGATCTTACTGGAAAAAATACGAGCGGATCAAGTTCAGCGAGATGAATACGAAGTCGATGGTCGATTATCATTCAGTGTTTTTCATCCGAAATCTTCACGCCATACAGATTCATCGATGAACAGCGATGCATTTTTTCATTTTCAATTATTAATCAAATACTTCAGCCAAGTGAAACCTAGTGACCAAGGGAAGCATCGGTTTA